TCACGCTGAGGTCTTATCGATCAAGAGAGCGAAAATACGATTAATTACACCCCCATAAAGTAATAACGCGATTTTTCTCTTTCCCCAGTTCGCCGAAGTTTTATCGATTATACAAGCGATTCCACCACCGTTTAAACAATAACGCGACAAGCGATTCCACCCCGTTAAAACAATAACGCGATTTTTCTCTCTCCCCAGTTTAACGAAATCAATTAAAGGGCGAAAATTAAACAATAGCGCGATTTTTCTCTCTCCCAATTCCTCGAAGTCTTATCCATTAAAGGGGAAAATTAAACAATAGCGCGATTTTTCTCTCTAGTAATAACGTGATTTTTCTCTTTCCCCAGTTCGCCGAAGTCTTATCAATTATACAAGCGATTCCACCCCGTTAAAACAATAACGCGATTTTTCTCTCTCCCCAGTTTGACGAAGTCTTATCAATTAAAGGGCGAAAATTAAACAATAGCGCGATTTTTCTCTCTACCAATTCCTCGAAGTCTTATCAATTAAAGCGCGAAAATTAAACAATAGCGCTATTTTTCTCTCTCCCAATTCTCATGTCAAGGTCTTATCGAGCGAGAGAGAAACACCCCTGACCCCTCTAGCGAATACTCTAATACCTTACCGAAAAAGTGGACATGTCCTGTCCATGTAGAGCAATGTGGATGTGGAGCAATGTGGAGTAAGAGCATTGTGGAGTATTGTGGAGTATTGTGGAGTAATTTACCAATTCTGGACAACATCATATACTACTATTATTTTAGAATATAGTAATAGTATTTCCCATTTTGATAATCGTAATTGTAATCTCGACTCATAGGCAAGTAACGAGAAACACAATTAAATTATTATGACACGACATTTTGAATGCTCGCATCGGCCATGGATGGAAACTCGTTATCCACTGAAAAAGTTTTTTTTTTTATCGAGTGGCCTAATAGCGAGTAGTGGTGCCAGGGAATTTTTAATTCCAATTTTGAATCCTCCCCTCTCTCTTTTAAAAATCCTGGCTGCGCTTCTACTTATAGATAATGTAATATTTGAATTACGCCTCGTTGCGATATTTCGACGCTATACTGTTGTCAGATTTTATTAATGGTGTTATTGCTTCTTTGAACAGTTACAGAATAGCCACGATCATATTTTGACAAGTAATCGAATAGCTCGCGGAGCCCCTAGGTTCCTCTCGCGGAGCCCTGGGGCTCCGTACGGAGCACTTTGAGAACCTATGATCTAGTCTATAATTTTGCTGCAAGCACCCCTTTGCAAAAAATCGCGATCTAAGGCTTCAAAATTACAAAGCCTTTCTAACATAAGTTTTCAGAACCGTGGATCTGGAGTTTGGCACATATTTTAGGCCAGTTTCAAACATCTAAACGGGGCAGTCAGAGTCAAAAGATTACTAAAATAATCAAAATGAAACTCCGAAATTTTCAAAAGAAGCGAAAAAGATTGCACACGCTAAATTTTCCGTGGTCAAAATGTTTCTGAAGTGTGTAGTCGCAGTCGAATTAGTTTTGAACCAGGAGCCGAGCACAAAATTTATGTCAACCCGAAGCCGTCAGTTGGTTTCTGAATGATACGAATTCGGCAATTGGCATCGAATATATACTTCAAGGATTATATACACGATTCAACAGCCCTGATGTTCACAACCCATAGTTTCATATACCGCGTTAATATATCAACACGAAATTGTTATTATTCTATCGGCATAACCAAATAGTTTAAGTGGACGAAGATATGCTGTTGAGTTAAAGCCTGTTATTTGCACCTATAACAGCTGAATGAATTTCTATTTACTCGGTATGTGTCTCAGATTATATACGTTTAACTATATCTTGAGGAGACTTTAGAATTTGAATACATTACAAACTATAAAGCTTAATGCAAAAGTCAAAGCAAAATTGATCGATCGTATTTCGTGGCTGAAGTATCACATATAACGTAAGCGTACTCTTCTTTTTGTTTATTGTATTATCACGTTCTTTGAAGCACCTGTCAGTCTTAAGTATATGCGTTCTACAATCTCTCAAAGGTTTACCTAAGTCTGCAGTGCAGTTAGTCCTCAGCAGCTATGGCGGAGATAGTATACAAAGCATATCTTAAACGATATTTTCTCCTTGCGATTCTCTGTTTAGTAACATTTTGGCAAATGTATTCAACTACCGGTTTCATCATTCTGAACAATGCTGTAACGATGTTCTACCAAACTTCGCCGTATGCAACTGATTTGCTGGCTGTAATAGGAAATCTCATTGGCTTACCAGTTGGGCTGCTTTCTGCTTATTACAGCGATGTCTTATCCCTTCGTGCGATGATGTTAGGTCTCATTTTGGCACTTTTGGGCGGTTCGCTTGTCTGCATGATTGGGTTTCTGTCAGGGTGAGTAATATTGCTACACAAATATCAATAGAATGTGTAAACTAAGAGTGCTGTTTTAAGTATTGAAACTAGACATAATGAATAATGTCAAATAGGAAGCGATACGAAAAGATTTACAAAATATACAATCAGGGATGGCCAATTCGAATAAAGTATTCGAATGTATTCGAATATCTCGTCATTCGAATATCGGAATTAGCGTTCATAAGAATATCGGATATTTGTGTGACGTCACACATTTTCGACAGCGCCCTCAAAACGTTTCCGTTGAATGAAAACATTCTCGATAGAAACTTGCGCGTGATTGTTTTCATCACTCATCAGCGTAACGTGTTATTTTGAGGCCGTAAACGCCTTTACGTTTGTGTTATTTTCTTCAAAACGAAAATTTTCCACAAATTTGTTCCACGTAACGAAGACAATTATTTTATTTTGTACGCGCACGGAATTGTGAATCTGGTAAATACGTTCATCGGCGGCGAGTTTCTAAAGACAACGCAACTTTTTGATTGAAAAGCGGCAATTTAAAATACTAATAATAAAACCGTAAACAATATAAGTTTTATTGAGGCCCGCGAAAATTTGAAAAACGCTTTTCTAGGCAGTGAAAATCGCAGAATTTCGTGTGCCTCTGGCACACATCATGTTTGGTCGGCGTTTAGAAACATATCGTCACGAATTGAGGGCGGATTTGCCTGATTATCCATTACTTTAAATTGCCGTCGAATATTTTCAAAGTATATTTAATCAATTTTATTTTGATGAAATAAATTTCACTCCGAGATGTTACAGAAGATTTACGGATTTTTCGAACGGTTTTATCTTAAAATAATCAGAGTGGCAGCATTTCGATTGAGCGGAGACACTGTTAACAAGTACATCTAAATATTTGCCGAATTCGCAAAACATTACACGGATCAAAACATTATTTAATCGGGCAGTTTACCACACGTTTTTATTTTTATGACCGCGGATTGCAATGGTATATAAGAGTGGTGAGTATTTTATTTTGTCGACGCAACCGCAGATTAAATTGAAGACAATTAAATTAATAATGAAGCAAGGCATTTTAAATATGCCCGTATCGGTCACGAATTCATCACTTTGCACAACAGAAAAATATATTGTTATATTATTTGTTGTAAAAGTCGACTCTCTTAACAGGTGGCATAATCGAGACGATGAATACCTATTTTCAATTTACTGCTAAACTTTATATTTATATTCATTGTATGAAATGAATTATACTCTACTACACTCAACAGGATTTTATATCATTATTGGAGATTTTTCTAACGGCGATAACGAGTTGGCAAGATTGCAAAAATACGTATTAAAATTAAATACATCAGGCAGTTTATCTCGTACTTTTAGGTCACAGATCGCCGTGGACGGAATAGTAATGTTTTTTTTTTGACGTAAGAAGAAGCAACCGCGAGTTACGTTGGACACATTAAATTAATATATAAAGATATTTTAGAAACTCGTAGTTGTCATGGATTGAATATTTTACGTAATAGGATGATCATTATACGCCGAAAAGACGGCTCTTTTAACGATCGCGGAATCGCGGTGGGTGTTACAGGCGGCAATGGGAGTTCCGATTTCGAAAATCCTGGCTGCGCGGCTGGCAGTGGTGGTCATTTATCCTCTACTAATTTATTTCTAATTTCAATCACAACAATATGTTACACATAATAACAATATGGTTCACATAAATTAATATACAAATATACTGGTAGGTAGTAGAATACTCTATGCTTAAATATTCGAATTTTTAAAGGCATAATGGATTTTCGATTATTGTTGCTTGTTTCAGTTGCCTGTATTGCCAATAAATTTTATTACTCTCAGAAAATATACACAATTATCTGAATACAAGTAGTATTTTTGTCAACAGACTTGACTATTATCATAATATCATGGTACCAATGATAGAAAGCGTCAGACAACTCCTTGGCTATCTTTTCATATGGTCATTTGTACAAAGTGAATAATTTTAATAAACTGACTTTGTCACAAGTTGCTATTATTTTTTATTGTTAGCTATAAACTATCAATTATCTTGTGTACATATATTGTTGGTTTGTGGCTTTATTCTGATATTTTTATTGAAGCTTATTTCCTAATTTACTGGGTTTTAATAAACTAAACAAAAATGTGTTATTTTCGATTTTAGAATGTATTCGGAATTCCAGATTCGAAAACATTATTTTAGAATGTATTCGGAATAGTTTAGTATTCGGAAATGGCCATCCCTGTATAATACAATACTGATTTACATTATCTGTTTCATTCAGAGATTTTTTCTACGTCACTGCAATCGGTCGACTCGTAATGACATCCACATTCGGCATAATGTTTACAACACAGGTTTTGTTGGCAGCAGGCTGGTTTCCTTCTAATGAGACAGCAATGGCATTTAGTTTCCCTTTGATGACAGCTATGGGTGGCTCAATTGCATCATCCGTAATTTACCCTCTCGCCATTCCAACGCTTAACTTCACCAAAAATATAAATAATTCGGAATGGGAAGGTTCTCACAGAGTAACAGTAGTGTTCAGCACGACATTTGGTAGCATGTGTATTTCCTCGTTATTATCATTAATATTAGCATTAATTTACTGCAAAAACAATCCTCCCTCTCCTCCAAGCCGAGCGCAGCATGATATTTTAATGAAAAAGGAAGAACGGAGACGTTGCATTGATCGCCTGAAAAGCATTTGGAGCATTATTGGCAAACGTCAGTTCGTTCTGATCACCATGGCGACGTCGTTTTTTCAGTCTTACTTGGTATATGGGATAATTTTGATGCCATCTTGTATAATAATCACGTTTCCTGAGATTGAGAATATTGTTCCTGGAAAAATATTCCTCATATCGACCATTGGACAAGTAGCAGGTGTTGCAGTGGCCGGCAAATTGCTTGATCGATTTAAGACCTTCAAGAAAGCAGTTTTATTAAGTAAGTTACTTGAGTCTATGCAGAATTTTCTAGAGCAGGGCTACTCAACTATTTTTATCGAAGGTCCGCAAACAAAACTTCAAAATTATTTGGGTCCGGCTTTCCAGAAATGATATTTCGGCATCTTTAAACGAGAATTTCCTCGACCGACTAATGATTAGTAACAAATCAAAATTGTTTATTATGGTGTTATAGTTCTTTTTGTATATATTCAAAACTATGAAAGTCATTTCAAAGGAAGGAAGTCATTTCAGTCAAAGGAAATTCAAAAAGTGGGGCTAATGATCCAAAATAAATAATTAGGTGCGGATTCGGACCGCGGTCCGCCAGTTGAGTAGCCCTGTTCTAGAGGACCCCAGCTCAGTACATTGAAAACATTTTGTTATATATATCTTGGATTTTATTACTTCTATTCATTTTAGTCCGATATAACAACGTACAGAGGGTGTTTGAAAGGAGGTTTACTAATGACCTATCCCATCTGATCCATGTAATTTTCAAGAAAGCATTCTTGTCCGGATATGGGACAATGACCGACTTCGTTGGAAGTACTGTGTATACTTTTCATCTCGTCAAAAAGTTCTAGAGATGTTGGTTCTCTCAAAATAAATACTGCGTTGAGTTGCTGAATAAAATGTTATCACTCTAAAGTTCTAAACCCACAGAGTACAACTCTAAAACCTAGAGTACGCTATGTGTGTATCTAACGTCCACTCGTTAGGCAGAAAGTACAAACCATTTACTATAGATGAAATTGCATTATTTACATTTTATATCTTTTTCAGGTGTAATTATCATGATACTCTCATGTGTTGGACTGTTCTTTGCACATTCTCGTCGTAAAATGACTCTTCTTTATATATTATACACAACAATTAACACAGCAGGTGGAGTGTATTTACCTTCCGCTATTGAATTATTAGTTGAAACTACTTATCCAGCTAACAAATTGCTTCTGATGTCACTATATACGTCGATTTCGAATACCTTCATTGTTATTTTCACGTCCATTACCAGACTGTTGATGACAAAACGTGGAGTTCCAACTGCTACTTTAGCGACAGTTGGCTTTCTCGTGGTTTCGATGGTTGCCATATTGATGGTTAAACCAGATTATAAAAGACATAAGACTGATTTAAATACTACTGCATTAAACAGCAAACGGCAAAACAAGGAATTGTACAAAATTCATGATACACGTTCCATAGGAACGAATGCAGAATTATTGGAATAATTCATAATCATTTCCATAAATAGAAACTCAACAAAAACTGAAAGAGTTGTTCTTTTTAATTTATTAATTTGAAAAATATATACGAGAAATCATAATCGGAAATAGTGGCGACTAAGTAGGCAACTATCACTTGAACCATGAGGACGAGGTAGATGAATTTGATATTCCCATTTTACTACCAAGTTTTTCAAGACTGACCTTTATTGTCATTTTTATTGTAATAACTTTACATGTAGTCTTCTTCGTGCTATTTCTATAGAGTATTACTTTGCTTTCAACTATGAACCATCTTGTACAACAGAGCGTGATTTATTTCGGTAGTTGCATGCTTTCGGAAAAATATAGACTGGTAATAACAAAACTCTCACAGGGCTTCAAAATATCAACTGTCGTACGTGGCAATTGCAATATCATTAATCTTGTTATGATTACTAATAAATAAATATATGAATCACTATGGTTGTTTTATTACTAGCACTTTTAAATGAAGGTATATATATATGAACAACTTCATAAGAGAAAAATGACGAGGAAAGGAAAGGAAGAAAACTAACTGAAACCCGTTCATAATTACGTATTTATTCAAGCAATATTCCGAAGCTTTTCCGATATGATTAAACGCATAATACTGATAATGTATAATATCTACAAGAGTCCGAAAGCAAATAAACTCACAAAGTTCCTAGGAGGAAATCGCCTAAGATTTTGGCAGATTTGTTTTTTCTCGGTTACACCTCCGCCCCACTAACGTAAATATACGATGCAATTATTTTTTTCCGTGAATTACACAAATTGTTAAGCTATTGAAGGCAATATGAATTTTTTTTTAATGTGCTATTAAAAGATTGTATCTTCCAATTTCTAAATAGTTTGAAATTCTTGAATTACTCGAAACAAAATATTATCCATTCCAGTCGCATAAGCACAAACATACAAATTCCTCTATAATGGGCAATAGAATCATTGGTGTTTGAATATTAGTTGAGTTGAGATGTTTCAAATGTTTTCGAACATCCGCTTTGCATCATTAGCTAGAAATCCCTATCCCTATGTCAATAAAGCAATTCACAACACGCAATGAAATTAAAAAAGCTAATAACCAGGTAAAACCCTTATTTATAATTCATATTATGGGAGTATAAAATGTGTAGAACAGGAAAATGCATGGTTGATTCGTCCCTCAACTCAGAAAGTATTCCATGTAAACTAGCGTTAAAATGTGACACAAGGTCACAGGCTTATTGTTATTTTGGTCGACATTTACCATAGACGCCTCAAGCTTTAATCAGGAATTTGAAAATGATATTCTGCTACCTCTCATTAGTTTAGCTACCGTAAATATTTATAGTTTTACATAGCCACAAGTTATTTGCGGATGATGGCATAAGTTACAGATGGACTTAGAAAAATGTTGATATCAAAACTTGTGTGCGAATAAACTTGTAAATTTTAGAAAAATTAAATGTAATACTTTATATCAGAAAACAAGCGAATCGAGACATGTTTAACGTATACTGGTTCTGTATAGTAAACCATGACATTTTCGTTAGCTTTGTGATATAGATATAAAATAATCCACATTTTTCTCTTTTTCAAGCATTTTTTTTTCGAAAAAAATCTAACGAACGATATTTATAACGGCCCTCTCCGCTATTGTTGCCGCTCGGAGCAAAGCAAGAATGAAGTATTATTATTCAGTTCAAGTACGAAGGACGTCAGCTTCAAGTATCAAATTAGCAAACTCATTTGCTGACTTTGTGTATAGCACAAGTTTAAATGACTGCTTAGAATCAGATATTTACAATTTCATTCGAGTTTGTTAGAGGTTTGTCAGAAGATTTTTAAAAAGAGTTTTCGATAGTTTGTGCTTTTGAAATTTTCGACGTGAAGTGTATATTTTTACGTGGGGTTGTCTATACAATAGTTTATTTTTTCATTACCGGTATTTTCATTCGCATTTTCGATAATTTATTTATGATAATGCTCGGTTAGGATATCGATTTAAATAATATTTATGTGTTCAGGAAGAAATTACATAGAAATCTTCCAAAATCTAAATATGATCTGTAGAAGTTTTGTATTACATCTTGTTTTTTTATTGTGCATAGCATGTATTGCTGTGCGAGGATACACCCCAGCTTCAAGGTCGAGGTGAGTCTTCTTTGCATGATTAGTTGCTCAATGTTCGCTGTAAAACCCGCAATTCATTGTTGTTGTTTTTCAATTAAATTTGTTCGAACAAACAACTAAAATTGTGCCCTATGTCTAAAACATTTCGCAAGAGATGGACGTCTTCACTGAAGGGGTGTGTGAACAATCAGTACAGTTTGTACATAGCTCATACCGCATACATTTTATTTATACTAATTCCTGTTGTTCTTTAAGTATTCAGTCTGTATTATTGTTTGGTAATGCCACTCTAAGTGAAAAGCTAACTTCCCTCTAAAATTATATATTTGATAGGTTTTGATAGGGTTTTCAGATACGCAATGAGCCACTGACATATTCGCAGATTTATAAAGAATTGCGGCGTACATATTTTCTATACATTTATTTTTTGAAATATCGTATTTGGGTGGTCTTCGTTTGATATATATATATACACGGTAAATAATATGTAAAAATTACAAATCATTCGCGACGAGGTTTCAGAGCTTCTCTAACTATTACGGAAACCGATTATCCAAAGCTCTTGAATATTTGACCAAATAACTGTCACAAAAAAAATTTGAGTAATATTTCTAAGGTAAAGTTTTTTTCAATTCAATATTTTTCAGGGCCCGTCGGCTGGTATCTCGATATTTCAATAGACTTGGAAATCGTGCAATTGTCGACGGAAGACGAATGTACTGGTATTGCAGGCGCGGAGCAAAACTCGCAATATGCCGACGGAATAAAATAAAGGGCACCAAGTCAGAAACCATTCAGAAAGCCAGATCAAAGACAATATCAAAAGGTAACGGATTGATTTTATTGATACACAAAACATTTTAGTTTAATCCATCTCGCTTCAAGTCAATTGATTACACACACATTCTATATTTAGTTACCGGTATGTAGCCCATATATATAGATTATATTCACATGATTTTCCATAGAGTAAGCGATAGTTTTTTTTAAACAGAGTTGTATTGTGAGCGATGTAGAAAGTGAGTTCTGACTAAGTCTCGTATTCACCAAAAGCTACTCATTACTCTCACACGTGAGATTTATTTATATATAACCGAAACGCCGACCAATATTATCTCTTGGGGTAATTTTTTACCCAACTTTGGAGTGTGATTGTGACTTAATCGAAGTTAAAAATAAAATAAAAATAACTTTCGAACATGATCCAATATCGAAATTTGCTTTTCATATAATCGGGCCATGGGTAAAATATGGTATAAATGCATACAAATACCCGAACTCGCAAAATTACCAGGTTTGGAACAAATGGGCTTTATATAATTCATATTGCTCTTATTTCAGAGGTGTGTACGGCCCGCAACTGCGCAAACGGAAAATGTATCTCTAACAAATGTGTATGCAACAAAGGATGGGCGGGAAAGAGTTGTACAGAGGGTGAGTCTTAAACCTTGCAAAATAACTATAATCATCGCAAATAACGATTGTAATCTACCAATCATATGCCAAGCAGAGAAATCACCACACAAAAAAAAATCATTCAATGCAAATTTGATGAGAAAAAAGTGCACATGGAAATGATGTTTCATGGCATTGGTGGCGATTGGCGAACGAGGCTTTTTTGTGGCAAAAAAACGGAGATTGCTAATATATATATTGTGGTCAAGTAAAAACGTAAGCAAACGATTAGGAACTATACACAAACACGGTACTACTAGTTTACATAACATACGTCATCTTGAAGTATAGTTGACTGATTGAAGTCTAGTATATATATTCATTTTTACTTGCGTAAGCGTAAAGTTCAATGAAGTCATTTTAATCCTATCAACATTAGTCCCAGGTCATTACAAAAATGGACACAAATTTTTTTTATACAAGATTAAATTTTGTGGCTCGATGTATTTGTATTACGGGAAAGGCTAAAAATAGGTAAACATTCCTTACGATTAACAATCCCGCATTTTGGCTATTTTATTGAAATGAAAGCGGATTCACAAAAATATACGACAAAATAATAAAAGTATCAAGTTGAGTAATATTTTGAATTCACATGTAAAATTCAAAAAACTATAAATAAACACAAAGTTATGATACATGACAGATAATGGCATCCCATTGTAATTCAATTTTTTGACATACACCCCACATGCTGTGCTCTCACAAGGAAAACGCTTCATCATATGGCTACGATTGATAAAATCTACAATGTGTAGAACAAAGTATTATCTATAAAAATTTACTATTTTTTTTTATTTATTGTCTACCTGCAAATTCGCAAAAAATCATAAAGTAAAGAAGAGAAGCTATTGTAATATTGACCTTCTGTTGTTATTCATAGTGATCTACGTGGTAGACTTCCGGCACAGCGCGTGAGAATGTTTTGTGCATTCAGGTGTCGTGATACCGATAATCCACGACAGACAACAATAGGTCTTATGTTATACCTTTTAAAAATTCGTTTGGGTGAACGTACATAGCAAAATCAGAAAATTGTTATTGCAACTATCAATGGGTACTTCAATAATTTTATAAATATATATATATATATTTGAAATTTCGACAAGGAAAGATCAACATATTCTAAAATCAAATCGATTATTTATGCACATAAAAACAACTTTTCTCACTCAAATAAGTTTACCGAGATCCAAAATAATATACACAGTCAAACTACATATTTTCAAATTAATTATAATTTGAGATTCTGAGGCAGCTAATTGGATGCTCCTAAATTGGTAAACAAATGGGCTACAACTTGGCTTATCAGTGAGCTGCGTTTGAAATATATATATATAACTCCATCTTTTTAAATTAACTATGATTTGAGTTTCTGGGGCAGCAAAAAGAACCTGTGAATGCTATAGGATACTCAGAAATTGGTAAACAAATGGGCTACAACTTGGCTTATCAGCGAGCCGCGTTTGAAATATATATAAATATTTGCGTTCATGTTTACGACCAGTTTTCACAACTTTCATTAATGGATTAAGGAGGCTTGAATATCACAAGACCTGTCAAAAATAGCCTATTGTTGTGCTTTCTTAGGCGTGTTATCGGTACATTTGCGTGGGTATGTCAGCTCAAGGGTTGATTGTCCTTGAAGTGCTTTCGTAAAACAATAAGTACTGGTATAGTTATGTTGTATGTTTTGATCTTAAAGTGTTTTTAAAAAAAAAAAATTCTTTTCTTCTCATGTTGAAAGACATTGATGAATGTGCGAAGGATTTCCATTTTTGTGGACAACTTTGTATAAACACACTGGGAAGCCATCGTTGTGCGTGTAGACCAGGTTACCAATTGCACTCAAACGGAAAGTCTTGTTTGGTAGAGGAATTTGTCATCCGCGAAGAAGGTCACGTGAATTTGCCAAACCCTCCGATTGGTCTCAAATATGTGGCTTCGAACAACAACGACGTTGATATTCAAAACAGGTATGGATCGCTTTCACGACATCTCATTTTATTAATGATCAAGTATTATATATATATACTGATAACCCTACCTTGTCTGGCTATCTTAAACGTCATGTTAATAACACTGATAATTATCAGCCACGTTTTAATTGGGTTTATCGGTTTGAAATCCATGAATCGTGAAATCGCAATTGTAAATTTATAAACAACACCATTTGATATAAAGGCGTCATGCTATAAAATCTTCCAACGCTTTGCCAAGAACAATAAACCTACATTTCCGTTATTTTGCGATATATTTCAACAACCACAGATTACGCCGAACTCCCGCATTTATACTACAGCGATTTCAGGAAAACTACTAAGATAGGTTAAAAGTTAGTTCAATAAAATCTCATTTGTTAACAAAAAAAAAAAACGCTCAAATATACGAACATGAAGTCCAAAGGAACGGAAATAAAGGATGAAAAATATTCTTCCTTCAATAAAATGAAACAGCAAAATTTTGAAGAAATTGAGTTCCATAATAACACAAAACAGTTCGGCGTTAATATATTGTTTGGTTCTATCTTGAACTAGAAAGATACCATGGTACAAAAAGTATTATGAGCATTTCGAAGTGGTAAAAAATCAGATTAATTTATCATCAAATCATAATAATATTCAGGAACGAAATTTGGTATCCAAATTTGCGATCTTTCTACGCTTTCGGAGGTCTCTCTCTCATCAATGTATGTTTGCCCTATTTATGCAAATTACTAAACTTTGTGATATGTATATTTTTGTACTCTTCAGGAAACCAGTTGTCGTACCATCTATCAAAGAACCCATTCTTCGTTATCCTGTTCTATCTAGATGGTACCTATCTGCCAAAGTGAAACGTAAGTTTGGAGAAATGTAATTTTGTTGGCATCCATCGCCTGTTGATGACTTTCTTAAAATTATGTACTGACGGCTTCAACTATATAAAAAAATCAATCTAATATTAGTGTAAAAGCAAGTGTATAAAGGATAGGACTACAACACTCGCCTGGTGCTATATAAACTAACTCAATTCATCGGGTATATGTGGCTACATGGGTTTTTAAATAAATAACACTAAGAAGTAATAGTTTGTACAAACTTTTATCGCATTATGAGTATCCGTAATATTTGTCGCTGGTAACAAACGGCAATGCTTTTTTTGGTACAGATTAGAATATCATCTCATTAGAACCCAAATTTATTAAAACTACTTATTTCATAAAAGATCAATTTTTTCATTATAGGCCATAGGGCAATGCACCAGACCATTAAACATTTCAAAAATCTAGGTCCATTGTTCCCGAATATAATTTTGTGCAGAAAACTAGACAGTCGTCAACACGAATTGCAAACGTGCAAATCGCCGCCAAATTCAGAGCTGTGACGAGACTTTTGCATTCTTTCATAGGAGTCGTATATTACACTTGGGAGTCAAAATGGAGAATGCCCAGAATCGGAATTTCACACTTTCCTGGTGTCTTACAGAAACTCAAAAAATGAAATCAATTTGATTAAGCAGCCTTTTTGCTTTGTTTTTATTATCAAAATTTGAGTTATGCCCGAGTTCGGGCCTGGAGTCAAATTTCTATTAATCCGGAGTCTGTTGAAGATATTCACCGGTTGAAATGCTTACCGCTTACATAAGGCAAACTATTTCACATTAAGTCGAGGGAATATGCTTTGAGGCTAAATACTTGTTTTTCTGAACAATGTTATTTGTTGTAGGTGGATGCAAGAAGAGCTGCAGATACCAATGTGTCTCAGAAAATGGTGTTGAGAGATGCATTTGCCCACGTGGGTTAACAATAGCAGCGGATGGAATTTCTTGTATAGGTAGTAGTGGAAACTTTTATTCAAGGGAAGAAATGTTCCAACTTACTGTTTTACAGCGGGCTCGGTAAATGAATTACTATTAAAGCAGATAGTGGTACATAGCTGTGCACTGTTTGGATGTAAAAAATGGTGTGTGTTTTTCAGATTATAATGAATGTTCCGACAGCACTAAATCTGTATGCCCAGCTAATCAAGAATGCAGAAACACGTACGGGGGTTACGTCTGTAAATGCCAACCAGGTTACATTATAAGTCACGGACTTACTGGAAAATCGTGCAGAGGTAAATGGTTTTCGAAATTTATAGTGAAAAGCGAGCGGTATTAATTTATCTACTTGGTTAGTGTGGGGGTATCTTTGCCTGTTATCTTAGAAGAATTTAAATTGGAAGTAAAGGTATAAAATATATTTCGACGAGTCGTATATTGCTTAGCTCGAGTTTAATGCAAATAGGCAACTACACTTGAATTTTCCTATATTTTGAATATCATCCAAGAGATTCAGCAACATTTCAACACAGTAATTGTGAATACTCGTTGTCAAGTTTCCAGAATATTATATATATATACAGATATATCAACTGAAATTTTATTTTTTTTCGTCACTGTGTAATGTATTACACTGATGAACCTAACATACCATATGCACGGAAAACTCCTGCACACTCTTAAAGAGATACACCGTTAAGGCTGACATCGATCACATTCAATGAATTTCCATACAAGGCTCAGACGAAGTTATCGGAATCAATTGAGTTCATTTTTTACAGATGTCAATGAATGCTTCACAGGAGAACACTTATGTGGACGAAACGCATATTGCTTAAACACACCCGGATCCTATGTCTGCAACTGTCTTCCGGGATATGAAAAAGATGGTGTTATCTGCAAAAAGATGTCATCATACACATCAGAAATGAATTTGAGAGAAATCATATCGCGCGGAGGACGATACTCGTCCCACCCAGCTTTTTCGTGGTCCGGGCGAAAGCAATTCCCTGCACATCGCCCTGAATTGGAGTAGATATCAATACCATGTATAACAAACTGATCTCGTCCATGAAGTAATTTGAACAAATTAGACTAACGCCACAAAATATGTCAAAAATCTCTTCTAGAAAACTATGCGAGAAAAAAATCATAGCATGAGACACTAGAGATGAGACTTACAGTTTGATCAGTGTACAGTTGCTTGAATGTATTGCAGAGACTACCGTGGCAACTTATTCTGATATTATGAATAGAGATTTTATTAGAACTCACTTCGTCATATTATTACTCCTCACAGCAGTCGTTCCCAACCTTTTACGGCTCGTGGCCCCCTCCCGGAGGCGTTTAGCACTCACTTAGTTTTGATCATCATATTATGATTAGTAGATTCGAAAACCCCATTATGTTCAAACAATTCATGCTCCACAAAGTGAAAATACGCTGTGAAATAATCTTATCAAGCAATGAAATTAGGAGAAACGAAGTTTTATTGTAAAAGGAAATGTGAAATCGACTTTGCGCCTAGCAGTGTGGCCTCTCCAACCGCCACGGGTAGGGAACCGCTGCTTTACAGCATATTGTCTTTTAGAGCCTGCTGACTTAGTATCCAGTACGTGTTCAAGTCGTGCACTCAGTCTGCCATCTTCTGTTTTCATTTAAACCAATTTTTCAGTAAACGGGGGTTTAAAAATATGCTAATCATGAAACAAATATTGCACAACATTACCGTATTGTAAACGCTTTCCACTTATATTTAATTCAGATAGGCATATGTTTTTATTTGTATTACCATATTATTATAAGCCGAAATGTATCGGACAATAAGTGTTAGGGAGCATGCCACATCCTGTTCAAGCTTCACAGTGTTCTAAAAAACGAAACAGCGTGTAGAAATACATTGTACTCCGTTCGGAATTCATTTACCAATATACCAATCAGACGCGGCCCGTCCATCGAGTGACGATCAAATAATGAACTTGGCCGAATCAAGTCAATCACGTCAACTGAGAACGTAAAAATATGTTCAAAGTCAACAAAGGTTAAGTTAGAAATCGCTAGTTCAAGTTTATTGAAATTTTAATTTTCCGCTTGTCACGATGAATATGTACAAAATAAACTTTTGAATAGAGACTGTATTCATGGATATCGGCAGATACACAACATAGCATTATGTTTGAATTATATGCTTCCGGACCACCTGTGCAGAAAGCCATTGAACGAGAAAGCTTTATGACGCGGGCTCTCGGTGAAGCCTATTACTACTGATGAGAATAAATCAAATACATATTATATCGAAAAGGAAGACCAAATTTAAAACCTAGCTTGGCGCAAGGGAGGGAATCTCAACCCTTATCCTTCAGTTTAACTCACGGTAAATTTCAAAAACAAAATTTTTTACCTCCCCAACTGCGTAGACTTCCTATTCCCGTGTGACAGAGTGGAATATGGAAAGGGTTGCTTGGCTAGACATTTTCTACGCGGTGGGAACTCAATAGGCATCAATTGCGTTACGTGGTCAATGACCACATTTGTCCATGCAGTTTTTTGCTTGCAAAACTTACTCAATGTATATCAAATTAACCCTCGGTTGAGAACCCTGGCTTCGAGTGAGTCACGGAGAAAGGATTCAGGTTTAGATGTTAAGATAGGCTCATTGCCGCCCTCCCCTGGTTCAAATTCTATGATTAGGATTTGGAATTAGTTTAAAGAGTTTCCACAATTTTATTATGGCGTGTGTAACGATTGAAAACATGCTTGTCAACATTTTTTTGTAGCGGAAGTAAAATGCTATAATATAAAAAATATTGTTGTCTCAATGATTTTGATATTTGTAATACGGTGACCGTACATTTGAACCCATGCGTATATCCACGGGTTCAATCTATATGCGGGTGCTAAAACCCATGGGTTAAGGTTAGTATGGGTTTAACTATCCGTGAAACAAAAAAAATTCCATAGGTGCAATAGCATACAGGTGCAATTGTCATGGGTTCAAATGTACGTGGGTTCAAATGTAATGGAACCTTGTAATACACTTTCTAACCCTTCGTATTAGTATGAAGTGCAAAAATCTCGTAAGGATAATTTTATCACAATGCATCGACGAGAGAGCTATTCAAATCGATCGTCCACGATATTAAATCATTGCTGTTATTTGAAACAATTTATGACAAGCGTTTCACCGCAGAAGCAATATGACTACTCAAAGCAGATTCAACCAGCCAAAAGTTTCGAATCATTCAAATTATCAAATTTCATCTGGAAAAAAAAATTAAGACTCAATGATGGAAAAGTTGCCATATGATCAAACCGCCTTTTCGACTTTTCTCCCCTTCGGGAAAAATATCAAATTTCTATCCTAAGACTGGAGCCGCAACATCTAACCTTTTTCAAGGTATAATAATGAATTGAATGACGAAGATTTCTGAGTGGTTATTACGAAGCCCGATTCGGCTCATAAATCTCCGGGGTCAAGTGGAGCTAATCCTTGAAATTGTTGTTTTTGTGCCATGCGAAGCTTTATGTTATTATATCAGTTATACCTCTATTGTATCCACATCGGTCTCGGAAAAACGATGAACCATACGGAAATATAGTGAATATTTGATTTTATGTTGCGAGTATTCTTGTTTTTAGGACACCACTGGAAATAATGTAGCATCCTCAATTAAAAAATAAAAAATAAATAAAAATAAACAATCATGTATACATCCGTTTAAAATGTGCTTATTGTTCAGCATATTGTTTCATTGACAATAGATGGCGCTTTCATTTTATGCTTGAACGGCAATGTTTACTCACATCGGCGCGGTATCCATAGCTATATCAGAAGCGCCTTGAAACGTTCAATAGTCTCTGTTTGAATGCGATTAGTGAGTACAACCCTATCTATATGCGCAGGAACAATCGTGAGAGAGAGTCGAGCGGTTCATGCTGTTATGAAGATGAAAGGATATTTATGTAGTCATGATGGATCTATCGCTCTCAGCAGAAATTCTATGACCATAGGACGCCAGGACTGCGATATTAATATAGATGACCCCCGCGTAGAATCTTGTCATGCTGTGGTTGAATATAACCAAGACAAACAATGTTATGTCATAAGAGACCTAAACACGCCTAGTGGGACTTACGTCAATGATTGCAAAGTTCAAAACAATGCAGTATATGTTACCAATGGTGATACCATAAGATTTGGACAAGGTGGTAAACCATATGAATTGAAATTTGCTGGTTTCACCAGCACTCAAAGCAGTGAAATGGCGACAATTGGTGGCTTAAAACGACCCATGTCAGCACATACATTGTTAGAAAATACAACTTTTACAGGTTCCTTACCTGAGATTCACTCTAAAAGACAAAACATTAAATCATTTGCGTTTCCTCGACCACCAATGCGACCAAGATCAGCTTGTGAAATGGATAGATTACAAACAATACCAGCGGAATATAAAACAACTGGCCAAATTCCTTCACGACAAGCATGGGGTGAAAATCAACATTTTGATGCACTTCTTAAACCCAAGTTACAAAATCTTTTGCATATGGTAAATGAAATGAATTCACTTGAAAAAATTGATGATCAATATAACCGAAAAGACAGCATTTTAAGTGGTTTAAGAGAGCAAATAACAGAAATTTGCCAACAAATGGATGCGAATAAAATCGCAGCCAATCAAAATTTAGCACACGAATTGTATCATATAGAAAGAGAATTAGAAGACAAACGACTTGAAATATCTTTATTACGACAACAATTGGATTCTGTGATGCAATCATCTCCGACCATGACAACTCAACTGGCAGAAAAAGACAAATTAATACACGAACTACGACATGATTTAGACAAGGCAAAAAAGGAGTATTCCATGTCACATGGTTTGGTCCAATCTCTTCAAAGAGAACTCTCAGTGAAAGAAGCTGAGATCAAAAGAAAAACAAGCGAAATGTCCTTTCTTCAGAAAAATCTTAGAGACAAAGATATCCAGTTTCAATCTCTTTCGGCAAAATTTGTAAGAGTTCATGACTGTCGAACCAAAGATGAAGCGATAAACACAGTGAATGAAGATATGAAAACACTTAGACAAAAGATAAGAAGATTGGAATCTCGTTCAGGTGATCATACAAGCCTAATACAAAGGTACAAAAATGAGATAACACAATTGAATGAAATGATAAAAAAGCAAGAAAATGAAAAAGAGACATCAATCAAAAACATGGAACAACAAAAAGGGAAATTTTTAGAGTTACAGCGAGCAGAAAGATTGTTACGTGTCGATGTAGAACAAGCGAAAAGTAGGTTGAAGCGCTTCAGAGGCAAAATAACAAAAATATTGTATTCTGCTTCGGGTGTCAGAGCACCTGATCATCCAGATGATGCAGAAGACAGTCGACTTATCGTCGATTTGGAAACAATAATTGATCAGAGAGAAAAAGATATGGAAGATATACGAGGATTAAATTCAGAGTTAAACTCAATAAGAAAACAAGGAGAAGTAAAAGAAGCATCTTTGCAGGTCCTCACTGAAACAATGGAAGATATATTGTCAACATTAACAGAGAATGGCCATCATACTGACATATTAAGAACCAAAAGGGAGGAGTTGTCTGGTTTGGAATTAGATAAATCTTTATTACAAATGAGAAGAACACTAATTGGTTACATAAAAAGTGAAGAGCAGTGGGTTTCAGAGATATATTCAGCTCTACAAAAAGCGGGTTACAATGTAGAAGTAACGGATAAAACCCCAGGATATTTCGTTTCACAACTTCATCAAAATCTCGTAGACAAACAAAATCAAATCAAAGATATGGAAAATGCACTACAAGAGACTGAGGACAAACATAATAAGGAAATAGAAGATAAGGTGCATGAAATCCAAGCCAACATTTCAAACGAAATTGATAAAGTAAGAGAGCAAGAAAAAGAAGAGAGAGAAGCCATCATTTCTGAATTGACAAACCAATTAGAATCTGATCATGGTGTTAAATTACAAGAAGCTTTTGACAAATGTACAGAAGCTAATCAAACCATTGAAAGTCTTAAAGCAGAACTGGCAACGGGGCAAGCGGAGATAGAAGGATTAAATGCTCAATTACAAAATACCAAAGACGAATTAGAAAGAAGCGAACAAAATGAAAATGCAGTCAACGAAGAATTAAAAACAGTTCTTTTGCAACAAAAAGAAAACAAGCAAACGCTTAACGAAGAAGCATCGTCCACAAAGAAAGAATTTGAAAACGAAATTCAACAATATAAAGAAGAAATTAAACAGCATTCCATAACAATCGTCAAAATGGAAGAACGAATACAAGGCATTATGAAGCAACTGGAGCATGCAAAGAAAGAAACAGAGAGACTCCGCGCTGAATTACGCGAATCTGATCAAGCAAAACATAGACTAGCTCCAAGTCCACCTCTGGTTGTCCCACCACTAGTTTTTGACATAAATGGATATGAGCAAACAATGGCAGCTCTTAGGTCTGAGTTGGTCGGAGCGCAAACTCAACTCCATGTACAACAAACTGAAATATTGGCATTGCGACGAGATCTAGCAAGTTCTCAGGCTCGTATATCAGACATGAAAGGAGAACTAAGTGAACCACTGAAAGAACAACTTGAAAGTGGAAACAGGATTATTCGAGAAAAGGAATTAGAAAATGCAAAGCTACGAGAAAGCGTCAACAAACTATCTAAGGTCGTTGACAAACAAAAAGCAGAAATTCATGCTTCAAAGAGAGAATTGAAAGAGCTGAGACAGGCTGTTGTCCCAAGAGAAGATGAACAAGAAAGACAAAGGCGATCACCAAGCCCACCTATTACAATTCCTAAAATTGCAACTGTTGAAACAGGCACCCAAGATAGCCGCATTGGTAAAATCAATGCAGAACTTACATCCTTGGGCGCAGAATGCAAAGGAGATCGACACACAGAGGTTATAAATAGACAAAGAGAAGCTCTAGCAGAATTGAGAGCTCGAGTCAAAGCTCTCAACAGTGTACAACCTATCAGCCCTGGAAATGAGGAACTTGTCCAACAGGTCATGCTGCTGAAAAAGGAATTGGCAGAAATCAGAGCACGTCAGGTTATGGAAAACGACTCTGCTTTCCGAGATCAGTTGTCTTTTTCACACAGTGGTGATGCAAGTGCAAGAGATATGGCTCCTACTCACCTCAAACCAATTGATGCAGAAATAGAGAGAACAGCTCGCATGCAGCTAGAAGATACACTTAACATGAGTGAACAATCGTACATGGACATGTGCAATGTAGTTGGTGGTTTACTCAACATCAGTAACATGTCTGGCATGAGATCTGCAAATCATCTTCCAGTTGATGAGCGTCAAAAACTTCTGGATGAACGTAGACAAGATCTTGAATCGATCAGTCAGCACATTAAATCCATCTCGAATCGCCTGGAACGGAAAGATAATTTGTTACAAAATTACGATAAAGATTTGGCTAAGTTAAGAGAGGCTGAAGAAAAAGCTACACAAAAAACAGCGAAGGTAATAAAAATTTTCAATGTATTTTTATGACACTATTTCCACTTGAAAAAGTAAGGTAAAATATACCAAATCTGTCTTCCCAGATTATAAACTGACTTCAGAACAGAATCACATGCCTACATATTGATCTAGAAATTATGATTATGATGAATTATTGATCTTTTTACATTTGCATTGTCCATATATAAAACTTAGTAAAAAGCCACATGCAAACTGACCTTGAGGGCGAGGATCACTGAAACGAGTTTATACATTATGAATGATTTTTTAAATAATTGATGCAAGTTTGAGTATGATGCGATATCCTGCACAATAGCAGTAAATTATATTTGTGTAAGCTGTTTTATAACTTTGACCAAATAATGATAGCATCATAGGCGTCTCTAAGATGAGCCTGTACGAGTTTAATATTTTGTAAATATTGACCATAATTCAATATCATAAAACTGTGTTCGCTGCAATGACAATGATGGGTAATTTCTGTTTGTTTACTTTATAGTGCTCTTTTATCTCGTTGTGTAACAAAGAAAGTATTGTATTATGATATGTCCCTGATAACAAAAATCTAATGATGAACTTTACTAATGACCCAAATTTGTAAATAGATTTCAAAAAATTCGTAAATTTAAAGATGCATATAAAGCAATTATCAGATATGTAACGAAATATGACAAAATATAGAAAAAGAGTTCTGAAGAAATTAAATTTTTATGAAACATGAATTGGTGTCTCTTTTTATAAAAATTGTAATAATGTAGCTCAAAGTTCACAATCATGTGTTTTGTATGGTATATAGGTTACTATTTATCAAGCAGTAAGAAAAATTCCAGTTTATTTATACATTCCTCAGGTAAGCGTGCTACTTGATGAAATAACTGGGAAGAATGAAGAAAATGCACATTTAAGAGAAGCTTTGAGGAGAACAGAGGAAAGACTTAACCAGGAAAAAAGATTAAATACAGCAATTAAACAGAAGAAAACTTATCATCTCGAGAATTTAGATCAAAGATATCCACCAATGAAACATAAAGATAAGGGTAATAACAACACAAAAAAGTGGAGCTTCTGTCTAAGCGTTTTAATTGAGCTCAATTTAACTATTACTACTATTGGTATTTAAGCATATATGATAATTATTTTTATAAAAATATATTTAATGCAAGCCAGTGTGAAATCCATGAGCTAGCTACCTTGACGGTTAATGAACATTGTCCCAGCACTGCAGTTGCAGTATCAAACCCACTAAACTCCGAGCACATGGTTTTATTATACTCGTTGATCAGTTATTATTCTTAAAATGTGTTCTATAGGACCCAAATCTGCTTTGTTTCTTCCAGTTGTTTACCAAACTTTCGTATTTGTGTTGCATCACATGGCCACTTTTATTACTTTTCAATGTGATTTTACTTTCATCGCTGCATCAGATTTTATCTTACATTTTTCTTAGTGGTATACTTCAGATGGATTGGGTATTCTTTTTGTTTTGCATATTGTCGGTATTCCTATACATAAGTTTCTGTATCCAAATACTTACCGATGAAAAAGCGATAGAATAACACTTTTTGACCAGCTAAACTCATTTGTAAACTGTTAGCTGAAATGGAATAAAGCAAAGTACTCCCAAGCATCCACTTGAGACCACTCAAACTGCCATAAGCTTTTTATTGTATATTTTACACATACAACATACACTTATCTTGAACCTCAGCTATCCCCATATATTCTTATAATGAGCTAATGTAATAATACTGGGTATGCTTGTGTCAGTATCACCTATGAAATATTAAAACTCACAAAAAATATTTTTAGAATGTATAACTTCAGAATTTGAAGATGAAGCATTACGAGTTCGCCGAAAGAAAGATAAATCAAACATGATGAAAAAGGAATATGAAATACAGGTAACAACATGCTGTATAAAATGTATGGGGTCTACATGAATAGCTGGCAAATTTAGTGATGGCTAGCGCAAAATAATTGTTTCAGTGTCAAATACGAATTATTAATATTTTAAATATGCATTCATCAATCTTACGAAATTTTAAGGCTACCTATGAGTATATTAAGATCAAGACAATGTAGTGAAGTTGTTTCAATTTGAACATTTTCACTACAGACGCTGAAACAGAAGCTGCGCTCACAAGAGCAAGAACTATGTCAAACCTCTGCTCAAGCAGCAAATTTGATGCAACAGCAACATCGGACATATCGAACATCGCGGAAAGGAACCTCATCTGAAACTTCATCAGTTTCAAGTAAAAGTAGCCGTTCATCCAGATCTAGAGAGCTTGCGTGAATCTCCATCCGCACGATTTTGGCGATTACTCAATAGCACTTCGCATAGAATTGATATCCAGAAATGGTATAATTCTTAGAAACCAATAGATATAATCCATGTCTTGCAAAAACCTATACAACGCTTTTTTACATCGAAGTATTTTGTTTGTAGAATAATAGGCGCTCCAGAAGTATGTGCACAAGATGGCGCACTACCAGATAACTCCAACCTGGAACACATACCATGTTCAGGTTGTGCGCCATCTTTGTGCACATACTTCGGGAGCACCGAAAATATACTAACTCTGTGTATATGATTCATTTTTAAAATATTCCATTAATCATGTATTGTGAGTGATTATTTCTCCACTGTATTATTTAATCTACCGTATATATCTTGGTTTAATAGTATTTTTATTTTTGAGGTTTACAATTTTCCACTTTTTGATTGTGTCAAGAGTAGATAAAATTTGAAATGTTCATATCAGTTTATGAAAAATGGAAACACTCTTGGAGCACATGTATTAGAATACAAATTATCTATTCTTGGCAAACTAGCAATTTTGCTTTCTGGCACTCCTCTTTTGTTCCACCCCAAATTACTCTTATTTTTAACTACCGGTAATGCACCACACACAGATTTCCCACTGCTGGTAGCATCATTCACTTCCACTATATTTGTTCATTTGCTTCTTTTTTTAATGTTTATAATTGTATCCCTGACTGAAATTACACATTTGCCATCATTGCTAGAAATTTTTTAATAATAATATTGCCTCCAAAAAAAAAACCACGCTTGTGCCATCATCAAGAATATGTAAAAGAGCAAATTGTCAACTTTCCCAACCACTTTAATGTGAAGGAGAGAGATATATAACTCCTTGTCACTTTAATGTGAAGGAGAGAGATATATAACTCCTTGTCACAATACATGAAATGGTACTCCACTCGAAAATAACAAGAAGTATGATCAGTCAGTTGGATAAATCTCAACTTTCCTAGTTAATTGACCCACCTAAAAGTTAGTACTACCCACTGTAAAAATTGTATTTTACCTTGCAAAAAACAAACAAACTTTAAAGCACTTGCGATCTAATCCATTTAATGATATTATTTTGAATGCCAAGCTTTCCCAGCCTTTGTATGCATGCTTTAATTTAGGAATATTGTCAATGTTTTAGAAGCAGAAATATAATTTTTGCTTCAATTGTTTTTAACCTTGTTTGTAATTTGCCACTGTGTTGTTTTGCGATGATCCCTCATTCTGCTTTTAGTAATATTTGATGACTTTTAGACATATTCAATAAAATTAACAAAATGAACTCTTTGATTGATTAGGGTTACAAGTAATTCTAGAAAACTGGCCGAATTCGAAGGAGGGTAAATTTGCCCCTTGCGTATAATTTTGACCCGCATCGCAGGTGAATTTTGCGAGCCAGAATGTACATGGCCGAATATTGTAGTTGACAACATATTGACAAGATTGCTAAGTACTCTATCGCACAATTAATGTTTATCATGCTTCTGCTGTGATGGAACCGCCTATGCTAGTGCCCCTCCAGAGTTTCCACACAGCACAACCGAATAGACAGTCTACACAGAGAATGAGTGGGTCAATTTTACCCTATAATTGCCAAGGGCTGTGGAGGAGGGATTAATGAAGGTTAAAGACCCATGTTGTATATAGAAGTGGTAGTGCAAGGAGTCTGATATTCATGAATTGACTAAAAAAAAATAGATGAAATGTTTATACCTAATAACAAGAACGGATTTTCCAAATTCTTACCACTGGACAGAATAGAAAAAAAAAACAGATAGCAAATCAAGATTTCAAGCTCCATATACAATTATTAGTGCAGCGAAAGAGCCTTCGAATAATGCCTCAAATCTATCCTTCATTGTTCCTATAAACTGGTCTAGCAAAAACCAAACAAATTTACCATAGTATTGCATGTCATGTTACTGCACAATATTAGCATAAAACAATATTCAAATTATCTATATCTCCTCTATGAAACAAATATTATTTATTAATTAAAATATCAATACATTACAGAACAAATCTTTAACACTCGACAAGACAATATAATTTTTTCAGTGGAATCAAGTCGTGTTCATGATAAAGCAGAAACACATTAGAGGAATATTTCAAAAGATCTTGGTCCAGAAACTATTCAAAAAGTAGAAAAGAATATTAGAAATATAAAACACTATATCTTCAGTTCATGTGAAACCATCATCCATAAAATAGAGAACCATAGACTAATAAGTCAGTGATTGTACAAGATAGCCAAGAAATGCATAATGAAGCCTAAGGATTTTTTCATTAAACCAGAAATGAGAGTTTAATGTAAATTTACAGCAATTTCCAATTTAAAAGTAGTTTATATTCATTTAAAACATCTATGGCAAAAAGAATTGTCTTGTAAAATCATCCTTGCCAAATATGGAACAGTGCGTGCTCTTTTTTAGAGAAATTCCAAGCGGAAAAATAGTTTCACAAACTTGAAGACGACGATTATTATACGAAATTTGCCAACTATATGAATCCAATGTAATGAGAAAGTTACATATTTGATTATTTCTAGTCCCAAATAGGTGCTCCTGTAGTATGTGCACCAAGATGGCGGACACCGGATCGTAGTATGTGTACCAGGTTAGGATTAGGCCATAATTTTATTTCAATTTTCCCTTTTTTAGTTTTGGACTAGCCAAATGACTCCCGTAGTATTTGTTACTGAAATTATGGCCTAACCCTAACCTGGTACACATACCATGTTCCGGTGTCCAGCATCTTGGCTCACATACTACGGGAGTACCCACAAATAAGCTTTCCATTTTCTAGAAATTTGAACACAATTATAACTCTAAATGGACCAGTAGTCAAAAATGGAGTTAAAAAAAACTATAAAATTAATTGGCATTTTCATACAGCATATATAAAATGAAAATAAATTTGCTCAAATGCGATGCGACAATGTTCCACTTGATGACTAATAAAGTGAAAAATATGCATATTCAAGCAATACAATATAGAAATTTATTATATAGAAAATATTAATAACATGTAATTTACAGTTAAACTATTGTGAACATTTTGAAGTTATCATAACCAGGAAATAATACTAGTATAGTATTTTTCATCGGACTCTATACATCACTAGGACTAGGGGTTGAAATAATAAGAAAAAGGTTACAGGTAGCGCAGTCTAGTACTTCCTAAATACAGTATACGAGTCTTTGGGAAAAAATCTTTAAATGGATACCATTTGCACTGAGCATGTCTTATTTCAATAATACAATAGTTAAATTCATACATATATATAGCTTTATATCTGGATTATTAAATAGTAAATTGAAATCAAAAAAAGTACAGCAAAATAGGACTGAACAAATTAGAATAAATGCACAAAAGCCAATGATATATAGCAGTTGATGATTTTGTAATAAACCCAATTAGGAACTGTAACTTTGCTGAGAATGAGACAGTACAATTTGCGCTTTGAGATTGATTTTTATTGCAACTCAACAAAACAAAATTTGTTATTGTAGGTTATACAGTGTCCTGGTAATAACATGAGCGACATTAGCACCCTTTAATAGGAAATTACATGAGAAAAGAGGATTTTTTTCATTTCAAGACTTGAGAAATATAGAAGAATACTTAGTGGTTCAAATATCTGGCATCAAACTTTCACAAATTTTATTCTGCCCTGTTCTGCCTTACCAAAGTCACTCATTTTGTATCATTATTGTAATCTTCTTGTCCGAGAAAGTCTGACTTTGGTAAGATGGAATGTTACAGAATAAATTTGCAGAAATTTAATGCAAGATCTTCGAACAATATAGCTGTTTTGATTCTTGTTGCAGTATCCCTGCAGTTGGTACATACGGATTCACTGAGATATAAACAGTGAGAAACGAGCAGTGGTTAGAGACACCATACATACCCTATGTATATAATGGCAAAATGTTAGTAAATTGTATTTATTTTTTATATTTTGACTTGAGTGTTAATATAAACTTATTTTATAAGTAAAACATTCTAATTAAAGTAAAAGCATTATGAAATAATAATTTTCAAGTAAATAAAAAATGGTAAAATGATAAAATTTAAAAGACAGCAGTACGCAAAAATGATATAGGCTATCTAATTTTCTTTATCTATATATAGGAACTATAACCACAAGCTTATCTGAACTTTACAAACAATATAGAATTGATAATTTTATATTGAATACTAGTATTTCAAAAAACAAACACTAAGTCAATGTAAGAATGCCCTAACAGAACATTATTAATCAGACAACATTGTCTGATCCTATTTTATTTTTTCCATATGTTTTAACCAAATAGACAAAACTTAAAAAAGTTGTTTTGAGAAAACAAGGAACACTTCACCTATAATTATGTGTAGGATACTCAAAATAAATGAACGCTGACATTCTTGCAGTAGAGTCAAAAGGCAGTCAAAAGTAATTATATAATTGAATGCAGTATTTACTGTACATTCTGAGCAGAAAAATACCGATGCGATTCAGCTTAAGCAGCTATTTTTTATACAGCTGATTACTCATATACATCAGTGATCACTCAGAGGCGCAAGAAAAAAATAATTACATATCAAATAGTCATTCAAAAAAAAATACATAGCGGAAGAACGATTACAAACCAAATTCATTTTACTAGACCTAACACAAGACCAGAAATGAAGTTATGGGCAAGTTACAGGTCAAAAAAATAATCCAGATGGCAAGATGTTTTACAAGTTCGACTGGCTTATCACCAGTAAGATGAAATTTTAAAAAGTGGAAGATGTCAGAGTGAAAATACAAATAAAAACAGAACCAGTTAAATTTATATTCATACATACTTTGAGTCGTTTTAGTTTGGTCAATAAGTTTTAATTTCACTGTTTTATATATCCCTTGCTTCCTCTTAATTCTTAAGTAAGATATATGAAATATGGATATTGAAAGATCACTTGAATTAGATTTATGAGTAACTATGGGAACCTCTGGACAAAACCTCAAGAAAAGGCTGGCGATAAATTAGTACATGATATCTGTTACTGGTCAAATATATAACAAAAGAAAACGAAGCTAACAATATGTGAAATAGATAAAATATGTGAAATGTAAATAAAAACAAAACAAATAATGAAAAAAAAACAGAGGATTATTGGGAATAACACTCCTTGAAACATTAGAATGCTTTATTTCTGATTTCTTGCTCCTTTGATTTTTCTTTTTAGACGTTTTCCAAAACCTGGAATCAAATAATGTGTAGAAGATAAAAAAGAGTTAACTTGAACTTGGAAATTATGATCCAGTGATTGACACATTGGGTGCCTCTTAAAAGATTTCAGCCCACTACCTAACCCAGGGATAATAAATTAGATTTGGAAAATACCGAACAAAAATGTTGCAGTTGTTTCAAACTAAGAACCACTTTACTTAATTTATCCAGCTTGCATACGGAAGCTCGCTCAGAGAAAAAGTTTAAAAAACGCAATAATAAAAAAATACATTTCATCTTATGCTGGAAGGAGTCACAAAATAAACTACCGTTATCAATTCAAATATAGGAGTTGTCGTGAAATCGTTGAGATATAATGTTGATAATGCAGTGGGCCAATTAACAACTTATAAGGCAACGTTCTGTCGAGATCTTGCCTACTTTATTTACAGAAAAATTGCCCCAAAGTGTTAATTTTTAGTCTCAGCACGAGTTCCTGCACAATTCAAAGTTCAAATTTGGAGATTTAGCAAATGACTATAAAAAGAAAAACACTACTACTCACTAATATCTTGGCCACCATGAATCACAGGTGTAGCAACATAAGTTGGTGTTCTGTCTGTCATTGTGGTGGGAGGAGATCCGTGGCTATCCTCTGAATTTAAAGTTTGAATGATATGATCCTAGCTAATTAATATAGTTCCAGACCAGAGATGTAATTCAATTGAAAGATTGTATAAGGTGGATAAATGAAGGTAGATAGAACATTCAGTCACAGCAAAAATCGAATGACTTTGCTAGCATAATTTTTTATGTGATGGCCATTGACTATACCCGTAATTGTTGAAAACCTTCAATTACATCCGTTGGATGATATTATACATGTATTATTTATCCATGCATAATTTGTGAAAGTCAAGCATTTATTTGAAGCATAGACAAGATGGATGGAAATCAAAGCCAATAAGAAATATTGTAACAAAAATATAGTCAATTCTAACACACAAATAATAATCAAACATTATGACTCATAAAATGTTAGTCTCAAATAAATCACACTGATAATATAATGAATTAATGAAGCATGCATGAAAATCAATTATTACATCATACATAACAAAATACACCAAGTTTGATTTTAATTTTCAATGAGAATTATCGCAAAAACAGTGTTAATCACAAAATGCTGCATGCACAAGATGACAATTATTACATCACAAATATTAAAGTGCATCTATGACATCATAATCACATTTTTGCAAATTGCAAAAAAAAAGAAAAATCAGTTAACAAAATGCTAGCATAAGAAGTGGGAGTTAAAAAGTTTAGGTCAGTAAAATTAATATTTGGAGGGATAGGTAATAGATGTGATAAGTAGGCTGCAATGTTAGAGAGCTCTATAGATGGGAAATATCGTCAATACTATTCAACTTTGCAAAACAACTAAATCATTGTCACCAGGTATGTGGAACATTCAGTAGTGCAATTAAAGTCAAAACTATGTTTCATTTTTAGTCTTTGCTGATGCTTTTTTAAAGACATAAGTATTCATTTTTTGTTCTGCATTTATCGCAAGATATGTAATATTCCTGGTGAGAAGGTATGGACGTAATATTTTGGTTGAGTATATTATTATATCAATATTTTATATACATATGTTTATTTTTTTACAGTGTTTAACTACTACAAAACAAGACAAGCAGGTGTTTCGAAATCTGTAAATATGAGACGAGCAGTACAAGCTTGGGAATCAAGAGGTTCTGGAAGAACAAGATCAAATTCGCAAAAGGTACAATACTTTGAATATTAAAAAGATAGGTTTTTGAGAAACATTTTTTAGTTGATCATAGGAAAAATGTGCTTTTGAGCATTATAAAACAAAATTCTTCTGTTTTCTAGATTTAAATTTCTGCAATTGGCAAATCAGTCCTGACTCCCGAGTGTACACAAATTCACAATGGGTCTGCTAGGGTGTTGTTAGTTATTTATGAGTGTGTGGTAAAATTAATAACATGTTTATAGTTTTGAGAATCTAAAACAAAAGATAAGCAATAATGCAAGATCATGATTGTTTCAATTTCAAATCAGATTTCTCATGTGGTTTAATATATATTAAACACTGGATCAATCGAATATGGATTCGAATTTGGATGGTTTCTAGAAGGCTATAACTTTATTTTTTGAATTTACTCAGTAAAGTACAGGAGCCATTATTTTACAAAGTTTTTTTTATTTTTTACTGAATTACTACAATTTAAGAGGAATATTTTTCATTTCAAACAGCTCGACTGTCTTCCTATTGCTTGCCCACAGAACTTTTTTGCAAACTCTGTGCTCTCAGACCTCACTGTGTGTGACCACAGTGTTCATATTGCATTGCTTTCTTGTTTATGAAGTATTGTGACATTAACTTTGTCAGCAAAATTACCTTTGCTTCTATTTCTAGCTATTCACAAATTTTTTAAATAACAGCGCATGATGGCTAAACGGTTCAATGCAAGATGGCCAGGACAACGATGTTCATACAACGTTAAATCAACAGGAAGGACTACTAGGGCAACATACGAAAGTAGATCCAGGTTGGCAAAAAAGTCCAGAAAAAATATCTGCAATGGTCGAATGAGGACACCAAGTCAACAAGCAATCATAGATAGAAGAAAACTTCATGATAAGAAAGATACTTTATTGAAGAAGTTTAAAATTAAAGCAAGAGATTCACCAAGTACAAGGCAAGTGAATTCCGACAAAATTATTTTGTGTAAATAACAATTATTAGTTCCTCCGACACATAATTTTTGCGTAAATGGCATGTGACAAGAATTTTTTTCGGTTCTATCAAAATTCACGTGGTTAAAATCTAGTAATATTAAGTTTTTTTTGCGACTTTTATCTAGACTGAATCAAAATAACATTCATATCACACAAAAAAGGCAAATTTAAAAGCGTAAAAAAGTGATTAAATTTTAGAAATGTAAATAATTACAACAAATGTTATAATTCTTATTAAAAAAAATTTAATCGATGCAAAATTCTTATCTTATCATGAATAAAAGATAAATCTTTATGTAAATGAAATATAAAGATGATATATTTCATTTATTAACCATTATAATTCAAAAAATCAGTTCAAAGAAACATCCATCATGAATCATTTGTTTTTATTAGGTTTCAATGAGATTTGTATACACTAGGTTATGTTAATAAAGATAAATAGGGGCTCCCGAAGTATGCGACTCAAGATGGCGGACTTCGGAATGTAATATGTGTACTAGGTCAGGGTTAGGCCATAATTTTAGGTATATATACTACGGGAGGCTCTTGGCTAGTCTTCGAACTGATAATAGGATTAAAATAAGGAAAATTGGAAAAAAATTATGGCCTAACCCTAACCTGTTACCCATGTTACGTTCCGATGTCCGCCATCTTGGTTCGCATACTTCGGGAGCACCGATAAATAACTATTTATAACTATTTACAGATGCAAACAATGGGTCCGAAATATTCCACCTTCAAGTACATGGGTGAGGGAACACACCTTATCCGGTCATGACATGGTCAATATGACTTCGAAAAAACAAGCTGCTGTGCCTTCACAAAGAAACAAAAAGAAAAAAAGCAGGCACCGTTTGACGGAAAAATCATCTCAACGATCGCTTCTTATGAAGCGGATAATGCAGAAAAAAATGAACATGCTAAAAAACCATGTCCAGAAAAATCAAAGAAAACATAAGAGACAAAGGAAATGCATTCTGCAGAAAGTCAATCCTGCAGCAAGCGCTGGAAAATTCGACGTGGAAAAACTAAATCGAAGGACATTGTCGAACAGTTGCTCGGAAGATTCGTATGAAATGAGAAGAAAAGCAGCGCAAGTAGTACGAAAGGTATGGTCACAACCAGTCAGACATCACAAAGCTCAAAAATGCAGCAAAACGAAAAATCGAGATTCTGAAACTAACAACAAAGGCAAACTAATGCCTAAACGAAGCCAAAAATATAAAATGTGGATGGTGGATGAAGCACATAAAGCTCACGAACAAAGCTTAACTAATCTTGGTTATAAGTCATTACAACTACGAGCTGACAATATAGTCCAGACACGATCCGAGGAAAAACTTCGACAAAAGCAGACAAGGAAAAAAAATCGTGTTAGTCGTCGGAAAAGCTCATTCCGCAAACTAGAGAAAAGAAACAAGAAAACTGACAGAAAATTGAAGAAAATACGTCACTGGATGAAAGAAAAAACCAAAAACAGGCCGAAGTGCAATCTTTCGAAAAAGATTTATGTAAGAAAACATAGACCGGGGCTTTTCATCAGTAGAGAAAAAAGTAAGTACATTGCGGAAAGCTCATACAAATATTGAAATTTTTGCAATAACAAGTATTTTAGAGCAGGGGTGAGCAACAGGCCACAACCCGGCCCACCGAGCCATTCAGTGTGGCCCTTGTTAACACTCAAATTTTTTTCCACCAAGCATTAAATCCCAATCCAACAGTCTTTTTTTAAAAAGACGCAGACACAGATAAAAATCCATAAATATTTTTGCTCTTATCGCTGCTTTAAATCTTTTGCCTTTTTGACCAGTGCCTTTATTACTGTGAGGCTGAGCGATAGCATTTTTATTGTGAGTCATTGTAAACTAAATTTTTTAAGTGTCCCAGATAGGTGTCTGGAATCGGTTATAACTGAATCTAGGAATGCTCCAAAGTCTGAATTCAATATCAACACACAACAATCAAGATGTATATTGTCATTTGTCAGTTCTGTGGCTTGTTTCATTACCAAATTAAATTCACATATTTTTTTTCTACAGAGAAGCCATCTTTAGCATGGGCAATTTTACAATCCATAAAACTACTAGAGGAAAAGGGTATACCATATCCACTTGCGATACTGAAGACCGTAAAAGAGAAATGGGGACAAAAAGAACTGACATTAGTGTAAGATTTTTCCCAAATTGTCAAATATTATAATATCAGAATAAGGTATTTTGTGTAAAAGTGTGCTTGTTAACATCTGATGGAGTGCAGATACCCACATTAATTGAGCATAATTTTTGTATAATTAAATACACACACAACTTGAACAGCTATCTGTAAGAAGGCACAATGTGTTGTCATAATGAGGCTCTTCAATAAAGCGCTGAGAGAAGTCTACCCAAAACTAAAAAAAATAACAAAAGACAACAAGATTTCACAATTCTCAAATCTGAATCTATATCTGAGCCATGTTGCAAGGACGCTTGAACGAGATGTGAAAATTTATAGAAAAAAAATGTCTTGGCATCGGCAAATTACGTAACAAACAAATGAATCAATTTCAATATGAATCATATTTCTATCCAGAGAATTGAATGATGCTTTGAAATGGATGGCAAAGAAAGGAATCTTGAAAAGCAATCCAACAAAAGATAGAGAAAACACAAGATATTCAGTTGCTGATAAGTGAGAACATGCTTATTAAATTTGCAATTCTATTTATGAATTAACAGTTTGATATAAGGATTCAAATTACCGTATATTTATTGCTTATAGATGTACAATAGAGGTTATTAAAAGAACATATCCCCCTAAATGCTGCCTACCCCAGTGACACAACAGAAGATTTTTCTATATAATAGGGATAGAACAGTATATTCAAGCTCGAAGAAATATATCATAATCTATCAGATTGACCATATTGTTGTGATCAAATGCCAGGTTACTTAACAACAGTAAAATATTATATATTTCATGGCAATGGTTCACATAGTAATTGAGTTCACAACATATTTAAACAACATATTTATACTTGTTTCGCTCCGAACCAAGCTCTCAACAAGCAGGCCACCACGCTTTGCTGCCCCACTTGAATAACTGAACGATCTGTTTTTCAGACAAAAAAGTGGGAAGGAAAAGAAGAAAGTATCATTCAAAAAAGACGACAGTAGCACAGATCTAGATCGAGATGACAGAATTGCAGTAAAAGAAGGAGTTCCTAGAATTAGATTCCAACAAGGAAATAAAGAATTCACTTCTGTAAAATGTAGGAAATATGGTAGCGAACATATGAATACAAAATAAAGTGAAGAAATAAATATGACATATAAAATCCAAAGTGTGGTGTTAATGAAATGAGACTAGCAACTAGCAATCTGAATTAATTGCAGAAATTTTAAAGGTCACTCAATTTTATCCCCAGAGCGTGGGGATTGAATGAAGACAGATGGGGGTCATACTCTAATAAATGGTTAAAGAAGGGTGATGTGAGCTGATCCTAGTTCACTACTGGGAAGAATAATAAAAATGTACTTTGTAAGTTTAATAATATGCATTCGCTTGAAAAATATAAATTTTTTATTCAGCACTTATGTTTTGGCATCAAACAAGGGCAAGAGATTTCTACTCGAAATGTGTTAACCTGCGACGCAACACAGTTGAGTCTGGCGCTCCAATCACTTCATTGAATTCATTTGTTGAATTCAGACAAAATACACAACTCCATGCCATGAGACAACAAATTCATGCATATTAGGACATTCAATGACTACTACTACCATTATAAAAAATCATAATTTCACAATTTTAAAAATTATCTGTTACAATTCAGTAAGTTGTTATCTCACCTTCTTTTGATTTCCCTATTGTTGCACCAACTTTTGAAAAAGCGTTGCTCGTCTACATGCATGTGTGAGAGATGTTACTTATTAGTTTCATTTGAATCAATCAGTAATCATAGGTTACAAAAAGGATTTTGAGGAGGATAGCATTGAGGCCAAAGTGTATACATTTTAACTCTATTAGGCACTCCGTTAAAAATGTGATTGGGTCTATATAGATTTTCCTCATACTAAAATAATTGATTACGCTTCAGCGCAGATTATTATAGTGAAATTCGAAAAAATCATATTTCTTAACTCTAAAGTTGTGTCAGTCAGCACATTCACTATATAACAAATCACCATTTTCGCACCTACAACAAATGCTCGGGATTCTACATACTGTTATGAATTGAATTTATTGAAGTATTAAACACAGGACCACATGATCAATGCTCAATAAGTATCGCTGAATCAGCACATCTACTCATTGTAAATGACAATGGACTACAAGATTTCTTACAAAATATATGGATATATTAGTTAGTACAGTTATCACCGACCATTATTAGCTAACAATTTGTATTAAACACAGGCAACAACACCGGGCATGCAATGTATCCAATAATATTCTGAAATTGGAAGGAGTTTTTTTGGTATTTTGAGATTCCAGCATGTGATAATGCTTTAAGTTTAGCGTGACAGAATCGCATCAAATTCAAAAAATATCTCTGATAAGTGTTATTAAACGCAAAAATAACAAAAATTATCAAGAAATTTGTACAAAATTGTCATCGAGTTTGTACAAAATACAATCTCATTACACCTTCCAATAAAATGAAAATATAGCATCGGTCCTGACCTGATATTGAAACCAAAATAATTTCCCAACCTACCTTTTCCATTAATCCTTTTGCTTTGGCTGCTATGATATTGGTTCCCAAAGCTACATTGGCACTGGGTCGTCTTCCTGAACTAAATTAAAAAAAGAACATTGTTTCCAGAAGCTCCATGTGTACATTCAAATGAAATCTCCACAAGTATTTAATATACAAAAACCGATAGATACGTGGTATCAAACTTTGTTTTCTATACCTCTTGTTTTATTTGCTCGTTCAAATTTAATCAAATACAACTGAAATCGAAAAAAATAAGTATGAATTCGTGTAATGAAAGTTCTATTCCCCAAAAATAAATGAAGCAATCGAAACTACTTTTTAAAGGTCCAGTCAGTGGTATGAAAAATTGAAGTGCAAAAAAATACTCACTCAGCTTGAGGAGCTTTAGGACTTGGTGAAGATAAACTTGATTGCTCAACAGCTTCATAAGTCTGCTGTTCCTCAGAATCTATAAGAAGTATGTTATTAAAATTCGAATTTGAAATATGTATAGAAAAATTACCCAAAACCAGGCTGAACAGGAAAACTAATTTTTTCTATCTGGGCCAGGTGGAGGTTGGAGTGGCCATAAGATAACCAGGGACTGAATGATCTGAAAGTTGCACTTCAGAAGTATTAGGTCATAAATGCAAGAGGACAAGGCTGAATATTTCTATAATACCTAATTATTTCAAATTAACTGTAAAATACTGTATATTTCTTTTATTTATGTATAAATTTTTTCATTTGTTATCGGACAATTGCAAAAGGTATGCTACATGATTTATCTCAACAAGGGTGAATAGCTAAAGAGTGTTGCATCATGCAAACTTTTTCACGTAGGAAAATAAGTAGATAAATTTATTTTCTCTATATGATCCTAATTTCTTTATATGTTATATTCAATGATCTACATACTCAGAACCAAAAATTAAATATACAGTTCAACTCCCATGCACTACAAAACAAGTAAAGAATATTTCTAAGAAATGAATTGTACAATAATTCCAACTACAAAAATGCATAGGTTTAAATAACGCCAGTCACATACATTTTGTATTTGCGATAAAAAAAATTAATATTACAAAATATCCACACTTGGAACAATTTTCAAGAACAAAAATGTACACACAACATTCATTAAAAACTTTGAAACAACAAATTGAACTTGACCAATCATTTTTAAAATTTACAAAAATGCTCTAACAGAAAGCCCGAATTCTATTTTCTATTTTGAAACAGTAAAAAACTATTCCAATATGACCTTCTAAATTTATTTCATTCAACTTTAACAATCAAAAGAATATTTCTTTCCTAGCATATTAAATTTTTTTAAGATTTTGAATAGTGATTCTGTAAAAAGTATGATGTGGACTAATTTAATTGAGACATATCGTGGAAAAATTGAGCTAATATAAAAGGCAGGTGTCTCTTTATTTTATTTGAAGCTAATGAGAAAAATTTACAACAAAACAATAAAATGCACACAAATGAAAATTGTCAACACACTCATGTACCCCAGTAAGGTCTCACTGGAAGTCGCCTTCGTCTAATATCTAAATAAGTTTGTAAGTTCATAAAGTAGGTAACTATCATGAATGTTAAACTTTCGCAGCAAACTTTGCTATGAGCAAAAAGTTTTGAACAAATCTTATTTTTTTCTGCTTCTGGAAAGTGGTTAATGAAAAGGATAGCAAGAGTTTGTGTGAATTAAGCGGAAAGTTTTCTCCAACTATATTCTTTACTTAATATGGAATGTCATACAATATAATTTTTACTCCTCAATGTTCTTACTTAGGATCTGTCCAATACAATAACAATAACGAATTATACTTATTTCATAGCTCACCTTCAATTGTCACATATGAATCTGCTGTTCTTGTTGGCAAAGCAGCTGTAAATAATGATAATAGGAGCATTAACAATATCAGAAGAGAAGTTTTTGATAGTGCCAGACAAGATTATCAGTCAGTGACGAATTTACATATTTATCGTCGGGGAGAGGGAAGGAGATAAGACGGATTATTCATATGGCGAACCATGGCCTCTTGTTCAGTTGCCAGCCCATGGCAGGTATTGAACCGGTTGGCCAGTTATTAGTTTCAGATGCATGGACTTGATGGTGGGTAAAGTCATCACCACTGGTCGGCGAGCGAGGTGACCAGCAATCCACTCGCAAATAATTATCCCAACGTGATTCGACGCTGCAACCATCACAGGGTATGCGTATTCCTATCGTTTAGCGTGATGCACTACACTGGTGAGGCTAAACATAATTTTGTGCTGAATATAATATCAAGTGGAATGATTCAAGCATGTATGCTTTGAGCATGGGGAAACAGGGCTTTGTATTAAATTGCATATTTAAATTGATTTTCAAGTTTGCAGCTCCAAACAAGGCTCCGCACAAGCAGGCACTGTTAGGTAAATTTTGAAAACTGTAATCTTTCCAATTCAGCATTGCCTGCCAATTATTTTGGCATTTCTTCATTCAGAGTTGAGTATGTAAAAAATAAAATGCACTGGGAACCCGGATGCTTTATATTACTTTGGCCAACTTAATATCATATTTCAATCAAAAAATTTTCAATTTATACATTACTAATATAATTATAAAGAAGTTCCACAATACATACATACAATCAATATCAATGCAAGCAATGACAAAGGAGGAAGTTGAATATAGAATCTTAAAATACTTCGATATGTGAACGCACAATATGGTAGTGTGATGACAATTTGATTAAAGCCAAATGAGTAATATCGCATACCGCTTTTAATATCTTACAGTTTAATAATAAGGAAATAAAAGCGTAATATATTGGAGGCTGAATAACTGAAGATAAAAAATTTTCGTTATTCTGAATTCTGACAAAATTTTTCTTCAATTGAAATTTGTTCACAATCAATTCAAGACAAATCAAACTTCATTTAATTCATAGTCATTTTGGCTCTAGAAGTATTTATTTAAAATTTGAATAAATTTCACTGAAAAGCATCTATAATCCAATTTAGTTTTCCAGTTAAGATAAACTTACGAGCGGCTTCAGTGAGAACGATTTGAGATTCAGCTGTTCTAATAGGAAGTCTTGGTGGAGTTGCAGAACGTCTATGTTGCGGAGATGGACTGATATCAGCTGAATATATAAATAATTTTTAGTTATTGAAAGGCGAGAAAGTTGGGCCGAACCAAACTGGTGTTCCAAGCTGAAAATTTCAAGTAAATCAGTGTTGGGACGGCGCAAGTTATCCATTCGAATCGAATTTTGATCATTTTTGGGACAGCGTGAGTTATCCACTCGAATTGGGTTTTAATCAGTGTCGGGACGGTGCCAGTTATCCACAATAATCGAGTTGGACTCTAAACCCCACTTAGCGAAGAGTCATCAACTAACTGCGAGTGAGTTTTAACCCAGTGATCACCTCAACTTTGAACTCAGACTTGGACAACCTGCGACTCGACATGGCTACTAACCAACACTGGTTGAAATCACCTACCAGACACCCAAAATGTAATAAATTGGGTATGCAGTGCTGGGTAGGAGGCGCCCTTACAGTCCTTCCAAAACATATATAAACTTTTTACTTATTATCAGTAGATGTTTATTCAGGTCCTTATTCAGTTTCACTGTGTGTGAACATACAGAATATTCAATGAGAAATCCTTATCTGATTGCTTGTGACATTATCACACTTGATTGTGTGGAACCTTATTAAGAAAACTCATCAGTATCGATGACTCAATTTGTTCTAAGGAAATTTACTCATAACAAGGTCACATGCACCCGCTCAGATACAAAGGGGACTTATCTCTGAGCAAAGTTACGGGTAAACGCTATAGTGTACAATAGCAGCTCATGTCAACGCAATCAGGAAAACAGCTACTGAATAGTGAATTCCACATAACTGAAAAACTTGGAAAAAAAAGGATTTGCAAAAAAAATTGATAGATACTCTGACAATAAATGTTTGAGAGCTCTACATCATGTTTCATAGGTGAAAAAACGTTTTAGGAGAAGCAGGTTCCAAGAGTGCAGGAGAAAACAGTTCATTCGAGTTGAAAAATATTTGAAAGTCAATCGTATCTGATTATTTGAATTCAATCCAAGAGATTTAGTATTAATGGTATTAGTTGAGTTGATATCCTTCAATGTGCCTCACAAAATGACTGAAGTTATAAATGTAAATATCAACTTGATCCTTAATAATTTAAAAACACAAAATCATAAATAGTGCAGGGAAAATGCTGGTACATTTTCTTTCAACTTTTAACATAATAGCACTTTCATATCATAAAATATATTAACATATTGAATGAAGAAAATGTCAACGTTCCGCATTTTTGTTCAAATTTCTCTGGTTACACCATGAGTGATGTGGCAGGCATGAGACGATTTGAATCTAAGATGTCTATCTTAATTAATTATATAGGTATCATTAGTATATTTTGATTCAAAGCAAATAACACTAACAACCACAAGTTAGTATTGGTGTGTAATATTCCAACAGCTATAGACATGATCAGTAGGATATGTCATATGTCTCAAGTCCAACCAACCATTAGACCACACCTATAACCTATCCTTATCCCCATAAGTTTGTATATGCAGATATCTTGATATTTGTTAACACCAAACAAAATATAATGTAATATATTATTATGAAGTACATTACCACTTGTATTTGAGTTAGATCTTTGCACACTAACGTCATCATTTATTTCTCCATATGCATCATCAATAAACTGAGAATTTTCTGAAAAAAAAAAAAAAAACGATAAATACAGTTTGAACTAAAAATTTGAAAATTATAGGGTTGAAATAAAATTACACAAATTTGGTATTCTGACCCCAAAAATGGTAAAAAGTGTTATCTATGGTCACGTCAGATCTCATTCAGTATATGCTGAAAAATTGATTTTATTTTTGCAATATTTTAGATGTTACGAAAATGAAAATGTTCATGAAAATGTTTCATGAAAGATATAATTCTCAGTATATGAACGAACAATTTGATCAAATTTTGATATATTGAGTTTCTATATTCTGCAAGTTTCCTATGGATAAAGTCACGAACAAACGGAAAAATACAGACAGTATCTAAAATTGATCCACTGTTTTTGTACAAACCATGATTTACCAATCAATTCCCCACAATATTTTAGTTAAAATAAAATTCAATTTGCCTCATACAATTTAATCCCATGCACGCAACCAATTATGCGACATAAATAAGTATCAATATTAAAACGAGAATATCGGTCAGAGACCGACAGCGCTCTTACTCCATAGTGACACCTTGTGTCCCATCACTAATTAATTAATAACTTGCCAATTATACGACATAATTCGCCCAAAATCAATAGGCTTCTGGCCCGAGATATGATGAATGCACATGCAAAGTAATAATTTATAATTCAAACATTACTGAAATGTAAAATGCCAAATTAACGACTGTAAATTTCATAAAATATTTCATACGTTCATACCTATAATTTGATAATATTTTGGAACAGGATTCTTGTTTACATGCGCATATACATCCATATTATTAAACAGCTATAAAATAAAACTCTCTATATCTATATCTCTATATAACTGCTATTATTTGTATGGTGCCTAACACTGCATCATAGAAATAAAATAATCAGTAATATTTAAACAATTTAATATAACTGGCAATAAAAATTCAAATTTAATACAAGGAAGTAAAAAGCAACTGTAATTACTCTTCGATGGGAGCGCAATTATTGAAAACTTTTAATTATCTTGTAAAATACTGAATCAATTTGGTGCTTGAATTGAGGTGAGGAAGATGAACTTCATAGATTTAGCAATTTAGAATTTAAACATGGTTGAAGGGTTAATTTATTAACCCAGCGTGTTATAAAATGGGTGACTTAAAAACTAGCAGTGGCTGCTTGTGCATGCCTTGTTCGGAGAAAAGTGTATAAATAAGTAGTATAAAAAATGGGTTAAGAATTGAACAATAACAACTGAAAATACGATTTCAGCAATGCTTTAAAAAATGATGAAATATCTTATCAATTTACTGAAATCTACAATCCTTCTATTCAAATATCATTTATGTAATCCATGGAAAACAATCCTAGATAACACATTACATTGCTTTCTATTTCACAATATATAATCTTATAATACCCGAATACAGACAGTAAAAACCTTGACACCTGCTGTTGAAATTTTAATCTGCAAATACTAAACTAGATCTAAATACACAACAAACAGCTACCAAGATCTTCGTAGTCAAAAGATATCTACTTAAATTTTCTGCTATGATGACGATGTATTATTATGTACTGTATGTAATGTATTATACTGAATAATATAAAGCATTTAATTAAGTATAGGCAACTTTCTGAAACCATGTTTAATCTGAGAAAACAATGCTTCATATACTGTTTGCCTTCTGCTGTTTCTCAGTACTGGAACTATTCTAATTCTGATCACTTGTCCAATGTATTTTGCTCACAAGGCATATGCAACTAATAATGACACATTAATTACCGTAGGTATCAAAATTTCTATCTTGTCGGGGTAGCTTCCAGAAATTGAAATTAGTCATCATTACATACATACAGGCTGGCTATTCAACGCTGTCTGTTAATGATATTTTGTCAGAACATGTAAAGAATGGTAATGGGAAACCGAAACTGACTACTGGCAGCAATAACTGAAAATGAATAATTGCCTACTGCTTGATAGCTGTTAATATTGCCAACATCTAGATTCTAATGCTACTTCATTAGACACGAAGTGGACCTATGGGTCGTTTTCTTATTATATTGTGGTTGTCGGTGGTGGTTCGAATCCAAGTTCTTTCTCTCATTATCAATTATACAGGTATTTCGTTTTGGCCTTCATGTCCATATAATTGAGCATTGCTCTCTTGTTACAGAAAATATAATACAGCAAGAATGATCCTAATAAATAGGCACTTGTTAAAGCAGACATACTTCAATCAGTTTGTTAAATTGACTTTTCTTATAATGAGTCACTAACTTCCTATTTTTTCAAATTTTATTTTCAATAAGACATAAACTATTGATTTTGCTGCAAGAATGAAATTTTATATAATTATTTTAATTATCAAAAAATTTCTCCGAATAGAATTAATTTTAATGAGATCTGAGGTAAAATTATCAAATCCTTCCTATCTATATTCTTGTATACCCTATTGCTAAAGATTAGACTAATGATAAAGCGGTTGCGTATTTGTATGAAATCGTAAACACTTCAATCATGAAGGCGACAAATGATTTGACTCATACAAATTACCCAAATTAAAATTTCATGGCGGACAACAATGAAGGAAGATAATGATGTTTCATGTAAATAAAAATGAGGAAAATACCATGTAGACTGAAGAATGAGGATAAAAATAGACATTGCCATTCATTTTGCAATGGAAAAACAGACATTGGACGGGATAGAATTATGTTAAATTTAAAGGACATTGGAATTATATATAGGCTACATAAGGTGTCCATAAAGTCTATTTCAATTTAAAGATTTAAAATTTTTAATTTAAAAAAAAAATTTGATCTGATCATGACAAATTTTTTAAATTATGAAAAGACTTTATGGGCACATGATATATATGCAATGAGGTTCTTTTTAAAAATTCAAACTGTAAATGTATGATATATATATAAATTTCTCGGAATGTAATGGAAATTCCATTGTATACTGACACTTATTTTCACTTCAATACTGACATAACTCTATTTTGGTACTTCCTTGTATAAGAACCTTAAATGCTTTCTTTAATGTTTCAAACAACTTTTAAAAAAAAGATATATTTAAATAACTGCAGAGGGTAATTTAAATCTAGACATCTTTATCTAACAGTTTCATCAAAAAAAAAATCATAAAAAATTACAATGCACATACCTTCACTTGGAGAATCACCCAACACAACTTCATTATACAAATTAGTCTTGTTGTATTTTTGAAATTTAGTCGCTGTATTTTTCGATGGTGGATCATCTAAAACACAAGAAAAAGCTTTCTGTTGAAATACACAGAGATCCAGAGATGTGGAATTAGAATTCCACATGTTTTTTATTGATGTTTCAGTTGGGATCAGACTCATATTCTTGGGAGTTGTACTATTTGTATTGCTTTTATCAATTTAGCAACATTATCTACTAAGACATTAATTATAAAACAATTGAAATTTTCAAATAACAAATATTCACAGGACCGGTTTGTTTCATTATGACTGAGAACTTTCAACTTCCTCAGTTTCAGCATCAACATGATGAAGCATCATCAGTATAACAGCCCAACTTGGATTAGATCAGGGCGGTCCAAGGTTGGCGAGCCGCAAAAACTTTTGAGGATGTCTCACGGGCCGCAGTCGGAAAGAACCCAAAAGTGATCAAAACATCAAGAGTTTACTCAATTTACATATATTTAGAAATGAGAGTTTGCAGTTCTAATCAGTTTTTAGGGAAGATATATAAATCCTTTAGTTATTTTGATATTCCTTCCCAAGAAATTCTGTGGTATTTTCGGTATCTTTTCTCGAGATTGGTTTTCCAATGTCGTTTTAAATTATATTCTTTCGTGACGGATATTACTTGAAAACACTTGTTGTGAGTTAGGAAATATGTTTCCTCACAGTTTACCTCTTGTCACCTTTTTTTACACTCATTGTATGATGAATTGTTACATTTGACTAATTTTATTACTTGTAGCGTGAGCAGGCCTGGTGCTATCGTATCGCGAGTCTAAGGTACGAAGTTTAGATAAAAAGCGTGACCCATCTCATCGGCATGGTCCTGTCTGGACAAGACAATCCATTCTTCTTGTACCGATCACAGGACGTCATTCCCATATTGGCACGGTCTTGACGTTTATAGATACAACATTGAAATTCTGTGATTTTAACAAACATGAATCCCGACATCGGGATTAGGAAAAAGGCCAATGATTTAGTGCACGCTAAAATTGTTCTGTGGGCCGCACGGAAGGTGTCGGCGGGCAGAGGTTTGGACCGCCCTGAATTAGATCATAGAAAATATATAATTATGTCTCACATCCTGAAGGTCCGGGCTACACATTTTAGCCCCCAGTGAAAGCATGTGGGTGAAATAAAATTGGGCTTATTGTGAAATACTCACATCACAACAAAATATGCATAGTATATATCGGCGCATGAAATCCAAATTGGGCTAAGTCCATTTTTCTAGTTTTTAGAAAAACGCAAAAAAGTTTTTTTTTTGTTTCTTTTTTTTATTTCTTTAATACCTTTCATCGAGAATGTCTAGTTTTTATGGTCCCCCAAAGTTACAACAAAGGCCATATTTAGATGGTATAAAAAAATTTGTGCTCCGCCCCAATTTTTTTTGGGGGGGGGGGGGGGGTTTTGGACTTAACCTATTTTGGCTCTCAATTTTCTGGACCAGAAACAATTTTATTGGACTTAGGGCCCCTTTATTATGTTATTATAGAGACTGGTATGGACTTAGTGCTTTGTATTATATTTTTTGAGAGGAGCTATGTCCAAAAAGAACTTAGCCCCAACTTACAATGCAGGCATCCAGATCTAAGTCCACTATAGTAGACACAGCTCTGTTTAGTTCTCAAATGCCCTAAAAAAGCAGGGTTATGTCCATAGCTGCCTTGAGATCTAGAGCACCTAGAGATAAGGCAAATAGACCAAAATGTAGAGCTAAGTCCAGGAAAATCAGCAATTGAAAAATGTCATTTTCTGGAAAAGTGGACTTAGCACTGTTTGGTTTTGAGGTGTCGATATATATATATATATATATATATATATATATATGATTTCAACCCAGAAAGGTTATTAAACTTAAAAAGGCTGTTAGACAGTAAGGAACACGTGAATTTTCAATTTTCAAATTCCTGTAAACAATTTGGTGCATATTGCTTCAAACTAAGGACTCTGTTTAAATACTCGGGCACATATTTATTATCAAATAATTTTTTTTTCAAATTGAACATTTTTCCTTTTTTCTTCACCTAAACTAAATTAAAGATACAGTTATCACCTTTTACAACATTTTTAATATGTGGATTGTTCTGCCTTCTCATTGAGCGTTGAGGTTTAGGCGGAGCTCTTTTCTTCGTTTCTTCTGGTTTCGAATTTGACCCTATATATTGAATAAAAATGGGATAAAAAAGTTTTAACAAAGGATAACTGAGTATATTTATAATATTATATTAATATTATATTATAATATTATCAACTTTGGAAAAATATAGTATATATAGGCAAGAATTGAGTGAATATAAGGATTTTCCAGCAGGTATGGGCCAGGCGCGCAGCCAGAATTTTCAAAAGGGGGGGGGGTTCATAATCATAAATTCCCATTGCGGTCTGTAACAGTCTTCGCATTACGCGCTCATTAAAGGGACGTCTTTTCAGCATATAATGATTATTCTTGTCGCGTGAAATATTCAATCTCTGACAACTGCAAAATTCTAAAATGTATTTATATATTAGTTTAATTGTGTCCAACGTAACTCGCGGTTGCTTCTTCTTACGTCAAAACTAAAACATTAGTTCTCTGAAATGCCACGGCGATCGGTGGACATAAAAATATGAGATAAACGGTGTATTTAATTTTAATACGTATTTTTGGAATCTTGCCAACTCGTTATCGCCGTTAGAAAAATCTCAATAACTGATATAAAATCCCGAAAAGTACAATGAAAATGCATATGAAGTATATCGTTAAATCAAAAATACATATTCATCGCCGCGGTTAGGCCACTTGTTAAAAGAGCCGACATTTAAAATGTCTTGCTTTATTAATTTAATAGTCTTCAATTTAACCAGCGCTTGCGTCGACAAATCAAAACAAAACAATTTTTTACAATTCACAATTTTAAAATACCTCGGCCATTTGCCGACCAAAAAATAAAAATTTGTGGTAATTGCCTGTCGCCTATCATATATTGTTTTGATCCGTATTTTTTCTATTTTGCAAATTCGACAAATTTGAGATGTGCTTGTAACATTGACTCCGTTCAATCGCAATGCTGACACTCCGATTATTTTTAAAGATAAAACCTGAAAAATCCGTAAATCTGCTGTAAATTCTCATGGAGTAAAATTTATGTCAGTACAATGAAAATTGATGGATATACTTCGAATTAATTATCTTATATATCATCACAAACCGGGGAAAAATCGCCGTTAGAAAAATCTCAATAACTGATATAAAATCCCGAAAAGTACAATGAAAATGCATATGAAGTATATCGTTAAATCAAAAATACATATTCATCGCCGCGGTTAGGCCACTTGTTAAAAGACTTGCCGTTAGAAAAATCTCAATAACTGATATAAAATCCCGAAAAGTACAATGAAAATGCATATGAAGTATATCGTTAAATCAAAAATACATATTCATCGCCGCGGTTAGGCCACTTGTTAAAAGAGCCGACATTTAAAATGTCTTGCTTTATTAATCGTTAGAAAAATCTCAATAACTGATATAAAATCCCGAAAAGTACAATGAAAATGCATATGAAGTATATCGTTAAATCAAAAAAACATATTCATCGCCGCGGTTAGGCCACTTGTTAAAAGAGCCGACATTTAAAATGTCTTGCTTTATTAATTTAATAGTCTTCAATTTAACCAGCGTTTGCGTCGACAAATCAAAACAAAACAATTTTTTACAATTCACAATTTTAAAATACCTCGGCCATTTGCCGACCAAAAAATAAAAATTTGTGGTAATTGCCTGTCGCCTATCATATATTGTTTTGATCCGTATTTTTTCTATTTTGCAAATTCGACAAATTTGAGATGTGCTTGTAACATTGACTCCGTTCAATCGCAATGCTGACACTCCGATTATTTTTAAAGATAAAACCTGAAAAATCCGTAAATCTGCTGTAAATTCTCATGGAGTAAAATTTATGTCAGTACAATGAAAATTGATGGATATACTTCGAATTAATTATCTTATATATCATCACAAACCGGGGAAAAATCGCGTTCGCAACCTTGTTTAATGATAACACCAAAATTTTCTACGACAATTTTAAAGAAATGGATAAAAGACAAATCCCACCCACAATTAACCGTGTTTCGATTTTAGTGACGGTATGTTCCTAAACGGCGACCAAACATAATGTGCGCCGTAGGCACACGAAATTTTGCGATTTTGCGACCAGAAAAGCGTTTTTAGACTGTCGCGGGACTCAACAAAACTTATATTGTTTACGGTTTTATTTTCAGTATTTTATAATGCCGCTTTTCAATCAAATTTAGATCGCGGTTTTACTCCTTCTTTTGTATTAAGAACCTCGCCACCGATGAACGTATAATAACTCACGAATTCACAATTCCGTGCAAAGTACAAAAATAAAATAATAATCATGTTTATCGTGGCACAAATTTATGATTTAGTAAGAATAAAAACCGACGTAAGGGCATTTACGGCCTAAATAACACGCTGATGAAAACACGGGCGATTTTAGCAGAAGGCAATTGCACGCTTTTTCAGTTTTCACATTTCCGTGCAGGTACAAAAATAAAATAATTATCATTGTTCCCGCAGCACAAATTTGTGATTTAAAGAGAATAAACACCAATGTAAAGGCCGTTCACGGCATAAATAACATGCCGCGTTGATGAAAACGAACGGCGATTTTAGCAGAAGGCAATTGCACATGTTATCGGCAACTTTTTCACTGTTCAGAAAATTCAAAAGGGGGGGGGGTTTCGACCCCGAAAACCCCCCCTGGCTGCGCCACTGGGTATACCACACACTGCTACACCGAATAAACCTAACTGGTTGGAGCAGAGGGGTTAAGCAGGTGACCCGGCCCGCAAAACATTTAGTGTGGCCCTCGTCAACATCCCCCAACATTTTCCCCGATCAAGCATAAAATTAGGTCGAGATTAGGTCAGCAATGTTGTACTAAAAAAATTACGACCCTCACAAAAGCCAGCGCCTTACAAAGACTTGCTCAGAGAAAATGGTCTCATACAAAATCAATCAATCAGTTTCAGATTGCCTTTCAAAAGAAATAAGGCATGTATCTGTATGTCATATTCAGGGCTGAAGAGCTGGGTCAAAATCAAAGTGGCCCCGGCTCCAGTTCCTGCTCCGAGGCTGAGCTGGGCTCCACCAAAATGTCATGGCTAGAGGCACTCCCTCCAGCTCCCTAGCTATATATCTTACTATAGGATCATATATAACTATGATTAAAACTTAAAAAACAAGAAATTGGTAATGACTTAAGAAAACAGAATGTGCTAGTATTTTTCCAACCCACAATCACTTCTTTAAAAAAGTAGAATGATTTTCAATCCAAGAATATAACCAATACCAAATTGTTTCAAAAAAAAACAACCAAGCAAACAAAAAAATCCATTTACAGGCTATTTGTGGATAGATCAAGAAGTTCAGGTCAGAAAGTTTTACTTGCATAACAACCAACTCAAAAAAGCATTTTAAAGTTTTTCATGCAAATTTAAGCATTAACAAAAAAACTGCCGTAAATCAAAGGCGGAATATGCTTTAGTAAGAGTTTTATGAGAACAAGAGCTTACATATATAAATACGATAATATATGTTAATTTAGAGATTGCTTTAACAGGGTGATTCACTGTAGAATTTTACACAAGCCACATTTACACAAATTCATGAAAACTAAATTTTGGTGATACAGAATCATTGGGATAAGAATGCTGTTGGGATCAATATTGTCTTTTTTTACAGTGTAGAAAACAAAGTTTATTTTTTTGTCGTTCGACTGACAGTCAAAATGACCAAATTCAGAAACAAAATCTTTTTAAATCGAAATGCAAAAAAATTGAGCAACATCTAATCTAACTAGTTTCGAATGTATTTGAATCCCTACATCCATCTTACTTACCTATGCTTGGAAACATACATGGTGACCCAAAAGAACAAAACTCAGGTTATTTTGAACATATTCTAGAGAGAAAATAACTTTCGTGCAAAGCGTCCTAGATCACTGAAATCTATGGGTACAATCATACACACACATAAGTATGCAAGTGTTAAATAAATTTTACCTATTTTCACAGAAATTTACGGATTCTTTTTTTTGCGTCACCATGTATAATTTTTTTCAAAGGTGGCTAGCAAACAAGCAAAATAAGAATAAAAAAAGCAAAAGAAAACCTGACCTTCATTATCAGTAGAATGAACACAACCATGCAATTCAGTGTTTTCATACGATGCCACGTTGGTTGGTTTGTTACTTTGAGTTGGGGCATTGGGGGGAGTTATAGATGAAGTACTACCAGGTTTAAGGTTTTTATCAGGGGCTTGGGGCAGGACTTTTATCACAGCACTCAATTGTTCTGGTGACTGTCTGTCATTGTCAGTTTCCGTATCGCCGAACTGAGTATTAACATATTTATGATCTGCGTCATTAGAAACAATATGATTTGTTGAAATCTGTTTGTTAGTTTGTTGCAGAATGATTGTATTCTCATAAGCAGGAGGTAACGTCGTCACTTTGTTTTCTGATGCTTTTTTCGCAGATGAGTCGACATTTTTCGCGAAGTCACCTCTGTGAGGAGACAGACTTTGCTTAATATAAGGCTTGGGAGTCGCAACTCTAAGGTTAACCGACTCTCTTCTAGTTGGTGGAAATTCTGACGAGTCTTTTGTTTCAGGTTTTATTGTTGCAACGAAGACCGCTCCGTAACTGGCATCAGCTTGAGTGTAGCTTTTACCTTGGATTGGAAACATTTTGATTCCAACGTCTTCGTTGTGACGATTAGGGTTATTTTTCGATCTATTCGGACCAATATTTTCATATGACTTTGGCACTTTTGAATCCATTTCACTTACTGAGGCTGATCTAACGATGGTAGATTTTTGTGGCACAGTTGGCCGTGTTTTTTTCGTCTCGTTCAAGTCAAAAACTGATTTTGAAATTCCAGACTTACTCTGTTCATTAACCTTTGCGGATTGCTCAAAAATCTGACTGTAGGGTCGTAATCCAGTTCGGCCTTTCAAAGAGCTTCGCATGGCATGATTAGTGTGCTTAACTTGTGAATTTTCGAACTCTTGTATGATGACCTTTGTAGCTTTTGGTTTTGGCATTACAGCAGGTGGTGTTTTTTTTGTCAGAGGATGAGAAGACTTGGCCTTATCTGAGATTGGAGATTTTTTGTCTGTATCATTGTCAACATCACCCTCTTCTGTGATGTGCAGTATAGTTTCTTGAATTTTCATCGCAGGCTTATTAGGGACTGGTTTCAGGGCAACATTTGGAGTTTTAATATCCTTTGTTTCGAAAAGGTGTACTTTATCAGAAATTGGGCTTTTGGGAGATTTGGGGGCTTTCAACAAAGGCGGTTTTTTCGGAGGTTGAGGGTGAGGACTTTTTGGTGATTTCTGATCACTGTTCTGAGGCAAAATCAACGAAAAAGAAATATTTGATTTCGTGCTAGAAGAATCATTCGAAGTTTTTACATGCACTTGACTGGGTAATGTCGGTTTACCTGGTGGCTTTATGGGTGGACTCGCATTTGGCTTTCTAGCTGATGGTTCAGGTCTGAAATAGAGAAGATTGCTTGAATCAGAGACAATGTTGAAGAAAGAGTAACCTAGGTTAGATCGGAATAAATAATGTATTGTGGATCAAATTGGTCTGTGTTTGAGAGTTACTTTATTGCCAATAGGTCTGTGGAGTTGAAAGAATTCTACACCATACTTTGAGCTAGTCGAAAATGACTCACTCCGATACAGACTCACTCCAGACTTTCTGATTGACAAGAATTTCGACTCTTGACGCCCGGTTGGAGAATATTTTGGCTCATCTCCAGCTCCGAGAAATCCATTATTTGCATTGTTAATTACTTCATTATACAAAAAATCCAATTTATTTATATAAAAATATTCTTTTATGAATTAGTAACCATACGACAGTATAATATATACAAAAATATTCATACTTTACTGGTTTGGGTTTCGTACTCAGTGGGGGAGCTTTAACAATTTCCTTTCCTGGAATTTGGGAACCAGACGTAGTTCTTGGATGTGCTGGGCTTCTTACATTCGAGTTATTCAACAAGTTTTGATTTTTTTGCATCACCCTTGGTTTCGGTGTAACTGGCGTAACTGTGGGTGACGGTGGTTTCCGATCATTAGCTAGATTTGAGATAACGACTGGCACACTTTGTTTTCTGTCGTTGAGATTAGTATACGTAGATTGTGAATTATTGACCGTTATTTGCGACATGGGTCGACCCAAAGTCGGTCGACTAGGTTTGGCAGGGGGGATGTCGTCTTCTGTTGGGGAATGGCTGAATTTTTGGCCCCTATCAAGGGTTCTCATTTTGTTTTGTTGTTTCCTGAGAAAATCAATGTTTTCGTAACTCAGTGCCGTAGGTCTTTGAGATTCTGCTACATTTTTCTTATCAATGCCATTTGACGTTGCTGAAGAAATGTTGACATTTACATAGTCACCCTGAAAATATACAGATATTGTCAATTATCATATTTAATTTTTTGATAAAAATTCACTCAGTTACAAATAACTATTGTCATTAATTGTAAACATTCTCTATATTATTACCAATAGACCACAAATACTGATTCAAATGTAGATGATAAGTACGATACTACAATTTATTATTTATTTTTAACAAGTTTCAATGATGGGAAAAAATATTACAACAAATATTACCTGCTGATAACCATTGTTAAATTCTTTAAATGAAACTGTCCTGATCTGCATATAAACTCGAAACATTTCAGCTATTGCCATATTGACAAATTCATACTGATCCTGCAAAATAGATTGTGGTTGTATTATAGAATTAAAAATAAACACACATATTAACAAACATGAAATACTGATAATATATGGAGACCTTGCAAATTCCATTTTACAACAAGTTAGCAATTCCTAAATTGACAAACCCTCAAACATGGATTCAAGTACCGTATATCCTCTCAAATAAGCCGAGTTCAAACTAAAAAAAAAGTTGACAAGCTAAGGGGGCGGCTTATACGCAAATAACTCTGATCGCACTAAAAATTCCGCTTATACGTGCATAACTCTGATCGCAATACAACGAAATGGCATTATCCTAACTTAATTCCAACAGCAACAACTTGAACCATGCTGAGTTCTCACGATAAGATTTGTAGGGTCGGCTTATATGCGGGAATATACGGTAAATAAATATGACTATCGAGTAGTTGGAATAAAGATTAGTCAGAAATGAATAAAGTACTATTACATTTGGAACAAAGTATCAAATATGGAATATCAAGAATATTTTAAACGTTCGCTTATTTGAAAGGCCTGTTTGTTATACAATCATATGTTTATAGGTTGACAAAAATAGTGTTTTGATCATTTCACTGATTTTATTATTAATTCTTTCTAAGAAAAGTTAAATGAGTCAGTTTTTTTTTGACATGAAATCGTAACATTCTGAATTACTTCCAAAATTAGAAATTGACTAAACCTAATATAATCTACTCCGCCTGTATTTGAATATTCAATTTAATAAACATCACAGGACCAAATAAAAACTTTTTAAGCCTATCCAATTCATCACAACCCAGTATAAGTGATAACAAGGGTGTAACAGTCTGTCAAAACTTGAATAGCAAATATTGAACTTGAGATGTTCATATGTTCATGTTGATCATGTCATGCTATGACTTTCAAAAAATTTAATACATATATAGACGCATACCTTTGTCTGAACAATTGCTGGTCTTTGTTTTCTCATATCTGATATAATATTAAACGCCTTCAGTCCGCTTGGCACCCTCTGAAATGTATATTAATTACGGTAATATGTGAACACCAAACTTAATTGGAAACAATATTCAAACATTCGAAGTGGTTGGAAAATCTTGTTGTACAATATTGACATATGCTTTTTTGTCTAATCAGTTTTGCTCAATCTCCCAATTATCTTCTACTTAGGGGAATTTTGTGTTGACTAGTCGCCAGCTAGACTGGACAGGCAAAACGTGTTACAGAACGTATTATGTCCACTCATAAGTAGAAGGAAATCTTGGTGTTAAACTTTTGTTGCTCTTGTACTACTGTGAGTCCTGCCTTTTGTCACAATTATAGCAAAGTTTTGCAAATTTTTTGGTACGTATACCAGGTTAGGGTTAGGCAATAATTTTATTCCGATTTTCCTCATTTTAGTTCCATTATGCGTTCGGGGACTGTCTGTGTTAGACAAGTGAATATACCCCCTGCCCATAGGTTTCAGTCCCTTTACACAATTTAATGTAAAGTAGGCGAACAGAATTAGTTATCTATCTCCATATAGGTATACACACTTCTAGAGCGCCAATTTTTTTTATACAATAAATAGTAGTAGCATCTTACCTTATATTCTAACAAGTTCCGAACATAATCAACTGCTAATACAGCTCCAGTTCTTCCACAACCAGCACTGCAATGTACACACAGTGGAGTGCTTTCATCTTGACTGCAAAATATTTGTATAACCAAATTTGAACTTGGACAACAGTCACAATAAGTGCAAATAACTAATCTCAACAGCAACATCCAAAATTACAAAAATATATTACAGGTATAAACTTCATAAAATTTGAAGTTCATACAAACTTTGTTGTAAAACAAAATTAAAGTGGTTGAATGGACTAGTTCTTCTTTCGCTCTGTCTTTGCGCCAGTGAATCCGTATACACTGACTGCAAGCATACCATAGCAAAAATTAAACAAATATACCAAGTAGCTCAAATGTCTCCATTACACTTTCACATATAAAATCATGTAACATTTTATCTGGTCACAAAACCAGACTTTATTCACGATTGGCACGCTTTTGGCTGTTCCCCTGGGAATGAAACTTTGATCCAGACTTTCGATAAAGCGCACAATACTAGGGTGACAGAATGAACAAGTGTGAAATTTCATCCATATCGGTCAAGCCGTCAAGACGCTAAAGCTTCGACACACAGACAGACAGAACAACCGAGAATGAGGGTCCCCTACAGCTGAGATCCAAAAGTGTGATGCAAGACAAATAAGTCACTCAAAATAACTCAAACCACGATTTTTGAACTGTCATTTCAATCGGATAAATTCAGTTTTATTCAACTATTCTAAATATCACTAATTCATTATCATTACAATTTACACAGTGATATTTTTAATAAACAAGAAAACTCTACCTGTATGATTGCACATCTCGAACATGATTAATTAAAGTAAGAATCTCGAGGCAAGTTTTAGGAACTCCGTGATCAGGCCAGCTAACATAATGGAACTGATGAATATAGCGAACCTCCTGAAAATTAAAAAAAAAAAATCAACTTCATCCAAAATTCGAAGGAACCTGTGATTACTGAATGAATGAAAATATTGAAATCCCATTGTCAATTATAGTGTTCAATTTTGAGTGTTGAAACACAAAAGGCAACAAATTGGATAGGTTACGGCAATATGAAATAATAAAAAACGATAGATGGCCTCAAGAACTAAACGAGAATATCGGTTGGAAACCGAAGACTTATCGATCGATAGTTAGGGGATCCCCCAAAACAGAAACTGCAGTTTCGATTCATCCGCTCTTGTAACTTGCGCACTGCGCATCGCACACACACACTCGGCGGGTTTCAAAATTCTCTCGCTTTACAAAAATCAAGATCACTATATCAATAATTGATTGATAACTCGCTAATTATACGACATAATTCGCCCAAAAATCAATAGGCTTCTGGTCCGAGATAAGATGAATGCACATGCAAAATCTGGAGCAGATTCAATCTCGCTTTCGTGAGATATCACCTGCATCTAACAGACACACACACAGACAGACAGACATACAGACAAATACCTATCAATATACTTACCGATCTTAAGATCGATAAGTAACAACCAGTGTATTAGAATTTAGAAATGTATTAAATATCACAATATCCAGGAACTTAGCCTGAAATTTACGAAGGGGGGTTCTGAAATTTCTTATTGCCAAGTAAAACCGTAGCGGGTCAAACCGGGGGCAGAAAAACGTGGGTTTCCAAGTCTTGAAGGTCTAAAAAGCGTGTCAAGCTATGAAAAAATTACGGTACTCCCGTATTATGTGTACCAGGTTAGGGCTAGGCCACAATTTTTTCCTTATTTTACGATAGTTCCATTAGGAGTCTGGGACTGTCTGTGAATATGATCAAGTGAATATACCCCCTACCCATAGGTTTAAGTCCCTTTACACAACTTGATGTGAAGTAGGCGAACAAAATTAGTTACCTCCATATTGGTACACATACTTCTGGAGGGCTGATGTATGATACAGGAAAATACTTTTTTACATTCCCCTAGAGGGGAGGTCTCGGACCTCTGAATGATAGAATGATTCCCAATTTATATATATAGTGATTTTTAAGAAAACAGCTATTTTACGTAATTGAGTCAACAGAAACTACTTTCGATCAATTTTATCTCACGGTACACTCGCTTGTGCAAACTAACAGTTTCATATTGTTACAACAAACAAAAAATGGCTCATTTTAAGTACAGTAAATGGTAATATAGCACAAACAGATAGAACAGTACTTTACCAATCCACTGCAACAGTGGTTCTCAAACTTTTCTCAAGTCGTGCTCCCTTTTTAGAATTTTTTTTAGAAGTTTCACGCCAAAAATACCTAGCTACAAATAACAGATCGTGAGGCTAAAGTATGTTTCATTAAAAAAAAAAAGACGTTGAAAATATATGGATGGAATGTTAATATCTAAAATCTGATCTAACAAATATTTCCTTAAAAAATTGTCTACACCCCCCTTGTGAGGTGCGCCCCATCATTTGAGAACCACTGCTTTGCAACATGAACCATTTGTGGCACATAAACGATTGTGTCAACAAGATAGCATCTGCTGCATTACGTAGAAGAATTTCATAGATAATTGTCGACATTCTTTTGATGACAGCTAAAACAAACAGTAATCAGTAGAGAAAACAATCGAGGCAAACATACAAAACATATTTAGAAATTTAAAATTAATCGCACAACTAATGGAATTCTTGGAAGAATCAAAAAAATTTTCATTTCCATTAACCAAACCGAATACAATCATAATGAATACAGTGATGATAATACATACATTTCCTTTTTCAGCTTTGATGGTTCGCAGACAATATCCATCTTTAAGATCATCTTTTTGACTCTGTGATGTCAAGAAAATAACATATTTTTATAATGAATAAAATTACCACAGGATATATCTCGTTGTTTTATTTCATGCTAAAAAGCACCGCAACAAAATGACTAATTCTTAAAATATTATACACTTAGTATAATATATAAAATGAAGTGGAATATATATATATACATAATAAAGTGAGTCAATCTGAAGAAATTGGTAGGCTGCATTAGATTCATTCAGTGTATACTATACTCAGTGAATTCAGTCACTATATACACTCATATTTTCATTTTAGGAAAATTTACAAAACTTCAAATTTATTTCAGTTAATATGGTGAAATAATCAAATTTATTAATGGCATGAAAATGGAGATTGCCTGACATTTGAAACAAATTGAAGTTATTGAAGAGGAATCAAATTTATGTTGTATCTATACAGACATATTTAAGGTATAAAATGAAATATTCCTTGCATATGTGATATATTCAAGATTTTGGTATGAAATTTAACGATGTATGAATATTACCAACAAAAAAATTCTTTTTAAATTTAATGGAACCACATTTTTTATAAGCAAATCTTTTCCTTTAAAAACGATATTAATAACAAAAATATCATTATTGAATTTTGTTGAACTGAATTTTACAAAAAATATAAATGGGCTGATATTTCATATAAACATAGACAAAATATCAATCCAATATACTATAACTATAAACAAAAGGAAAATGTAATACATCGTTTGGTGCATGACTATTCGAACATAACCCACACATATATATATATATGATAATTATCCTACCACCTATTTCTAAGTTTGATTATGGTTAGGTTAGTAGAGCAATATGAAAGACAATGTGTCAATGATTTTGCCGCTAATCCACTTAATAACACCATCTTAAAACTAGTGAATTACAAGCTTAAAGTAGGTTTAATAAATTTAAACATACTAATTAAAAAGAGTTCAAATGGAGTGATATAATGTGTAATTATGGTAACCATAATTATTAACACTATTATATGAAATATGCAGACTGAAATACAAAATAATGAGAATGTAATTTATATATAGCATTGACTTGTGAATTATCATATAAAGCATAAATGTGAATGCTATAGCCTATATACATATTAATATAAAGTAGTTTGAGAATAGTATTGAAATGCATGACACAAAACTTCCTAGTCATTTGCATGTAACAAGTCATAACCAGCCACCAAGTAACGAATACTGAATAATTATAATTGGTATGATAACGAATTATATAACTCTAACAAAGAAACTAATGAGAAACTTACCAAAGACACAACAATGTCACCAAATGTTTTCGATTCTCCTCTATCTGCCCAGTACCTGAAACACAAAATAAATAAACTAATCACAGACACGTGCAAGAGTATATGTTTAGTAAGCCTCTGAAAGGATCGTAGTCTAAATAAAAAAACTTCACAAAACCTTTAACTAAGTTAAATATTTACACTACTATAACAAAAAATGCACTCGAAATGAAGCGAACACTTATATAGGTAGCTAACCAATATTGAATAATATTTTAGCTTGTTATTATTGTTATCAAAGAAACATGGTTGAACAATAAACAACATTGAAATATGGTTCAAAGGAATAAACAGTATTTTTCATTATTATTCTTGCTTTGCACTGAACAAGATAGCACTTAATTCAACGATCTATATACAGAAATATTATCTATAGCAAGGGTGGGCGAAACTTTTTGTGCGGCTCTTCTCGGTAACATTATTTAATATCAAAATTTAACTAAGAGAAAAACTTTAATGAAGTTTTCGTCAATAATTAAGACAAATTATGTTTTAGTATGAAAATCGATGTAGCGTTGAATTTTGAATTTAAGTCAGTCAAGTCAGCAACTCTTTCGTCACAATGGTCAAAGTTTATTGATGCGTCGGCAGTATTGCAGCTTGATTGTGGTTAGTTAGTCTAGATTACTGTGCGATATGTCATCAATTAAGAAACGAAAGTACGAAGATAAAAACAGTTGTGAAGTCATAATGGGAAGAAGAATATGCATTTACCAGTCAGAAGAATAAACCTTTGTGTTTAACCTGCCATAAGCTACTAGATCAGCAATGTTAAACGGCACCATGAAACGAATCATGAAAACTTCTTACGAGACTACCCTCATAAATCAGCTATAAGGAAACACAAATTAAATGAGCTCAAATTGTGCATATATTTGAGCATAGGTGCCTTGTTTATTGTTGTTAGATTCTTGTGTGAATTTCTTTTCTGTTCATATTATTTTAATAATAAAAAAAATTATGAGGGTATGCTTGCAATTCATGTGACAACTTTTGTTCGACAGCTTGGCACTTTGCTTTGAGCAAACTTGTAAAAATAAATATTGGCATATAGAATTTTCTATTTACATTCAATTAGTTAGATCAGTAAGAAACAAACTAACAACAAACAAAACAGCAGCTGTCTCTTTAATTCTGAAATGACTTGGGAAAAAAATACTTTGCGTAAAAAGTATTCATATGAAGTAAAATAAAAGGACCATAATATTTACAATATAACAATTTTAAAAGAACGTTCGCATGATAATCCATTTAAGCTTTAAAATCTGCTAAAACCAAAACAAAAACCTGGCATGTTCCAAACTATTAATAGATATAACCTTTCACATTTCTTTTTACCAAGCTCAATTTCTCGACAAACCATCACGATTACTTTAATATTATACTGCCACAACATTTGCCAAAAATCCAGAATAGTGTGAGGCAGAGGTCCTTGTGAAGCAATGTAGTTTTGATGACCATCTGCACCCTGAGAAAATATAAACAATCATAACATTACGAATTGAGAGATTTAGATCTTGGGATTTAGGATAAGATTTTCATATTTAATCCGGGTGAAAGGAATGACGATTAGACGGCTTAATTCTATGGTAAACCATGGCCTCTCGTCTGGTTACCAGTCCATGTATACGAATTGTTGGTAAGTTATGTTTCAGATTCATGGACTTGGGAAACACTATAAATTGGTATTTATGAAAGTGGAAAATACAGGATTTGCATTTAATAATTTTCGAATAGCAAAATGGAGATAAATTATGAAATACAATATCAGACATTCAGTTCGGACATCTGCTAGCTAGGACAACTGCTAGTTAAAAAAAGTTGAATACCAAAATGAACAGAATTCAAAACGAATCGAATGTTTAAATGCATTGAAAATAGAGGAATGTCTGTAATTGCAAAATCCTTAATTTAGGAATCATTTTGGCCCTCTGAACAGAATATAAATAACATGATAACATATGGTGGGATATGCCGTACTAGTCTATTTATCAATTTGTAAATTATTGTGAAAGATGAACTACGTAAAAAAGGAAATAGATGGAGGGATTTCTAAATATTAGATCATATTATTCTTCGAAATTGGGAGGAGCGAATTAATAGAGAACAAATCACAATATTTTATAATGCTATATTGTGTACTGAAAATGTTTTTTAAATCAAATACATATGTCATTCAATTGCCTTTGAATTTCCCAACCAACATCTAAGAAACCCGAGTTAAACCTACATAGGTTATGTTTGCTAAAATGCCAATTGTCAATGCAATATTCATAAATAAGACGGATAAAAGTGGTATTAGAAATCAAACAACACATACCGGTACCTGAAAAATTTAAAAAGAATGAACAATGCGTTATTGATCTTTAAGACTTTAACCTAATTTGTATTCCATGATATTACGAATCATTTCCCAATGAATATTCAAAATGGAAACACTTTGATGAGGTTATAACGAAATAGCGTTTGATATATTCCCACTCAATACAATGACATGACTTGCTACTTCCTTGCAAAATCAGTCTTAGGAGAATATACGGTTGCTACTTGCTACTATTACAAATGAATCATTATACAGAAGAAACAAAATACACATTATTAAAGCAACAAGAATACATATAATATATATGTGTGTGGCAGTGCTACGGCCAATAAAGAAAACTACGTTTTGCAAGATAAATTGAAAATAATTGTAAGCAGATTAGCACAGCAATGAAGTTGAAAGCTTGGTAACACTGTTTGGAAATGCATAACAGACTATTTCTGACATGGCAAACTTTGGCCCACGGGAAAAATCCGGCCCGCTGGGTAGTTCAATCTGGCCGACTGATGTTGTCACAGCCCAACTGAAACCAAATTTTGATGTTTAGCTGAAAAACTGCACAAGGAATTCGTTGAGATTGCGATGAAATTTAGTTTTGGCACGAGGCTTATTGTTTTCCGCATTTACTTTTGTAACACTGTAAATATTGTTCATGAAATGTAAGTTTTTACGTCACACGTACATGGCACTCCAGTCAAAGAGGCAAAATTTTTGACCCCTGGTCCAAAAAAGTGGACTATTTTATGAAACCTGACAAATAATAAACCCAAAGAGAATCGTAAAAAAATTCAATTCCAATATGTTGATACTTTACTAACATTGATAATTAGACTCATTACCCAAAAATGATTAGTCTTACTAAAAATCAGCAAAATCGAATAATTCACTATTTCAAATACATTCTCAATAATTTTCAAATTTCAACGATCGAATATAGAATATATTCTAAACGGGGCATTATTTAACATAGAATATGTGGAAGTGTATTCACATTCATGAAGTTATGTCGAGATAAACAATAGTTGTTCTCCATATCCTACAATTCAATTTTATGAAACCATACAAGACATTCTTGATGTAACTGTGAGACTCTTTTAAATGCTCAAAATGACAATTTTCAAATCTTGTATTTTTGCTATGCATGGCCGTATAATCTGCCAGCAATTTGTACCAACAGGGTACACTCCCATCAATTGTTCCTATTTCACGATATAAACAAATATTTTATGAATAAGTCATTGCCGCCAGCTATTCGACCTAATGTAAGGTCAAGTCAAGCAGTAAATCCCATATAACAATGTTACCAATATTTTCACAAACGATCTCGGCATGTATTATAGTAATGAGCATGAGCACATATAAAAAATATCTTGTTATAAGGAATTTAAAGAAGTGTACGAAAAATTAAAGATATGAAATATGATTATAATCAAAATTTGACCCTTGTCAATCTGCACTCATTGCCTAAACTCGAAATTTAATATTACCGGTATTTGAAAATTTTTAAACCTCTAAATCTGACATGGGCAAACTGCGGGCCGCGGGCCAAATCCGGCCCGTTGGGTAATTCAATTTGGCCTGCCTGCCACAACCAAACTAAAACCAAATAGCTCACAGAATTTGTTGAGATTGCAATTAAATTTAGTTTTGGCAAGAGACTTATTGTTTTCCACTCTTGCTTTCACCTCACACTTACATGGCCCACCAGTCGGCCCCTGTTCCAAAAACCTTGCACACCCCTGATCTAAATCATAAGTTGCTGTTATAATTTTCACTAAATAAAAGCACCATTGCTATGTTAAAAAAGAACAGCATGAAATAAAAAGCAGTATCCCTTTCTGTATATATGTCAATAGGTATGGGATGTTAAATTCATTTGGGTTGCCTTATAGCCTTTTAGTTTTTCATTGCATAAAGTAAGGGTAATGCTAATTTCATCCGTTCTGGACAATGTTATGGGCGCCACTGAAGTAGCATACAAGGAATCATAAAACTGCTGCAACTATTTATAGATGTAAGCAGAATCAATGAATCACAAAAAAGATTATTTCTGCAAAAAATGATCATTACAAATTGAAGGCTGTTTAAAGTATTATAATAAAGTGATTGAATCAATTCATTCACAATATTCACTTAAAATGCACAATCAGCAAATCCTCAAGCCTTCATCAGCAAAATCAGTCATATGCATTTACGACAATCATTGCATCAAATTGATTAAAATATGAACAACATCAAACCATGGACTATCATATTGAATAAGTCAAGAAATGTAAGAATGTAATAATTGAAAACATTGTGTTATTATCATTGTCAATGAATGAATCAGCATAATGCATTATATTCTGCTATATATAAATAGCAAGGGAAGAAATTGAGTAATAACAGGAAGCTTACAAACCTTAATAAAACTTGCATTAATGTAATCTGAGTTGACATCGTCATTCGTATTGGTCAATTTCACTCTTGAAAAATCAACTAAAATGAGGGAAATATTTCTGTAATTAGAATAAAATCTACTGTGGATGAAAACAGAATGCAATTTGCAAATATTAAAGAGCTATTATCAGTGGCATACCAGCCTATTTCATAAGCTGGCTGTTATTTATTAACTAAGAGGAAGAAATAGGATACCGGTAGATTTTAAAACAGAAAGTCCTTGAAAAACAAATATTGGCAATTTCAGGATGGATTTCTTATCTGGTGCTAGGATTTTACTAATAAAGCTATATTGCTAAATGGAGTTTTGGGATAATAGAATTCAAATATATTTATCAAACTTGTCCAGAAATAATAGCAAAACTAAATTTAGGTAAATATTTTCATGAAAAAATAATTACAAGGTAAATTCATTGAAAAAAATTATTGTGATATTGTCCAATGCTTCTATTATTAAACAATAATATTTCTATTCAGGCATTGGATAATTAAATTAGCCTTTCAATCAGTGCTTCCCAATCGTTCGTGACCCACTTTTACCCACTTTTCACTTCACCCACTTTTTTCTATGCGACCCACAATGAGATTTTAACATACGAGAATGAAACAATGTATTCCCATGCAATTTACTATAGTTGCGAAACTTGATTTTGCATATTGGATATTATCTGATCAAATCTGATAACAACGCATAATTCTAATTGTTACATTGTTTCATAATTGTTACGTAATCATAACCCCACAATTTATTAATCATAGAACTTCGCTCATTAGTCGCAATTCGTAAAGTCGTAAAGATAATACAATATTGTACAACAATCTTACATGGTGTGATATCCTTATATCGATTTTTCTTCTTGTTTTCTGGTATCTGTCCAGCATGGGATTCATGATCAGGACTTTGCTTCAAATCAGCACTGAGTTGCTTCAATTTCTGAAAGTAGTGAAATAAAATTAGTAAAATAAACCTGAAATTCATATGCAATGCAATATTCCATTCTTTGCGTATTCTATGTATTGCTTGAGACATGTACTTTGACCAAATAAAAATTCTACTTTTTTTCATATATAATATGTAGCAATATATGATGCATAGCATCTCCACTTTAGCAAAACAATAGGTAGCGGGACAATAGATAAAACTTCCGCTATTAACAACATCAATACTTAGCAATATGCTAGCACACTAATGACACTATATTGCCCCATATATATATATATATAGGCTTGTACCATTTTCTTCCAAGAAAAACCAAAATTGTTATATATAGTTAAAATACCATGGTTTTGGGATACAGTATTCAAATTATATTCAATAGGTAAGATTATAGCTTGATGCATGTTCGCAAAGCTTAATCTTATTAATTAAAAATTCATTATCAAAAAGTATTGACATATGTTGAAACTATCAACAGGTTATTATTATATAATGTTTAGACAGAAAATGTGTTATATTTAATTAAAAACTCATAATATAAATAACCGTAGCTGAGCAAATCGAAAAATGCTAATTTTGTTCAGCTGATAAAAAAAGAAAAATATAGGCTATTAAAAAACCAGATTCAAAATTAATAGATGTTGAATTGTCTAGTCCAGTGGTTTCCAACCGGGACATGTTACATGGCACCCCAGGTGTGTGCAGTCCAGGGGTTCCGCTAGTTTCCATTCAAATCTACATTAGATAGTCTACATTATTAAATGAGTATTATTCAAAAATAACACTATTATTAAACTTTGCTACACTCCAAAGATCATTTTATTTCGTCAGTATTTGGTTCACTTTTATATATATTAATAATCTATACAATGCAGACAATCAAACTATTTCACAGGGGTTCCTAGAGGCTCTGGAATGGTTCATTGGGGTATTATGAGCCACCATTATGAACAACAAATTTGGTATTTTAATACATTCAAAGATAATTCGAGCAGTATCTGCAACAAAAAATTGTTAAACTATGATAAAGATTTTTGAAATACCAGCTGTACCATACTGGATATTCACTTAGATATTTTTTCAGACAAACAACATAAATTCATTCAGCTACCCTAAATACACTTACGGTATCAGACACAATCATTAAACTTAGTAGCAGTCCAAAGGAGTCATTCAGCTACCCTAAATACACATACGGTATCAGACACAATCATCAAACTTAGTAGCAGTCCAAAGGAGAACAATATCTACAAATGCATTGTGAAAAACAAGTCAGATGGTTTCGGTATTTTATTGCTAAGTAAATTTATAAATCATACCTGAAAATCAACATCAAATCCTGTAATTCTTCCTGGAGGAACAATCTGATACAGATCATTGACATACGCAAGAAATTCATTCAGAGGTTTATCGTCTTGTGCCATTTGAAATGTTATCCATTAGTTTTATAATTCATGTCACTATATCTTTTAATACAGAGTATTTTTGATAAGTCCTAGCATCAATATATTGACTAAATTGTAATCAAAGTTAGTTAACATACATTGGAATATTGTTAATTATGGTATAAAAAATCAATAACAGATACAAATTACATCATTTGTTAAATACAATGGAGTATAATAATAATACTAACTTTTAACTAAGCCAAAAAAAAACGAAATTCGAAAAAATAATTTAGAACACAAGAATACAGACAAAATGGGATCATTGTGCAAAAGAAAAACGCAATTCACATATAGACAGAGCAAAAATTGGCCCTCATAACCCCTTTGCTACGATATAGAATAAAAAAATCTCCCATGATAAAGTGACTTACAATGTATACCGTAATTCAGTATATACGAAGGTTCTTATGCACAATGTATAGAATCAGGTTAATCAAAATTGAAACTTGTTACGATAATTTTGAATGCTGGACTAACAAAGTATTTAGTGATATTGGTAACACAAAGATTGATTAGAAGCCCGATTTTTATTCCCCCTCGATAAACTGATTATTACGCATGTGAACGATATAAATCAATCAATCAATCCAAAACCAATATGTAGTTGAATACTAGGATAAATTACTACTAGAGCGTGTTTTCAGATAGATTTGTGCAAAGAAATTAATATGGTAAATAAGACCGGAAAAGCTTTATGAGACTACGACATTTCATTTTCAGAAATTTGCTAATTTTGCGGTAAAATTGATCCAAGTCATATTTTACTAGTAAAATGGATAGCCTAGATTACGGATTCTCAAAAATTCAATATACCGTAAACAAAATTTGAAAATAAATACAATTCGAAAAAGATGAAATTACATTATTCTATGTAAAATTCGCCGTTTGTGTATTGAAATCACAATTTTGCCCCATTTAATTTATTTAGAATATTCCAAATCTATAAATCCAAATATCGGTTGAATATTTGCAAATAGGTGTTTTCCATATAGGGCGTTATTTATCTGATTCAAAGCATGTATTAGGATTGTGTTTTTTGTTATTACTCAGTCTTATAGTAGAATAAGAAAAAGTTCAAAAAGGATCAACTGCAGTCAGTGATTGGCACTACCAATAATGTTGCCAATGAACAAGCAATTATTAGGTGCGAGTATATTAGTCATCAAATCCACTAAAAAATACATTTTGAAAGTTTTAATACTTCATCAACATGGAGTTGTGCCAATTTTATACCACCATCGATTTCTTTCCCTCCTGAGTAAGTCAATCATGACTCAAAAGTCTGATTCAAAAATATAGGCATATGCTTTAAATGTGCACACACAAATACAAAATTTTGGAACCTTCTCGAGAAAAACAACCATTATGCACAACAGACATAGCTGGAAAAATAATTTTGTACTCAGTAACTCAATAATTGTCATATTTGTTTCGAGCCAGAAATATTAGGGGTAAAGCAGGATAGCCTACAATCTTGAGCTTCTAAATCTAAGAAATTGAGTATTGAGAAAATTGAAAACTCCTGTCTTCCAATGCAAATAACTCCTTGTAAATACCCTATTACCCTAACCATAAATAATATTGAAAATAGAACAAAATCGAGGACAAATATCTTATTTTAATCCATCCAACTGGTACCTGACTTGATATCCAAAAGTTGTCAAATAAATTTTAAAGTATGGTATTTGGATTTGCTATAAATTGCGCAAACTGACAAAGTGATATGGCTAAAAAACATGATTGCAGAATTTTAATAAAAAAGCTTTGAAATTTTTACACAATAATATGAATAGTCTTCTGCAAAATTGAAGAATGAATTGGAACTAAGCGTAAAAAAACGACATTGGAAGGATGGAAGTATAATAATATAATGAAAAAAAAATCAACAAAATCCTTTCCTGTTATTCAGGAAATTTATTGATGTTTTATCGACAATACTACTTTCACAAATAGTGCTACATTTACCATTTTCATGATATTTTGACTTGAGCTAGGATTCAGTTGAGTTGACCCCAGCGTTCAATTTTTATTTCTTGAAAAATTTCTCTTTAAAAAAAAAAAAACTCTTTGAGTAACTACTCGAACTCTGGATATTACACACATCCCGCTACTGACTCGACAGGGTTGATGACATGTTGTGTCAGTCGGAAGAGAACCATTACTCATTGCAGCATATAAATCTTGCGCACTGCACTCTTGTGGGTTCAGGGGTTCGGGTTGCATGTATTTTGCCAACAAGCTGGGAAATATGGCAGATATTATTTCCAATCCAGATATAGATAGTCTCAAATGAAATCTGTCTATTAACAAAATCTTTCATTTAGATATGGTATTCAATTTTGCAATATCGGAGCCAGAATTATTTACCCAAATCAGATTATGAATACATTAGAAATGATCAAATGATACAGTAAAATTTTTGCTACATTTAGACTATTGAACATATTCACCATTGTTTGACTGTTAGTATTTGTTAATATTCACTAAATAACTACAGTGGTATAAAAATATAACAATGAAATCAAGATCTATAAACGAACATTCTTTTTGCACAAACGGCGCCAACAGCCGAAACATATCCTTTTAGGTTTTCCAATTCGTTATTCTTTGCTTGTTTTTGAGATTCTAAAAGGTCTTCATTCATATCATCACAGTGGTTTTGTTCAGCTTCAACAAGAGCATTATATTTAAGACTTGTATATAAACCATACCTCATTAAACTTCTTCTGTGTAGAATACCAATTTCATTCATATCAAAATCTTCTCTACCACTATGCTGATCGACATCGGTAGCAGAGCCACCGTTTAACTCGTTAAGTCTGCAGTATTTTTCTTTATCAAGTTGTGGGAAGCACAATTCTGATGGTACCCATTTATACGTCTCTGGACACAATAAATCAGATGGCTGATATCCACCTTTGTATTTCATTTTCTGACATGAATGAATATAAAATCCCATATAATAATGATCGAGATCATTTGATTCTTCATACAGTGTTTGAGTATAGGCTATTTCACTAAGAGCTGTATAGATACCAAGTGAGAGGAAACCATAATCTGGATCATAGTATAAATATACTGATGACAGACACTTAGGTAGTACATCAACCACACCAATAGCAATAATTTTACCATCTAAGACATATTGTTGATGGTAGTTACCATATCCTGGCCCTGGGCCTTCTTTGTCCCGATGAAGGGGACAATCTACTAAAAAACGAATCCACTGTTTTTCTGAGCAATCTGATGGATCGTCGCCATGTATAATTTGTTGATATTTTTTATATAGGGAATAAGATTCTTTTCTTGTTGCTTCAAATTCACTGTTGCCAATTTTTGCATGGACCATTCGGACTTCAAGTTTTCTCTTGAAATCAGTTGAGTTAAGTAAGTGAGGAACATATTCTTGAAGTGTTTTAGACTTCGATTGTTGAGAAGACGGAGTGGTTGTGAAAGATGCATCGCCTGAAGCGGTGGCTAAATCCCTTTTTTGTTTTTTCTGTTGCCTCAAAACTTTGGCTTTCCTACAAATAGGTTTAGATGGATCTGCACCAAGACCAGCTTTGATAGATTTTTTCGTTTCATCAGATGCTTCTTGATGATTCTTCAATTGTGAATCATCAACCAAAACCATAGGAACTTTCGAAGCCTTTATTTCGCTTGGTTTATTGTCAACAGATTCCTCCATTTCAGGTTCTGCATTTCTGGCAGCATTCTTTGCCTTCCAATTTACAATCTCATCATCACCTTCAGATTCCAAAAATTGTTTCATTTTATTCAGAACTTTTTTTTTTGACTTTGTCAGTTTATAATCAAGAGCTCGACATCGGATGGTATATTGTGGGCAACATGATTTCTCTAGATCTGGTTTATAACAATAAACACCACTTCTTCTCCAACCTCTGTCTATCAACGTTTGATAGTCGAGACAAGTCATCGCATGTGCCCACATACCATGTGTATATTTTTCTGAGGTACCATTGCAATAACCACAATGGAAATTTTCATTATAGCCATAATACTCAACTATGGTAAATTTATCCATTTTAATCTGGAAAAAAAAATTTTTGAACACACAATTAGAAGTAAGAAAGGTAATTTGTAGCATCGCACATACTCAATTATCAATAATAAAAATTACAAAACATATCTTCAGAATTGGTCTGAATAATACAAATTTAAAATTTGAAAAATGATCAACTGCTTATATATACCTAATCAATATCTTGTTAGTTCATATTTAATAAAACACACATAAAATGTGAATCAAGTATTCTTTGAGCAGTGAACTAAGTCAAATGACAACGTTATTAAACAGTAAATGGGGAGTAAAAATAATTTTTTGTCTCATTCTAATCCCTTCTTAATAATGCTCAATGAGAAACCAGAGCCTAAGGTACGAATGGAAAGTAGTTTGAAAATTATAACATGATTTGTTTGTCAGATATCATGATGTTTCATGGACCGTAATTTAGCGTTTCAACCAAAACTCATTTGTGTTCGCGGGTCTCCTGAAGTACGCGCCGCAAGTACTTTTAGTTGGCCTGGCTCAACAATTTTTGCATATCTAATTTCTAACTACGTCATCTGGAAATTACATCACTGCATCACAATCGCGTCATAGAGCTTGCTAAAGTATAGTTATGATCGTCCGAAATGGCATCTGTGCAGCGATCTCTCTCTTATCGCTGTACCGGTATCGTTTTGACGACAAGAAATAGCTTGCTCGACTTCGAATGATTGTCTGTGCAACCATCCGTATACTTTGGAGGGCCGTATTACGTCATTGCGACTTCGCAGTGATGTAATTTTTGGATGACGTAGTCATGTGGGGGTTAGAAATTACATATGCAAATATTGTTGAGCCAGGCCAACTAGAAGTACTTGCGGCGCATACTTCAGGAGACCCGTGTTCGCGACCTCAGAGTTGAGAAACACTGAGTAATATATATGATTTGAGTACAAAAATGGGGGCTAGTTCACTAAATGCAGTATGGCACACTATCCAAATTCCAAGAATTTCCCTCCATTTGGCTCAATAAAACAAACACTCCAACTGTCTCACAAACGAGGGGTGTCTGTCCCCACGTCAGATGCTTCATATCGCGCCATGCTTGTCTCAATAATAATCTAAATTAATCGCGGCCGTCACGTGACCAAACTTGTGGTTTTTTTACTAAAAACTCTCGAATGCAACGGTAAAAAATTTTTTCCTTCGGTAAATCGGATTATTTTTTCCTGAGGCATTCAATGATGATGTTATTAGATTGCGCTTTTTTGTAGTATTTTGCGCAACTTCATTATACTGTATTATTACTGATATTGAGGGACAACAATGTCCAGACATCTCCCAAAGGAGGGGTGTCTGATCATCGGCAAAATGGGTTTCTCTGAAACGAGACAATTTCTCTCGATCTGTATAGTGTGCCGTACTGAAACGTCGTCAAGTACATCTTAGTTGGTGTGGTATAACCATTTTCGCATATGTCATTTTTAACCGCCACCTGACTACGTCATCCAAATATTATGTCACTACAATGTCACAGTGACGAAATAAGGTCCGACAAAGTATACGGTTTGTCGTCCAAAACGCGCAGACGATCCCCCGAAATCAAGCAAGCTATTTCTCTCGTTTTCCCGTTGTAGCGATCCCGATATAAGAGAGATCACAGGCGTTAGCGAGTTCAATATTGCCGGCAGAGATGCCATTTCCTCCAAACGTAACTTTTTTTTGGCAAGCTCTATGACGTGATTGTGACAGAATTCTGGAATTACATACAGACATATGACATGAGTTGACAGACCTAACACTTTAACGACAGACTCTAGAGCTGCTACAGGCAGACAGGCCAGGGTTCGCCACTTTTTCGCATTTTTTGTACTTTTCTGTTTGTATACCAAATTAATTTTTATTTTAATTGTCCCATGTCAATATGTTACATGCCATATATCACATACCGGTACCAGCACATTTGTTTATATATATAATTATACCAGTACCGTATATAACCATTATATGCACGGTACCGGTACCGGTACCGTAGTTAAGTTACGGTTTACCGGTACCGGTATATCATTGATTAATTAATTTGAATATCACATTAACGTAATACAGGTATACCGGTACATCTGTACATAGTCTAATAAAACACGTTGGTCATATAATTTGCCTCATCGTCGGAATATCACAATATTGCGTACCGGTACGGTACCGGTACGGTATATGATTAATTAGTCCTCCTCAAATATTTTCCATTAATGATTTAGTTTCTTTTTACTTTTAGTCATTTCCTCGTACGGTACCGGTACCTCGCCTTCAACCTGCGGTGCCTACAAGTCGGGCTGTGCAATTTTTTAAGACCTCGACCATTTTTGTACCGGTATGGTACAAGCCGCAAAAATGGATCGAGTCCAACTATTCAGGCACGAAATAAATCTATCTTCTGATCTTAGCCGCCGGCTGGGCGGTGTAGCGCACGCTCCACCTCACCGTATTTATCCTGCTCGGGTTCACTCAAAGTGACTATAGTCAATTTGGGTTCACTAAGTCAGAGTCAGAGTTATTGTATGACGTAGAATCCGTAAAATCGATAAACATCAAACACGGTAATCTCAATCGGCATATTCGGGACAAGAAGTCGGCGAAGTACACCTCACGGCGAAGACTCGTTATTGCAATATTATTGCGTTTTCCTGCTTTGCTATCTAGCTATCGTATAATGATAATAATTATTTGTGCCCACTTACTGGCGATATCCCGATAATCTGATTGGAACAATCTTTAATTGTTTACATACGCGCCTTGCTTCATTAAATGATTCTTCGTGACCTGCGAGTTTTCCTGAAATATGATGCATGTAAATCGAAAGCCAGGCCTTAAATGTTATAACATTACTTGCGATTAGGATTTACATATTTATCCCGGGGAGAGGAAAGCCGATAAGACGGCTTATCCATATGGCGAACCACGGCCTCTCGTCCGGTTACCATTCCAAGTCGGGTATGGGATTAGTTTTACTGTATTGGTTGTTTTCGGAAGCATGGACTTGGTGGTGGAGGAAGCCGTAACCGACCAGCGGTTACGTGAAGCACCCAACGACGGCGAGGAGTCCAGCAATCCCCTCGCACATAACCATCCCTGCATGGGATTCGAACCTGCGAACCCACGCAGAGTAATTAGAGGTGCGGTGGCGAGCGTATTCCTAACGCTTAGCACGTTGAGCCACACCGCCGCGGATTAATTTGGATCAAATATTATTTACGAATAATTTTATTACACCATTTTCCGAAATACAAAGTTATATCGCAAAACGCGAAATCTGTCACATTTAAATTTCACTCTCAAAAGATTACATATTTTTCGGTCCGTTTCTATCGTTCAAGATGGACACACGTTTGATCGAGTGTCTGTAGTATTTTAGTCGCCGATAAATTAAAGAAATAATTGCCGCATCTGGCGAAGATAGTGACGTATTTAGTTTGAGTAGGGCCAAGTCTGGGTACACTATGATAGTTATGTAATTATAATCATAGGAAATGAATTCGTTTTTAGATGATATACCCCAATAACTAAGTACGAAATCGCGTTTACGGGAACTTGGTTTTTCGAGTCTTGCTCGCACAGAATAAAAAGTTGATTTTCATGGATAGTGGATTTAATACTTTACATGGGCCGCATAAGTTGCAGTGGCGATAAGCTGGTCCGGCATCTAATTAATTCTCAGCGAGTATGTTTTATAACGTGAATAATGATTTAACATCGTTTCATATCTATTTTTGTATTTGACCGCTTACTATTAAAGTGTGTAAAGCGTGCCTTAATTTAGCAAATCATTATTTAGGGATTACATGCATTTGGAAAAATTAAAGGCAAAAAAATATTGTAATATTTTTAAATTTTATTGTCCTGGGAAATGCCTGTTTAGTATCAAAAACAAAACAACAACAAACGGACAAAAAAATGCAGAGGACCTGGAGGACGGGTATAACTTGATGAAAAAGTTAAAAACGAACAAGTAGAGTTAAAAGATGTGAGGCACTGATCAAAAGAAGATCATGGCAAAACTTTATACCAGGGGTGGCCAACACGTCGATCGCGATCGACCGGTCGATCGCCACGTCTTGAGTGGTCGATCGCATCTGATGTTGAGAAAGTGGATAACATACCTCGAAAAACTGCCATGAACCAGTTTCATGCAGCGTTTGTTGTGTGTTTTGAAACAGAAATAATACAGTACTGCGCACGCGTAAAATACGATCTACTCATATAAAACTTGGGCCCGGGCGAGGCAGATAGAGAATAATATTACGCAACAAAAGAAAGTTTCGCGCTACCGATGTTAAGAAAGGAACTTGCCGAATTTCGTGAGCCTTGACTGGGGTACGATCGTACAATAACTTTTGCAGTATGCGATAGGCTTGTCTCATTCCGAGAGTAGTGTGATACATTTTATTCGTAACGGATAGTGGCATCGGAATTAGAGCCAAGATCTGAAGCCTGAGCCCGACCCGAAATTCTGGAAGGGTCGGGCCTGAAATCTCAATCATTACGTTCGGGTCGGGCTTCTCTATCACTGACCTTTTTTTTAATGAGGCGTTTCGGCCGTGTTTTGGCCACGAGACACCGTGGTCTGCAAAAAAAAACAGAAGTTACCTTATCAACACGACACATACTGTACTAAACTCTTGCAATGACAATTCAATGAACTCCTGAATAAAATATGAAATTTCGGGTTTGCTTCGGGATCGGGCCTGCAAATCCAGTTAATTAATCGGACTCGGGTCGGGTTTAATACCCACGGGCCTGGGTCGGGCCAGAATGGAATATTTGGGCCCGATCTTACCTCTAATCAGAATGCCAATTTATTATTTCTAATTCCAAGCGAGCGAAGAATCGGATTCGGAGGAAATTGTGAATTGGGAAGTTCGCGCAGTCATGTAAAATTTATGATTTTGGAATATTCATTTTACGCAGTTTAGAACTTTAGGTAATACATGGATAGCCTACTTAGCAAGGATTTTTTAAGGCTCACGGCTAAAAACTAGACAAGTCTTGAATTCGAATTGTATGATTTGAATAAATTCTAAATAAATGACATGATGATAAAGCATTTATTCCGGGTACGTTTAAATAATCAAATTACCAAATTAAACGAAACACGAAAAAAATAAAAATAAATTATGACGATTTCATTAGGAATGCGCCCAAAGAACCGAGCATATTGGCAGCGGCGGAATTTTTGTATACGCTGATACGTGTGTGTATAGTTATCTGTATATTCAGTACTCATTCGTTTATGTGTATGACCTTATTTCCGAGCAGTCGATCGCGAGCTATTTTGACGATTTTAGTCGATCGCGGTCGCAAGTAGGTTGGCCACCCCTGCTTTATACAAACTAGAACTCAAAAAAAAAAAAAGTATTGTCGCTGCGATTCTTATGTGGTGCAATATTTGTTTTTAATGGAGAAATCCAATATTACATAAAATATGACAAATGCAATTGAAAATTTAGGAGTTTATGAAAACTATACAGCATGCATATGAGCAGAGAGTCTAGCTATAGCACACACAAAAAAAACATTAGTGCAAGAAATAATAAACGACTGCAACACAAATCACATATCTAAATAATAATTAGTATAACATTCGAAGGTTGTATCTGAAAATTTCCGAACTACTGCAAATCTGCAATAAGCCTACTGATGAACACACACACACAATTGTAAACTAAGGCTGAAAACGCTAGATCGAGAAGTACTTTTCGGGCGTCTGAACTTTTTGCAGTGCTTATACACTATATACATAAAATGTCCTGTTCAAGCGGTATTGAATTATCAAGATAGTGTATTTTTCGCAAACCGGATATCAACCCAATAACCTGCCATTGTTCGTTTTAACTTTGTCGCAGTTTCTACTTCTTGGTGGCATTCTTGAATTTGTGGAATGTTCCCGTGTCAGCATGTGCTTCAACTATAAAACTGTAGACCAATTTACACTTTATCTTCACATTCGATTCCATTGCCAATTCCAAATCCACAATACTGTATATGAATATCTAACTATTGCATTCAGTTCAGTCGCGGTGAATGTACCATACACGTTTCAGTCTTATAAGTAGCCACGTTCGCAACCGACGACGGTCGGAACTTAATACGTTGTAATATACGAATATTACTTAACTAACCCCACTCATTTTATTTGACCACATTTTAATGAAATCACAGATTTGAATTAAAATAGTTTTCATTAAACATAATTCCACAACACGAATCATTTTTTAACTATTAAAGAACAGAAAAACTATAATAATATCGACGATAATAACTAAGAAAGAAATGAGAAAATACAATTCTTGATCCAATCTTCGAAAGAGCAGAGGGGCAACGCTAGGATCTTCAAAAGGAGATCCTTTGTTAGAATAAGGAAATGATACATCAGGAATGTCCTTTTCGAGAAATTTGCACAGCGGCTTCCAACCATCGGAAAGGTTGAAAACGAGTAGTCTATCTTTTGGAGCTTTCTGGATACAAAATGTTGAACGTTATCCGTGTTATTTTATTATACCTTATTACTTGTAATCATTAAAAGTGTTGTGGATTTTTGGTGCTGCCGCAAATTTGCTCATGTGTGTGTCTCTTCTATATTTGTGTGAAAGTACGTGACCTTTTCTTTAAAGATATAAATAACACACCTCTTGCACGATGCGATTGTGTTCTCTGTATGTCTTCCTTAGTATTTGTTCATCTCGAGAAATAATGTCAGAAGTTGGTAGACAGTCAAAAGTCGTTTGGACTAAAAATAAATAAAATATCAGTCAATAAAAATGTAAAAAAAAATATAATACTATATAATCAAATAATTCAGTAAACACAATGAAACAAGCAATGGAAATTTAAAAAAAAAAAATACAAATAGGTATATATATATATACATTATCCATCGTTTGTTATAAGACACAAATTCCACATAGATTCTAAAGCATCAACTACAAATATCTAAGTGTGACAATTGCATCTAAGTGATCTTACTGATCAGACAGTAATTTTGTTTGACGATAAACGAAATCATATCTGACTGCGTCTTTTCGGTATAATGTATACGGTGTATACTTTTTGAATATCACGTGGTAAATTTCAATATTGCTACTTTACGAGATGCGGTTATGCACCCGTAAACCTGTTTTTTTACGAAGTTTAAAGAATGTACAGGCAATAGTCCTATTCAATTTTAATCCAACTCTAATTTTACTCTATTTGTCGTACATATATATATGTTGATAACATATTATCTGAGCATTTGGCTACGATGAAGTATTGTAGCCTAAGCAGTCAAATTTATCAGAATAAGATATCTGCCGCGTTTAATTAAGTGTACAAGCGATATAATTGATATATATATATATTATATACGGACTTGTTTTCCTTTTGAATTGAGCATATTTTCTCCCGGTCGGGGTAAAGGTACAATGAATTTTAAATATTTTAGAGCCATTAATTGCTGCAGCCTGCTCATTCCAACTTTTCAGCCACACATCCTCACTTTTTCTGGCCGTTAGAATAATCTAAAAAGAGCATAGTAAATAGTGAAATGGGGAAAATAGTTACATAATAGTGTATAAATTTTGAGCACATTTCTAATAAGGTGATTCATTCACGAGCGACTACTTGAGAAGCTACATTTCAGAACAAATGTCTAAAAATATAAAGACATATAGAATATAATTAAATCGCCAATACCTTTGCCTCTGGGAAGGCTTGTTGCAAAGTTTGCCAGTAAACACAAGCCGGAAGGTCACTTACAGCATCAACGTTTTTGTATATTTTCTGAAACTTCTCAACAGAAGCTCCATTTTCGAATATCTCCATCCACTCATCCCCGAGGTACATGAAATTTTCATCAAAATCATAAACCTTATACCCTAATATCCTTAAGCTATCACGTAATGTTTTTGTTCCACATTTAGCAAAACTGGCTATAATTACCTTCATGTTAACAACATTTGAATTTGGCTAAAACAAGTACAAATTTTTTGGATTGATTGATGTTTCGATATTTCTTATACTAAGATGTGTTGTATAAAGATTTTCGAAACTAAACTGGATCAATAAATTTCTTTTTCTTTTCTAATATACACGATGTCAAAATAACTTTCTGCTTGCTTTCTTTAACCACATGGTTTTAATCATTCACTCAAATCGATATATTACCCGCGCGTAAAACATAATCATTTTTAAATAAATGCAAAACCATTTATAACATTCCTCTATGAAGCATTTCGCCTCTTCCGTTACCGAGTGCATATAATTATCCTGGTGGAATGAACATAGGCCTATTGGGTACTTTACTATTGCTACATAGGGATATAGTTTATTTAAGCCCGGTCAATATGTTAACGATATGCAAGACAAACTAACTGGAACCAATTTCAAGTCTCCGAATATATATAAATTAACCAATTGTATTTTGACGCATTGAAAGATCAGATTTGACATTTGAGTGTGCCTTATTCAAACAGCATGTAGCTTAGTTTATTTTAATATGACTTGATTTGTTATCATTAATTGATTTTTAATCATTGAGTCCTTATAACGTTCATATTTTTCAGCTTGTCTCTGTGACCGTGTAGCCTATCTAGTTTAATTAGGCATAAATGAACAGGAATGAAAGTAAAAACATTTTTAAAGATTTTAGGTGGTACAAATTAAATTGATATATAAATCCTCTGATATCCTGTGCACTATTTGGTAAATATGGGTAGAATTGCGACCCATAGCGTAAAAAATGTTGAAATATCGTGTCCACCCACATTCGCCAGTTAGTTGCTCACTACTTGTTAATCGTTATGTTAATTTGACGGGTAGCAAAATATCCCTCTATTGACAAACTATAAGTTATTTCTTTTTTATTCCGAATCACTCAATTTTTCAAGATTATTTGATCAAGTGTTTTTACAAATTTTAATGTTGTCACTGCCAACGTGTCATATACCCAAGTTATATCTTGGTTTATCATGGGAATTGACAAGAAAAATCGAATAGAAGCCTGACTTGGACAAACAACATTATCAGTCAGAAATAATCCATAAAATAATAAAAAAGGTGACGCATTTTTAGTGATGAGATATATTTTGAATCTCAATAACGACTGAAACTAGAATATCGGTGAGAAACCGAAGACTTATCGATCGAAGGTTAGGGGATCCCCCAAAACAGTGGTCTTACTCCATAGTGACACCTTGTGTCCCATCACTAATTATCAATAACTCGCTAAATATAAGACATAATCCACCCAAAATCAATAGGCTTCTGATCCAAGCTATGATGAATGCACATGCATTGGAGCAGATTCAACCTCGCTTTCGTGAGATATCGCGTGCATCTAACACACAGACAAACAGACAGACAAATAAATACCTATCAACATACTTACCGATCTTAAGATCGATAAGTAATAATATCGTAAGGGTTGGTAACGTAATATGCATACAACACAGTCTCCTACGTTTCCTGAAACGGTCTCCGCGTTCGGTAAAAATGCTAGCTTTTCCACGGTTTATAAGTTTTTTCTGTCCTGTTATATTCAATCTATAACTCTGTTCAAGGTAATTCGTGGTTGCGGCGACCCATGACAAAATAAACTTATTACCGATCTAATATACCACGCCATTCCGCGGACATTATAATGTGAGATCAACTGCCCGATTATATTAGGTAAGTATTGATATATATTGCGCTCATACGAATTCGTTCGTCGTTAGAAAGATCTGGTATAAAATTCCAGGAGGATTATTTAATTTAGTACAATAAAAATACATATAAAGTATATTAGTATATATATGAAAAATTTTCAAAGAGGGGCGCGGCTTAAAAAGTTTGAGAACCACTGCCCTAAGCACTCAAGACTTTGGTACGCTATATATAAAAAATAATAATTGGAATGTAACTAGTATTCAATAATATTACTGTTAAAAAGCGTCAGTCATTAAATGTTTTAAGTAGCATTTCGCCGTAACTTCAATACAGTTGAAAAGCGTCAGTCGACACTAAATCCGATTTTTTTAATGCAAACCAGTATGTAGAACTCTAGTAGTGTACCGTTACTTCTTGACGTTCAAAATTCATAATAAAATGCAAAAATACCGACACCAGGATGGAAACCAGTACTGCCACTCAGGGCAGAACAGAGGTAATTAAGCTTCTTACAAACACACAGACTGTACTTAGTTCTCTACTATGTTCTCATTTTAATGTTATGAACTTATCGGTATCCATTATTGTATGTTGGACGCTACGGTAATGAAGGTTCCTATAATTCAGTGAGTGTCCAGGGCCGAACAACATTTTGGGTGAAATATCGACCTTTGAGTCAGGAAAATCTGAAGTTGATAATTTCATTATAGCTGCGGAGTGAAACGATTTTGCCCTCATCAAAAATCTGCCCAACGACAAAGATTAACACTACGTGTTATTTCAAATGATTTATTTTCACAAATATTTTTTGAACAGCTTATAGACATAGAGAGAGATATTTAATATTTTCAAAACCAAAAAGCAAACAGTCATCAATACAAAAAAAAATCGTAACACAAATAAAATTGCTTTGGTATTGACGGGAGGAAGCGATACGACCAGGCGGTCATCGAAATAGTTTCCAATACGCAAATACCAGTTACCCATGTTACAGGCTGGTTTATCATATGGGTAATAACAAGAAATATCAACTTGAATCTTGACTTGTACGACCTCACCACTCATGGAGTATCTACAAAATACTAGAAAAGAAGACTCATTTATAGTGGCAAGGTATATTTTAAATCGTAATAACGACTATAATAAAAGAATAGGAATTGGTAACGTAATATGCGTACATCACAACCGATCGGATAACCATTCTTTGACTTACAGTGAGCTAATTGGTTGATAGCCAGTAGATTAATTGTCACAATTATCCTAAATGTTTCTTGAGTCTATTACGATTTTTGGACCACTGGAAGTATGCGCACCAAGATGGCGCACAATCTGAATTCAGGTTGTGTACCAGGTTGGGGTTCAGGTTGTGCGATATCTTGGTGCGCATACTTCAGGAGTACCCAATTTTTAAATGATATATAAGCATGCATTATAGATCAGAATGGCGATAATAACAGTTGTAAACGAGATTATGAACAACAATTCTCGGTCTAAGCATCGAAAAAGCATAGGAGCGACGTGGCTACTGCGAACTGGAGATCTTTTATTGGAGTGAGGAAATGGTACATCAGGAACATCTTTATCGAGAAAATTGCATAACGGTTTCCATCCATCAGACAGATTGAACACAAGAAGTTTTTCGTTCGGCGTCTTCTGCAAAACGGTCATTTGTTACAATTAATACGCCAGTAAAGGATGATTTAAAGCTGGATGGCTACTATAGATTGCAATAAGTACTATATATATGAGTTTATTTCGACTCCATAATCAGCATAATAGACGATAAAGTAATTGATAAAAACAAAATAACTAAAACTGATTATAGAAGTCGGGAAAGCAAACAAAACCTCTAGTAAGGTTTGAAACGTACAGATTTTAGACAAAAAGGTATTGATGAAGGAAGTAGTAGCCTACGTGTTCGCTCACCCAAAAGTATTAAAACTAATTTAAGCACGCACGCACACACAATCACCGAGATATGATAAAATCGGATGGGAAAAAAGCGAGCTATATAATAAATTACACAGTAAAAAGGAAAATACACAAACAAAAAAAATAAAATAATGAAAAATAAATATCGGCTAACACGTAGACTATGCCATACCTGCTGAACGGCCATATTGTGCTCCCTGTATTTATTCCTCAAAATATCATCATGTCGTGGTATGACGTCAAAGGACGTTGGCGAACATTCGAAAGTCGCTTTCACTGGAAAAGAATTGAACATTCCATGTTTTCATCAGTATTTTTACTTTTTTATGCTTCATCTCATCCTAAAATGCTAAGCGTCGCGATAACAGCAATTCGAATTTTTAAATATATATCCAAATGCTATCTGTTGTTAATCTAATAATTCTTAGTGTTTTGCGCAGAAGTGCTTGAAACCAGAACATCTTACAAGAACTAACCAAGTGTATGTAAGTTTATTCTTGGCGTTGGCGTTAGCGAGAAAATTTCTTTTGGTCAGTGGATATATATATATGCTAGCCTGAGACAAGCAAGGTTTTATGGAGTGATTAACGAAATTTACTAACAAAATTTTCGCGTATAGCAGTAACTAACAAATGAAATGCATATATACTAGTTTCTTTGAGAAAACGAGCATATTTTCTTCCAGTAGGGGTGAAAGCACATTGAATCTGGAAGAGTTTGGAACCGTTTATTGAGGCAGCCTGTTCATTCCAGCTTTTCGTCCATGCCTCTTCACTTTTCCTGGTAGTGAGAATAATCTGAAATAGAGCGATGTTGTCAGCAATATAGTTACGTATAAAGGTGAGGTGATCGATTTTGAATGACCAGCTCAGGCTCAGATGATATTTCATTCGCGGATAAATGAACACGATGTGTCTACGTCAGGCAAAAGAATAAAGCATCAAAGTTCCTCGCTTAGCCATTAATATGTATTTTTTGTCATTCAAAATCACTTGCATGAATTCGAAATCGTCAGGCCTTTAATATCATACTGTATATTCAGATATTTTGGTTTCGGAATGCATGAAACATTGTGAACAAATAAAAATCAAGTCACTAAAAGACACACAATGTTTCGCAATTGACGAGGAGCTGCGAAAGACTATCGTGTCAGCGACACCTTTAAAGGGCACTAAAAAATTTTCAGCTACATAAATCATACAGTATCTACTCACTTTTGAATTTGGAAATGCTTCGTGTAAGTTTTGCCAGTAAACACAGGCCGGGAGATCACTGACGGCATCAATATTTTTGTACATCTTGGTAAACATCTCAACAGAAGCTCCTTTTTCGAATATCTCCATCCATTCATCTCCAAGGTACATAAAATTTTCATCGAAATCGTACACTGTATACCCCAATATTCTCAAACAATCACGCAATGTTTTTGTTCCACATTTAGCGAAGCTGGCTATGATTACCTTCATCGTAATGATAACTTTATTTTCCTCACTTAAATACTACAAGCCTGACTCTAAAACAAGCGTACACACCTTACAATGCTAAAATTCTCTATTGCAGTGAGTAATTATGAATGATCGTAGTACAGTCACAGAAAATGCGATTACTGTAACGAAAAGTAAACGGTAAAGAAATCATTATAAAGATTTGTTTATACAATGTATTTATATGAGTCACGACCTAAATCTTGTGCGATATTTATGTCAATTGATGTTGTTATTCGACTAGCATTAGTCTAATTTACTATTTACAAGCATGTTGTTGATTCATGTTGGCAAATATCGTGAAAAGTCCGAAGGATTCATTTCGCGCCAAATCAGAAGTTCTCGCTAAGATCATTTTTCTCGCATTCTCTTCAAGCGCTAGCAAATATCGAGGCCTTCTCGTCAGCGTGGTGCTTTATTTCCTACTAACGGAACGGTACAGCCATGCCAAATTGAAGTGACGATGTTGGCGCCTCACAAAATGAGAAACTTCGATGTTATTGTAGTAGAATCTATTCGACATTTTCTTATTATTGTTTTTGAAGCTATTGATTATACACAATCTGTGGGTCTCAAAAACGATCATAAAAGTATCCACCAGCCATGCCAGTAGTGAATAGGGTTAGTTCGGATACCTATAAATTTACTATCCGGATAACGGATATATCCGAGTATACCGTATTTTAACTATCCGGATAAGCAGATAGTTACTGCTAATTTTAGATATCCGATTTCACAAGATTTTTGCGGTGAGTTGACCTAAAACCAGTTACCATCACACAGTTCTATTGTGAATAGCTCAAATTGACAATGTCGCAAGAATAGCTGTCATATGTTGAAACTACCAGTTCATAATATTTTCCTCGTACAAAAAGAAAAATTTGATAAATGTAGAAGCTCCCGAATGGAACATCATCGGCTAGCTGGTGTATAAACAGTTTGTGGCAAATTTAAAGAAAGTAGAATCAGTATAAATTAATTATAACTTTCCTAACTTCAGAACTTATAAACGTTATCATGTGATACCCTGATCCTAGACATTGAATATAAGTTTTTAATCCTTATTCTTCTGTTCGTTCTTGCTGATAAAATATATATAGATAAAAAATTGGTACCTAATTTATAGAAGTTATAGTTGTATCATAGTGATACCCTTCTCACTACAGTGACGCAATATTACGTATCCGCAAAAATACCTCTTCGCTTGCTTGACATTGCCAAAATACTTTTTTGGTCTATAAACAAATAAAATTCATACTATTTTCCTCATGGAAACGAGCAAATTCTCTTCCAGTGAGAGTGAATGCACATTGAACCTGGAACAGTTTGGAATCGTTTATTGCGACGACCTGCTCATTCCTGGGGCCCCATTCGCCAAACATCGTAAAAAGCCTCGTTTACGAGCACGTAACCTTGTCTCTCAAAAAACGCAGTTCCGAAATCTCGTTGGGTGCGATTCTTACGCACGGTCACGCAAGTTCTCTCGAAATCTAACGCACGGTCGTCGTTGAACAAAAACCACTCAACCGTATCAGTCACTGCCGCTAGTCGCCCTGAGCGGACAGGCTTATTTTGCGACGATCTGTAGGGTTTCCCCGTTTGCAGACTGTGTTTTAAATTCTAAAATGTGGGTCATATAGCAGTAATCTATGGATATATGAAATAAATGCTGGAGTACATATTGTGAACTACTTCTGTGACCGACAATAAAATAGATGAATGAATGCAATCCCATATTTGATGTTAGTACGCTGTTAGTTGGCATAGATAGATGGGTCCACAGCTACTACACTACAGTCACTCTTACCTAAGTTAGGCATTCAAAGATTTTTGATACCAATTTTTCACGAAGTATGCAAACACCACAGCATTTGTTGGGGTGTGCATGTGGCACATAGCCTACTTGTCTTAGGCCAGTAAGGTATTGATCATGTATCCCGTCTAAGTTATATCGTTTAATTATTATGTAGATACTGTTACAAATAAACACACATACATTTTAACCTGAATTCGTGCTAAGAACATGCCGAACTACTGTTAACGAGCAAAATTTTGTACTCGTTAGTTTGCGAGCACCTAAAGAACTTTCGTCAATACCGATTCTCGGTAAAATGAGAGAAGAAGGCACTTTACGAGACGTCTGTTTGGCGCGCAAAAATTCTCTCGAATATTAACGATACCTCGAGAATACCATTTTTGCCTTTTACGAGAAAGTGGGGGCTTAACGCGTTAAATCCGAATTGGCAATGGATTTAAATTTGGCAAAAAAAAAAATTAACTAATAACATAAGCGACGGTAAATCTCGCTTTCGTTAAGACGGGAATTTTATTTGCGGCGGAGCGAGGGAGTGTTTTTGAAATTTATGCAAATTTCGGTGTTTTTTGGGTGGTTATAGAAGACATATTATCCCTTCCATCTACCAAAATATTTTGAGTTGGATCACGAAATTGCTACAGCAATATTATGCTATTGTTTGTCAACCAGGAAGCGGTAACAGCAAAGGACTTAGCGAATATTTCTATTTTTTATCACGGTTTGAAGTTTCAACTCCCAAGAAAAAAAAATGCCTTTTTTCTATCCGGTTTGTGACTCAGACCACCACTTTTAAAAAAACTTTTTATTTTTAATCGCTCCAACGAGCCGTCAGTGGGCAGCATAGGATCATTAGTTTTTCGTTAGTTGATCGATTAGTTGTGGGGGTACAAATGCATAAAATCGGCGTAGCAAATACGATTATTTAATAAAAAATAAAAATCGCATGGAAAGGGTTAAACGATAAAGAAGTTTGGCGAATGGCGCCCCAGGTTTTCACCTGTGTATTTTCACTTTTCCTTGTAGGCCTAGTGAGAATAATCTAAAATAGATCGATGTTGACAGCACCATGGTTGCGTTACATGCATATAAAGGCGCGATGATCAATTTTGAACACAGTAATCAGCTCAGATGATATTTCTTTTAAACATGAATAAAACTTATTTATGGGATTTAATTATTCAAATAATATTTAGAATCTTCTCACTAGAGAGTATCATTTTTAAAGCATTATCTGATACCAGCATGGTCAGCTGTCGAATGAATGAGGTATTATGCTTGGTATTATGATTTCAAAGTGGGACGCCTCTAAAGACAACGACCCCTTAGCTCCGATTTTGTAACTTTACATTTTCCGATTTTACATTTAAAGCTATCCCGGCTGTCTTCATTAGCCATATTGTCATCGAGAATTCATGGGTTCATGCGCATATTATCTGTCCAAATATCGGGTTCAGTTCGAAAAATGGAAAGGAATTGACGTTAACCATAGGATAGGATTTACATATTTATCCCGGGGGGGGGGGGGGGGGAGAGGAAAGCCGATAAGACGGCTTATCCGTATGGCGAACCACGGCCTCTCGTCCGGTTACCATTCCAAGTCGGGTATGGGATTAGTTATATTGTTTGTTTTCGGAAGCATGGACTTGGTGGTGGAAGAAGCCGTAACCGACCAGCGGTTACGTGAACCACCCAACGACGGCGAGGCCGAGGAGTCCAGCAATCCTCTCGCACATAACCATCCATGCACAGGATTCGAACCTGCGAACCCACGCAGAGTAATTAGAGGTGCGGTGGCGAGCGTATTTTTAACGCTTAGCCCGTTGAGCCACACCGCCGCGCATACCGGTACAAATAATTCAAATTTAGACTAATTAGTATTGGCTTTACATGCGATACCGTACGATACGTGTACCGTTTGCCAGTAAACGCATGCTGGGAGGTCGCTAACAGCATCAAGCCATCAACATTTTTGTACATCTTTTCCAACATCTCAACAGAAGCTCCTTTTTCGAATATCTTCATCCAGTTGTCTCCAAGGTACATAAAATTTTCATCAAAATCATACACAGTATATCCCAATATTCTCAAACAATCACGTAATGTTTTTGTTCCACATTCAAGAAAGCTGGCTATGATATTACCTTCATCGTAATGCTGTAATGATAACTATACTCTAAACACCGATTAATAGGTCTATTTAACTTTTGGGAAATATTCTAATGTTACTTATGCAGCACGGCACCAACTAGAACAATCATGGATCCCTTTCGACGATGTACAGTTTAATTAACTTTTGTGTGCAGAGTCAATAAGTCATCAATACATGGGTTACCATATTTTTGTGACTTCAAATCGGGACGCCTCGAAAGACAATGACCCCTTAGCTGTGATTTTGTAACTTCACATTTTCCGATTTTACTACATAGGCCTACATTCCTACATTTAAAGCTGTCTCGGCTGTCTTTATTGACCATACTGTTATCGAAATTTCATGCGCATATTTTCTGTCCAAATATCGGGTTCAGTTCGAAAAATAGGAAGGAATTGACGTTAACGATACCGGTGCAAATAATTCAAATTTAGACTAAATAGTATTAATTTTACATGCGATACGTCTGTCATCAATGGGAATCAGCGGGAAACGAACGCATTCACCTCCAGTAAGTAGGCTAGCTCTGCGCTACACAGAAACAACCGTAACGAGAACATGTTTGTGTATTATGCTGGAAAAGCGGGACTTTTGGCTGACTTATCGGGACGGCGGGACAAAACGCTGAAAAGCGGGACGTATGGTAAGCCTATCAATACACCAATCTCAAGAACCGACGCCGATGGTTTTCCGCAGTATTGCTCCGTAGGACAGAGGCATACATTCTGTGTGGCAATGAGAGCATGTCGCATGTTTACGACATGTATTTATGTGTTTAGCCCTTGAATTTGATTAAATATTTTTATATTTATATTCATCAATTGTCAAAATACCATATTATTGAAGTTCTCTTGAGATATAATGCAAACATATACAGTTCTCCATAAGCTATAGATAAATCTCTGCAACTCTTAAACAAACTCATGTTTATCAAAACAAGTATGCTTACTTGAATTGTATGAAGAGTGTACTTGTAGTATGTACAGTCTGATGGTATTGAAGTTGTTTTATTTTTGAAAATTTCGAAACTTATCCTCCTGTTTTCTGAATTTCAGGGTCTAATTTCAAAATCAATTACCTGTAATACATTTTTTAAGATATTAAAAATGAAACGAATGATACCCCGACAAAAATTTCGTAAACATATGAAGAAAGGATTGCATAAAAAATTGAAGCTTTCAAATAAAGTGGAGATTCTAGTCTGGCTGGATTATCTCATTTTTCTACAAAAACTTATCAAACAATCTGAACAAATTGCCAAGTAAAACAGATCGAAACGAGTACTACCAAGCATGATTCGTAATGCCGGAGATCATCTCTTAGACTAGTGAATGTCATCTCCAAAATAACGTCATCAAAAAATGATGTCAATCAAGACCGTTCAAAACGAATCGAATGTCAATGCAAAATTGATTGTACTCAAAAAAGTGAATTCTCAATTTTATGGATATTTCAAATTTTTTTTTTTAAAAGTGTATAACTTCAGGAATACCATTCTTCAGACAGATTTTTTCATTGGAATAGGGGTTATTTCTTTTCCCCGGAACTATGTCTGTATTAATATTACCTTGAAATGACTTTTTGGGATCCTTGGATTCTGCAAGAAGATGTTACTTGCCTGCCTTGCTGTATACAATTATTGTAATTTATAATTGAATGTTCTCTGAATTTTTATGTATAGCTACATCCAATTGACTATACGTGAAATCCGATAGTAATTTATTTAATTTTAACTATAGCCATGTGAAAACTTGAACATTTTGAAACTTGGATAAAATACTATGAAGTATTTTGTGTCTCGATGTACTACTATGCTGCTATGTTTAACATATATTAATATTTTTTGAAAGTATTTTTGTAACAATTTGTGTTTTTGATTTACCTCTACTGCCAAGTATTTAAAACTAGGTTATTTTTTAAATAAATTATCTTTGGTATAACCATGTCTACACAATGCGTGAAGTGTGAAGAAGGAAAGGCCATAATTTTAGTGGGAACTAATGGCAGTTTTTGCAAGTAAGTGGTGTACACTCCAGATGTGAACATTTTTTGAAGAATCATCGTATTGATCTATTGTGCATTTTTGGTATTTTATAATAACAAAATATTTTCTGTCAAAAAAAGTCTAATTTATCCTAAAATTTATTTTTTGGTTACGCCTCTCATACTTCATTACTCCTGATTTCCATTGGGATCTTTTCATAAAGGAGGACAAAACATTTCACTTTATGTGTTGCAAAAATGGTGGAGTTCTAATATGAATATTTTTTTTCCAGAGAATGCTTCTTGAAATATTTCACGCACAAATTCAGAGCTGCACTGGGTAAACATCCTGTTGTCCGATATGATGACAAAGTTGCTGTTGCTTTTTCAGGAGGATTGAATTCCAGTGCTATGCTACATGTTTTACTAGAGGTATTCCACAGACATTTTGTATCCTTTGTTCGCCATTAGTAAGCTGTTTCGGAGATTTCAAATCCTGCTATCTGACCTCCTAAAGTATGTATTGGGGTATGATATTAAAAAAGCTGTTGACTACCATGAAATTGAGAATGATTATTAGGGCCCGACCGATATATCGGCCGGCCGATATATCGGCCTTGTTTTTCACAAATTTTGAACTATCGGTATCGGCTAATTTTACCGATAGTTATCGGCTAATCACGTGACTGCCAAAGTGTCAAAATTGCGCCGGGAAAGCAGTTTTATCGCTTGTTTAATTCGAGAGCGGTTCTGCGTGAAACTCTTTTTCTTCACTATTTCTATTTCCCTCTTATCAAAAGCGGTTTCACGGACGATTGCGACACAGGATTTCACACTTTGCAAGCAAGTTTGCAGCGTGGTGGCTTACAAATCGAAGCGATAGAACACGTGAACGGCTTATTTGTGTCAAATAATATACGCTAGATTAAATAGAGAATTTTCGCGTAGTTTACACGGCGCTTGATTTCCCTTGCGCTTTAGTCGTTGAAGGTATTATTTAACTTCTTGTATTGGTATGTTATAGATGGCTGGTTCTAGCGGTAAGAGCAAAGTATGGGAATACTTTGTATGCCACAGTGATGGTGTACTTTGTAAAATATGCTCATCATTGTTAAGTCAAGGTTCCGCCGATTCCAAAAAGAAAAACACCAGTAATTTGTGGAGTCATCTCAGATCGAAACACAAGAGCAAGTATGATGAGATTTCGCAGACGCAGTTAACGCGAAAAAGGCCAGCTGAAGCTTCCCAGTTTAATCGGCAACCTTCATGGGAACACATAATGGATAAATTTAATAAATGGCATGGAAATGACGCAAGAACGAAATCACTTGATAAAATAATAATGGAGATGATAGCCACTGACAACAGGCCATTTGCAATAGTGCAAGATGATGGATTCCGCAGGCTAATAGAAACCATTGAACCTCGCTACGCCCTAAAGACTGAGAAGTATTTCAGAACAGAAATGCTGCCACAAATATATGAACTTGTGAGCCAGAAAATAATGACTCTTCTCGTGACAGAAAATGCTGGCGATGGATTGGCATTTACTACAGACTGCTGGTCAGGACCAACAGAATCACTTATGAGCTTGACTGTTCATTTTATAAATTGTAATCGGGAAAGATTCCAAATTGTATTAAACATCAAGGCCATGCATGGCTCGCATACTGGAGAGTACATAGGAACCACTTTTTTGGATTTACTGCAACAGTGGAATATTGACAAGAACCGTGTGTTCCTAGTTCTTCGTGACAGCGGGGCAAACATGGTAAAGGGTTTAAATATGGTAGAACTTCCCAATCTAAGCTGCTTTGCCCATAGCCTTCAACTTGTTATTAATGATGGACTCCAAGCACAAAGAGCGAAACATCGGTATCGTTATCGGCTTATCGGCCTAGTTTTGGAAAACTAGCAGTATCGGTATCGGTTCAAAAAGGCAGTATCGGTCGGGCCCTAATGATTATTACATGGCACCTGAACAATATCATCTAATTTTGGGATTATATTCGCTATTTTTGAAGAATCTCTCAAATAAATAATTTGAGCTATGGCAAAGGTGGAAGTTCTTTTTTTGAGGGCCACATTTAGAAAATCTTTTTTGCGAAGGGCCTCATTGAGAAAGTTTTTAAGTTTTTTTAAAAGATCATATCATAGAGTTGCCTTTCGTTATGCTATGATAGCGTCAAACTTAATTGGGGCTTACACCGTTAAAGCGAAAATAAAAAAAAATGTCAGTATCATTTTATTAAATAAATTCGAACATTTTAAATAAAGTATAAAACTAGATCCAAATTTTGTATGTGTTCATATTTTAAAATATTTATTCTCATTTCAGTCTCTGTCACCTCTTTCGTTCAAAAGACTAAAATTCCATCCTGGTATTGTATTTGTTGATGAAACTGTTTTATTGCCTGAAGAGAAAAACTATGAAATTTATTTGAATGAGATCGAATCTATAATGAAAGCATCTGGGCTACCATATCACATTGTGAAACTGGAAGAGGTATTTTTCACTGCATACTGTTGTATTGACTGTTCATACATTCAAAAATGATTAGGTTTATATTTGCATCAACAATGTGGCATCACTAGTATTACTGTGATTGTATTTAAGATAATATTCCAGACTTTTTAAGGTAGCTTGCTCTTTTGACTTGCTTGCTGGAGTTGTCCACTTGTCCTTCCACCTTATATAAACAACTAACAGAATATTTAATGACTTAGTGGTATACTAGTAACGTTTTCTGGCAACAATTTATAGGCCTCGGAATATTAAAAAAATTTAGGTTTATTTTGAAAACAATTGAAAGATTCTAGTTATCAGGATCAGGAATATAATTTAATTTACGTAGTATTTTTGAAATATAACTTTTTTACACAAGATTTTGTCTATCATCGATGACACTGTGATTGAAAATAATGATGACACAGCACAAACTTGCAATCTTAGAGAACTTTTCGATTCTATAAAAAGTATAACAAGTAAACAAGAGCTGCTTTACCGACTAAGGTAAGATTTTTCTTCTGTTTGGTTTTATCAAAACACTTCAGTAAAAAGAATACAAATTCAATTATTTGTCGTTGCGTGGCTATATAGTACAAAGCAGTGCTTCTCATACAAGAGTGCGCAGACTCCGCGGGGTAGAACTTTTTTGAAGATTTACGAAAACAGTATATTTTCATTACTCGTTCATTATACAGGGTGTTTATAAAGTCCAGTTACAATTCCCATTTTGTTGTGAGGTCTGTTCCTAATGTACGTTAACTTCACCATATTTGTTTTATTTTAATCAGGATTCCTCCATGTTTTTTTACTTCATTTGATAGATATATTTGATAGGGGGCCAATAAACTATATATGGTTTAGATCAGTGGTTCTCAATCTATTTAAAAAAAATTCATGACAGACCCCTTGCAATTTTTAATGATACCGGCCTTGTGCACTAAAACAAAACAAAAGATCACAACAAAAAAGTCATGCTTCGTCGTATTGTTAAAAACAATGAGCGAACAAAAGTTTATGGCAAAGTTTAATGAGTTGAGTGCACTTGTTTCGTTGTGAAACAGCATTCAAAAGTGAACTGGCATAACTTCATAAACTGCCTAGTGACTACTGTAACTTTGTTTTTGATTTTGTAAAAACCTATTAGTGCAAAGTTAACTCCCCATACATTAGCTTTTTGCATGAGATCTGTTTCTAAGTCAAGATTACAATCAGAGAAGAGAAAAAGCTTGAGAAACACTGGTCTGAACTGCTCAATAAGTTCGATTTATAGAGATCAGTCTTATACTTATTTATTTATTTTTCAGGTGTAAATTGTTAACATACAAGGCAAAAGAGCTTGGTTATCAACATATCTTTCTTGGAGAAACAAGTTCAAGGCTTGCAATTAATATTTTGTCCAACATTGCGCAAGGACAAGGTGCTCATTTATCATTGGACACTGGTTTCACAGATAATGGAAGATATTTAGGAATCAATTTACTTCGACCATTGAGGGACATAGGCGCTAAAGAAATTGCAGTATACACGAATATTAATAAGGTAAGCAACAGGAGTGTAATTCGGGTCTTGCCAAATAGTTTCCAACCAGGTTGTGTAGCTGAGATAACGATGAGCTATGAGTTTTGGTACAATTCTGTGGAATGGATTTGGGGTTTGATTCAGGTTTTTAGGCTTGGGACACTAAATATTATTATCAATGTAATATCTCTTGGCATCTGGTTTTATTCTGATGATAATTTTTAAAAACACCTGCTGCCTGCATATGATTTTGTGCCAAAATATGTTGATGAAACACACACAATACTAGTATTTGCTTTGGGTTCTGTAAGGTTCGGTATATGTGGTCTCTGTTTTGTTATATATATATATCAAAAGAGTCTTGTCTTTAAGCTATTAAAATTCTGCTTAATTTTACAGATTCAGAGTGTGTTTTTGCCAAATTTTTCCACAAAAGTTCCAGCTACTTCTAGTATTCAACGACTTACTGAAGATTTTATTGTTTCACTCACATCTGATTTTCCTGCCACTGAAACTACTGTCTACAGAACTTCAAATAAATTAGAGGTATTTACAAACTCTCAAAATTCAAATGATAATAGTAAAAACAACTTATACTCTATCTAAATCAGTTTTTTTATATTTGAGATACTGTTGTTAATTGTTATTCAGCAACTTGCCACTTAGTGATGACCAAAACATTCTTAAATTATATTTTCAAGTATAGTTTATCAATTATATTCTGAATGCCCTAAATTAGATCAAGTTAAACAGATAACATCTTGAAGTGTATGGGTCATTAATTGTCAAAAAATTATTATTGCTTGGGACTGGCAGCAGGCAGTATCACGGTAATACCTTGTACATATGTATCCATGTTTTTGACCATCCGAATTCAGATGGGGCAATAAATGTTAATTCTTCAGAAAATTTCAGGAAATTTATTCAAAATTTATTTAAACAATTTTTCCAACTACAGATGATGAAAAATTCGAAAAAGGAAGAAAACAAGGACACAAATGAAAACTGTTTTCTATGTTGTGGGCCACTTGATACACAGATCAAAGAAGACAATGCTTCTGCTTTACAAGCAATTGAATTTACTGAAAACTTGAGTAATGGAATATTTGGTACTGCTGAAAACCCACATCTACCTCATGATCTGAAAAGTACGAGCAAGTTACCACAGTCTGATTCTGGCGACGATTATTGTGAAACACAAGAAAAAACAATGGTGAATTTGTGCCACTCTTGTAAAATATTACATAAAGATGTGAATACTGAAGTTAACTTCGATCCTATTTTTGAACACTTATTTAAAAATTCTTCTAAAGTTACGAACGAAGAAATGCGCAAGCAACTTGAAGATGTGTTACTGGATTCTTGATAATCGTGCATTTTCATGCTAATTAAAGATGGATCCTGAATCAAAATTAAGCCCAAATGCCTATATTTTCGAATTTGGATAGTTCTGTGTGTCAGGTAGCTTTGAGGAATCAGCTTCTATTAGTAGATATTTCTCAAAACTAGCGGTAAAAAAATATTACGCTCTCTGCCAAATTTCGGTTTGACATATCTTCTTTGTTTTATTATCACATTTCAAAATCATTGAAAACCAAACAGCCATTCTCGGTTGTATGAGTATGAATTTCAAATTGCCACATGTTGGTGCAATTTTACAAAATTGAAACGGCACAATGGAACTGAGAAAATATAACAAATGAATACAAAAGTTATATCTGCCTGACATACACTTCTACTTCTGTCTTCATCTTGTAAAATGGCCCGCTTCATGTTCAAAAATTCTACATGTTCAGGTATTTTGAAGTAAAATTGGTATAAACTGTAAATTTGTTGGTTACTCATGTATTTTTTTAAGTAGCCGTGTCAATGTCATACATTACCGTAATTGTTTCAAGATGCTTGAATAATAAAAAAAATAGCCTGTGGACATGAAATCAATTGGAAAATAATTAACCTACCTTTTATTCTAAAAGGACGATTGAGGTCAAATGATAGTTGAGGAACAAAGTTAAAGATTCATTATATTTGCTTTGCTGTCAATATATTCCTGTTAAGACTTGATTGTCATTGATTAGAGCAAGAGTAGTATATTGCAAAACTGCTACAACAGCTTTTACTTTATTGCTCTAATAATATTTACTTTGACATTTTATGATGATTGCACAGTGCACATTGCGTGTAAGGTACAATTTTACTTATCAGCATTTTATTAATGAAGCTGATAGTGATAGTCCGCAAAATTAATAGGTAAAAACTGTGTGACTAGGGCAGTTCTGTTGAACACAGTACTTACGATTTTTAGCGTGGCACATAGTACAAAGTAGACTAAATTTTAAGTATGTGCCATACCATAGTATTCCCTCTTGAGCCATAAATAAGTAGTACTGTTTTGAACACAAGCAATATTGGATTACATCGTTTATCCTAGACCCAAAGTTGATTAACAATTTCTGGCGAGTATTTTTTGATATATTGATAGTTTATGTAATCATGAAATTCATTGTAAGAGTCAATTGATTAGGATTGTGAAATGCATCCTTATTTGTTTGGTAACATACTACACTACACTACAGGTGGTTAAATGAATTTTTAGATACTGAAGGCTGGATAATGCACTCATATTTTGTGGGATGGAAATTGTGCATCAAAAAAGGTTTTTGTTTGGTGTGAATAGGCAATTCAATTGGTATACAGAAATGTATGGATATGATAGGTTAGGTTATAATATTGATTTTCACTTTTTAACATTTCAATAAATAATACCGCTTCAATGTTTTACTTCCTGTGAATTTTAATAATCAGTGGGCGTATGATAAACTTCCTTGATGGCTTTTGAGGATATACGCAAATTTTATTAAGTCATATCAGGACTATTACAGAGGTTTCATATTTGGTGATATCAGAAGTACCTATATATCATTCGGCAATGGGGTTCTAACTCAGGGTATGTTTGTTTGAACGACTTTTGTTAGTGTTGCAGAAATCAGCAATATTCAAGCAAAAAAAAATCATTGTTTTGTAAAGCAGGGGCGTAGCCAGAAATAATTGAAGGGAGGGTAGTTCTGAAATTTGTAATTGCCAAGCTAGACCGTAACAGCGAGCGCGTATGGAAACGTGGGTATTCATGATTCTTGACGGTCTAAAAAGCTGTTTAAGCTACGAAAAAATGCCTGAGTATTGTACAAAAATCGTATTTTGTAAGGGGGGGGCCTGACTCTCAATTAGAGTCGGGGGGCATAACATGTCCAATCCAGATATTTTTTGTTGCATCATGTAGTTTATTTAATACTGTAATATACATTATCCATAGTTGAATGTCTACATCATGCTCTGGACAGAGAAAAATATGATATGACTAAATTTTCAATGCTGCTAAACCACTAATTTTTTTCCAAATACTTACTAAAATACTCAAATGAATTTTTACTAATTTAAGGTGGATAATAAGTAATTTGGGTGAATATTCATATACCATCTCTATTGATTTTATGCAGTTTAAAATCGATTAAATGTAAAGGAATAGGTAAAATGGCCAAAGTAAAACAGACTAGTTTCAAGTTGAGCGGTGGAGAAGGTGATGCAGGATCTACGAAAAACTATGTTTTATCTTTGGATATAGGTACAAGCAACATTAGATGTCATGTGTATGATAAGAAGGTCAACATGGTTGGAAGGTAAAATTTAGGTTTTCTGTAATATGCATTCAGTATTTGTTTCAAAACTTTCAACGCCATCTCTATCCATAATTAAAGTCTTTTTAAACAATAGTGAAACAACATTTTTGCTTTTCATATGATAGGCGAAATTTAGGCACTCGTTTCATCTGTAGCAAGTATAAATATAGATTATACATAATGGAAATATGGTGTGATTAAATTTATGGCTTCCAAATGTAACCATTCAAAAATACATAATAGTTGGACATATTAACTTGAATTCGGAGTCTTGTCGTTGATAAGAGTTTGTTAAAAGGTCCTAAAATCGAGTATATGGTCAATCTGCATTTAAGACCGATTGAAATTCAAACTCCATGCCTCAAAATCAAGATACCACTGCAGATAGACCATAATACCTAATAGCAAGCCATTGAAATAGAATTGGAAAAAAACACTATCTGCTTGGTGAAAATGGGACTAAATCTTTAATTATTTTTTCAGGTCTTGCCAACCAATAAAAATCAAGTATATAGGATCACAAGGTGTTGAAATTGATCCTGATGAATTATGGCAACAAGTTCTTGAAGTTATGAAGGTATTTGAAATAAGTTTGTGTAATATAAAGATGAATTTATAATCTTTTATGATGTATACAAACAATGTTCAATCAATTTCCTGTAGTTTGTGACTTGAAGATTTTGTTTCCATATTAAAGGTAAATTTAGTGATTATACAAATCACATCTTCTGTCATATTTATAGGGTGCTTTGGAAGATGCAAAAATAACAGCAGATGAAGCAGCAGCCCTTGGAATATCAGTGCAGAGAGGAACGTTTTTACTCTGGGACAAGGAGACTGGAAAACCATTTCACAATTTTATTGTGTGGCAGGTAATGCTTCGAAATATTTGGTTATGTGAACTGCGTTCACTCATAGTTTATTAATCCCCAAGAAATGGTATGCCATGATAAAACTTTCCCATGGCTGTGAAATTATATGCAGCAACACAACATTTTTATATTACATGTCTGGTGAAATATTCACCATAGGTTATTTCGCGTGACGTAAAGTCATCCATATTGACATAATAAAAAATTCTTAAATTAACAAAAATCTGGAATGTAACATTTTTGTTGAATTTCACCTTAATTAACCCAAACAATTTCAATTTGATATGCCAGATTGGATACTGAAATTATCATAAGGGCGCTATCATGACAGTATTCAATCAAGTATCTCTGTCAAACCCCTCTAGACGAGTGTTACATTAAATTTTAAAAAGATCATTGTGTTGTGTAGTATCTCATTCTACCATATTCATAGGACACAAGAGGAGAGAAAATTGAAAGAGATTGGAATGAATCTTATACAATGAAAGTTGTAAAGGCAGGAGGAAAGGTTGCTCATTCATTTAGTCGTCAAAAACGTTTCATGGCAGCAGCTGTTATTAACTTTCGAACTAATCATGTGAGTGGAAACAAATTCATTTTGGCTTACACTTTCTATATATTTTGGTTATTTACTAGTTCCATGCAATTGTGAAAACAATGTGTATTACAATAGTCGATAAAAAGATGTTATAGTCCTATCGTACGCCTAAGTTGATATTATCAAACTTGATATATTGTTATATAACAGGGATGGCGAACCACTGACCCGCTGTTCACAAAGTGACCCACCGCGTTTTATTCGTGACCCACCAAGGTACAAATAAAATACTAACATATCAGTGTTGAAAATCATTAAAATCGGCCTTAAATTAAACAAACAACAACTAAACTATTATAATGTACTGTCAGTTGGGCAGTCAGGGCTGCGATCGATTATATTCAAATTGTTAATTCAGGGCCGGTATGGTAATTTTTAAAACCCCTAATCTTGGACAAATGTCTGCACCGCTGTGTACCGTTCGTTATTCAGCCATTGGCTTTGACATCGTATATGACATAATGATGCAATTGATCTGTTCATTTTTCGTAACGTCTTGTCTCTTTCGGAAGTGTATCTGCCGACTGTTTTAGGGGTTATACGAGAACTAGATGCTACTTTGCATTTTATTAGTTTCTCGCTTACAATGCCGTTGAGAAAACAAAATCCTTCAGACTTGAAATAAAAACCTAGAGATCTGAAATAACAATGGAGCAGTGAGAGTGCCTTAATGTGGTTGAAAAAGCTGATCGAAAAACATAACACTATCAGAGTGAAATTCCCTCCAAACGCTTAGGAACCGTAAAATAATTTGCCGCATCATCCTAAACGTTTTTGGTAATTCATATGCACCAACCGAAGCTTATAAAATTTCAGAAGTTTCTTATAGATACAATTATACAAACATTAATTAAATACCTGTGAGTAAACCCACACCCTTCTGTTTCGTGATTATAATATAATTTTTGACCCATTCATTGGAAAAGGTTCGCCATCCCTGTTATATAACGTACAGAAATTTGGACAGCCTGGTGACGCAGCGGTTGAAGCGTGTTCGCATAGCAGATTACTCATCTCGTATCCCAATCTATTGACTCCCACCTCACCCAGGATGTAATAAATCACATTTTATGTTATTTAACTATGACAAGATATATACATACATTTATACACACATAGGCAGAATGATGAAAGTATGAATGTACTGAATATTTTGGAATGGCATATTTTTCATGTCCTGTTTTTAGTGTTTTCTGTAATGGCACCTGGCAAACACTTCGATCTCATGTTCAAAATATCATAATCATTTTATCCAGGTGACAATCAGGTTGTTGTGGGCTTTGGAACAAAACAAGAAATTAAGACCATTAGCTAAAGAGGGAAAAGTTCGATTGGGAACTCTTGATACATGGTTAATATGGAAATTCACATGTGGAAAGACTTACTGCACAGAAATGTCAAACGCTTCATCTACTGGAATATATGACCCATTTATCCAGGACTGGAACTCATTTTTCTGCAATCTCATGAGTGTTCCATATCGGGTATTTCCCCCAGTATGGGACACAAACGCAGATTTTGGGGTATGTGATGCGAAATTTTTTGGATCCGAGATTCCTATTCGGGCTGCGCTTGGTGATCAACAATCTGCTATGTATGGACAATGCTGTTTTAAAGCAGGCGAAGTCAAGCTCACTATGGGGACTGGAACTTTTATGTGCATGAATATAGCAGAAAAACCGCATGCTTCCGTAGAGGGATTCTACCCTGTTACAGCATGGAAAAGAGGTTCCGAGATAGTACATCTTGCAGAAGGATCATGCAACACTGCTGGAGATGCCATAGACTGGCTAGTAAGGGTATTCGGAATCGAAAGTCCTGCACATACAGAAGCCATTGCGAAATCTGTTTCAGATACGAATGGAGTTTATTTTGTCCCAGCGTTCAGTGGGTTACAGGCTCCTGACAATGATTTCAGTGCTTGTGGGTCACTCATGGGTTTAAAAGGTTCTACTTCAAGGGCACAAATCGTGCGAGCTGTATTGGAGTCATTAGCATTCAAGTATGTGTATGAGATTTCATGTGAATATTCTTACAATCCTTCTGTGATGACAAAACTCTTGTTTCAGGAATGCACAAATATTTGTTGCTATGACATCAGAGGTATCATATCCAGTGAAAAGAGTTGTGTGTGATGGCGGAGTAACAGCTAACAATTTTATCATGCAATTAACTTCAGATTTAATAGGTAACATTGTCATATATATGCTATAAATTGTATTAATTTCTGAGAACTATTCATCAACGTGCCTTGTGTTGTTAAAATTGGATACTCAAAATCATTAAGTAGTTCTTGAATGTCATTTGTTTTTAGATAGATTTATTCCCATATAATATTGATTTGCATGGAACTTATGTGCGGAATTTGTCAAATGATCGTTAAAGTTATTACATTGTTAATTTACATCATCCGCAATGATAATGATTGTAAATATGATAACCATAGATGATAACGTTTAAAACGAAAAACATGCAATTCACACAGATTTATTGATCACCTCATTGTAAATTCCCTCAAACATATCGATTTTCAGATCAACCAATACAGAGAATGAAGAAAACTGACATGTCAGCTCTTGGTGCTGCATTCATGGCAGGAAGAGCTGTTGGCGTTTGGAAAGATGACGATTGCTTGAAGGTATTTTATATATATATCATTTGTATCAATTAGTCCAATTTCCTTGCAACTTAGTTTATATAGTTGAATTAGGTCTGCTTAAGCTATTGTCTAATATCTCTGATCAATTGTGCTAATTCAGTTGTTCAACACTGTTCATAGATCAATGTGAAACATTCCAATTCCCATCTTGTCTTCAATACGACGCTAAAATATCATTGTCATTTTAAAATTATCAAACAATATAAAAAGGAATTTTTAATTTGAAGTTCAAAATTATTTTTAGTTGTATGGTCGATATATCATAGTTATAAACTTAGTAATTCTTAACTTCTATTATATATCAGGATCTACTCACTGTTGAAACTATATTTTATCCTGATAAAAAGAGAGCGCAAAAGTATGCTCCAATCATCGCAGAATGGAAAAAGGCAATTGAGCGTTCGAAGAAGTGGTATCAGAAATGACTTGGTCGTATAGATATTTTCCTATTGTGTATAAAATAATTGTATATTAATATTTAGTCAAGCCAAAATCGCTGTACTGTATTTCAAATTGATTCATTTTTTGGTTTGACTTAAACTTTGATGCTAGATTTTTCTGTTTATATTGTAGCAGTGATTGGTTATTTGGATTTTTGTGTTACCAATTACTGATAAATTAAATTATTCCATATCTGGAAATAAACAGATCGGAGATAGAAAAAAATGGGTGCTCCTGAAGTATGCGCACCATGATGTCGCATAACCTGAACTCTAACCTGGTACACAACCTGAGGTCAGGTTGTGCGCCATCTTGGTGCGTATACTCCAGGAGGTCTAAAAAATGTAATAACGACGTTAATTTCAATCAGCATCTTGTGTTTTCGAAGTTAATTTTTGAGGCAAGAATTTTTAACCTGATTAAAAATTAAACAAACGTCATTTTCATAAAATTCAAAACCGGTTTTATTCTAGAACAAAACCACAACTACAATTTGAAAATGAAAAATAGTTCAAAATTGAATATCGAGACCCTGGGCTTCCATCGTCATCATTCAAATTTCATCAAAGCTTTATGTGCTTTGTATAACATTTATATTTGAATATCTTCCTCAACTTATATATCCCCAACTTTTTATTCACTCGTAATTGTTTTCTAATACCTATGCATCATTTGAACATCTAATATTTTAATTTTTTATGTTAAAATGCAATTGAGATGATGAACCACTACCTAGAAATGCCAATACATTCATGTTTTATATAAATATACTTTGTCTTTCATTAACGCTGTAATATAAATGCTGCCGGTAGATATTTTCATTCGTTCTTGCTTTTTGGATCTGACTGATTCTTGGAACATAGGAATATTATATGAAAAGAATTTTCAACTCATGTTTTTATCACAAAAAGTGATTTTGCAGTGAGACACAAACTCGTACGTCTTTGCAAAACTGAAAATGCTCTGGCATTTCTTCTTTGTTTGGATAGGGCAAATCTAGTTCATTCGTATTCATCAATCTTCACCCAAAATGCAGTAGCTATATGCAGTTTTGTATTTCATTCAAAAATCATTATTATTGAACCCACGGTAGGTACAATCTTTGAGTATAATTCATGATAACGTGCAGTAGGATTACTGAATGCTTTTTTGCTGTTCTATATGTAATTGTGTTTAATTTTATTGAAATAAATATTTGCAGGGATGGAAACATATGGTACAAATAGGTTCCTGTACTCTTTGTTATCATATATGGAAAAGGTAATTTTAAAGCAGCTGTAGTACCAAGATCATTTACATAATTTGGGTCGAGGTATGGAAATAACATACGGTAATAAAATTTCTGAAGGATTGACATACACCAAAAACTGGGAGGCAGGATTTCCTAATAGCTAAAATCAGTTCACACAGCGGAGGGGTTCAGGACATGCATAATGAACTGCATGTCGTTGCTTATTTGATTTGAGGTTGCTACCGATGACATATTATGTGACAAATGACAACAAAAATAGTAGGAGATTAAAGCTTGCAATTTTTATGAACAATATTGGAACTTTGTTTTTAATTGCGAGACACTCGAAATAGCCATTTCAACAAGTCCAATGAGATCAGTTGTTAGGGCATCATTTCTATAACCTTTTTCCATATCTTTAGGGTGATTAAAGCTCAGCTTTTAGTGCTTATATAACAATATGCGATGCTGTGTGAGGTTTAAGGTGGCTTCACGCTTTTTATCGCAGTGGCACAAAAAGTTTGGGAACCACGACCATGCTACCGGTACTAAAAGACGTGACGTCATAATGCCACCTGTGTCCATTTTTGTCCAGATTTGAGTTGGCCTGGCCAAATGCTCGATACAATATTACAGGTACCATACAAATATGGCACCTTTACCTGTGAGATTGACATTTACAGTATACAACAATACTAATATAATTACAAAGCCAGTAAATCGTGACGCAAAAGCGGCAAAAACAAAAAAGGGGAATTCCCTAAATACTTGTTAGCGTTATTCCCTACATACACAGACGACAGACGCAGGTCGGCCGATACGGTACCGGTACCTGTAATATACAGCTTATCAGTATTATATCGCCTGTTGCTGTATTGACAATTCTACTTTCAAAAGTTCTATGAAATGAAGACAAAAAGGCGAAAAATCAATCTTAGCGATGTTGCCTCGCTTGAGAGAAGCATGTCTTGCCAAGATGTCTCATTTTCAAGGACCAGAAGGAGGAAATCCAGCCTCAATTCTCTTGCTGACATTGAAAATGCCTCCGTTTCTTTCGGGACATCTATAAAAGGTATGACTAAGCTACACTTATTGTACCTCTCGTACACTCATCAGTACGGAATACCAGGTTGGGTTCACAGATATAAAAATCTGAAAATACGTGGAGGAAATCAACGGTCGGACGGTTACATTGAACACAATAACATATCACAGAGTTCGATTCCAAGAATAGCCCCCACATTGAAAGACATCAATTATAACAGTGAGTGCAAACCCCTCCTTTAGGAAATGGTTTAAATCTAGAGCATTTAGCAAAATATCTCAAATTTGGTCATAATATTATGATGGCAGACACACGTTGCGATTGATTTACCGGTAAGTTATTAAGACAAGACAAACAAGGCAATGACGTACTTGCTGCCGTGCCACACGCACTGTTTCAGAGAAATAGAAAACGTTTGTTTTGTTAAACCAAATGTTGGAAATCAGAGAACATAGCCCTACTGTATGTGGTCTAGAGATTACACATTTCAATTTTTATACAACTGCTAAAAATGTATTTATCATAATCCTATACCATATACAGTACTGTAAAGTGAACCCTGATGATAAAAAAGATATGGCAAAATGATTTTTAGGTGATGCAGATACAATGATACCATGCGGACAAAGTGTAGAAAATAATAACAATTCTTTACATGATGTTGAATATCAGAATAACAGTGATGATGATTTGTTTGGTATGATTTTTATTGTTTTCAATTAATTTTAATATTAATATCTCATGTCAATAATAATGAAAATAATTAATCATAAAATAAAATTTTGGCCTTCATATTTTAGCACATTTCATGTCTTGGTAAATGTGTTTTTCATTCTTATAAGCTATAGTATAGCTCGTAGTTTAACTTTTAATATTTTCTAGTATGTTTTAAAATATGAGTTGCATAATTTCATGCATTTCATTTCAGGTAACTTAACAGTTGATGAGAATAGATCACCATCTCCAATTCTTCCTAGTTACGCAAGCCCTACTCAGAAAATAAATAGAACGAAAAGAAGCCGTCAATCACTATGTAGTGTCAATTGGAGCGCTGATGAAACACTACTTATGAAATGCTCTGACCAACTTTTTGCTAACGAGAAAAAAGATGACCCGAAATTATCTAAAACTGTTCAAAATGTTACCGACGCAGACATTGAAAAAAAATCCCAGAAGTGTTCTGATGCAAAATCTGAAATGAAAAATGACTCTGTATTTGGAGATATTGATTTATCCTATGTTGAAAATCAGATGAATACTAATATTAAAAAGAATTCAAAATCAGAGGCGCACAATAATTCACCAATCAAGTCAAAATTTGACCAAGTTGTTGAAGAGCCAAAGCCTGTGGCTGCTTCTACTCCATCTCGTGCATGTGCTGGTGGTAATCTTATGCTCAAGCTCAAAGAAAGGTGAGTTCGCAAGATTGCAGATGTCAAAGTTTTTGTGTCAAAGTTGACTTTCTTTGAATTTGAATTTGAAATTTTTTTTATCAACTTGGAGTTTGAAATTGAAGTCAAAAGTTTTTCTTAGCCAGAGTCTGAGTCAATTTTTTTTCATGTTTAAGTTTTCCTTATTTTGGTTCGATAATTTATTTTTACTTTTGTTATTCTTAAATTTTTTTTTCATATGAGCTTGCTTAAAGCTTCACATTCATATTAAATATATGAAGTTTACCTCAATATGGGTCAAGGAGATCCGTTATGCATTTCAAACTTGGCGAGAAAGAAGGTTCACAAAGTAAGATCAATGCAAGTGTCTGTCTTTGAGCTATACCAAATGTAAATGTATTTAATTTTGTAAAATGCAGATTAAAAGCAAATGCTAATCAACAAACAGCATCAAGTTTTCATCTTCGTGATGCGGCAAAAGATTTTTCAAAAATTTTATTGGTATGTTACGGTAGAATTGTACTATTAGTGTATGTACTATTAGTGTATTGCGAATAATCCATTCATAAATTACTGGTAATTCAAAATATAAATGAATATCTGATTTTAGGTTATCGATGTTTAATTTTAGGATGTTGGTGGAGAAAGCCAGTTTCTAACGCAATCACAGTTGAAATGCAAATCTCTAGGACCATTTTATGGACTTCCAGCAAAAGTTCAAAATTTGATGGAACAATTCAGAGGAATAAAGAAAGTTTATGGTATTTTTCGAATATTAATGATAACCCAAGTTAAGACGGTAAATTTTTAATATGACAAGAACAAAACTTTTTACTAGCACCCATTGAGACTTGTTATTTATGATCAGAACTGAAGAAGTTCAAGACAGATAATATTGCTAAAATGAATTTACAAAGATGAGTGGCACGTTTGGGTACACAGCCACAATCGGCTCATAACTGATTTTCAATAAACAAGATGAATAGTACCCCAGATTAACTCATATAACAGGACAAATAATTACTGACCCCTAGAGATGTGTATGCGAGATGACCTAGCATTTAAGCTGTTAAGATGTAACTGTGTTGTCATTGCATGTTACACATTTCGGGTTCAAATCCCATGTTCATCATGTAAAAATCTGGGTAGGCAATGCCAAATTGAGAAGAAAATTAGAAACTCCTCACATATCATTAGATATTAGAGGCGCCTTGTTTCGAGCCGTAGAAAAATATCTTCATAAGTGTCATCTCTCAGTCTATATGCACATTTTTTTTCTGTTTTAATATGCTTGGTTTTCCATTTTTGGTACAGATTGGCAACACAAGTGTCTGTCTTTACCATCAATATCAGAAGGGAAAAATTTAATTTATTCTCTTCCAACAAGTGGAGGAAAAACATTGGTTGCTGAAATATTAATAATGAGAGAACTTTTATGCAAAGAAAGAGATGCTATACTTGTATTACCATTTGTAGCTATAGTACAAGAAAAGGTACGAATTTTATTCTTTCTGGCGATTTTGGAAGATAAATTTAGCTTTCTCCTTCGAAATCCAAAGAAAGGTATTGAAACATGATTTGTAATTAGTAATATTCATAAAAAAAAGTTATTTTTAAACAGCGAATGATGCTTTATTTGCAGCGAGTCATAATGTCATTTCACAAAGATAGAAATCCTGTCTCATTAGTTAAAACATATTGCCAAGTAGTAAGAACTTGCCTGTCATCGCACCGCTGGTTAACCCACATAGGTTGAAATTGTGAGGGATAATTCGGCTAAAGAGGACAGCTCTATTCTTCATTGCTGTACCTGTACTGTATGTAGTCATGTAACTAACTGCTGATCAGCTTCCTCCACTATTTTCACACCTTGCTAGACGTCTTGATCCTAAAATAGTCAATGCTCACCGATTTTTCTTGTTGAAAATTTCAGGTTCGTAATATTGCACAGTTTGCAGATGAACTTGATTTCTTGGTGGAGGAATATGCCGGTAGCAAGGGAAAAATTCCACCGACTAAACGACGAAAAAGAAAATCCCTATTTATTTGTACAATTGAGAAAGCTAATACTTTGGTATGCTGAAGTCAAATATAAACAGATTCAGATATTATAGATATTTATAAAATGCGAATTTGAAGGGTAAAATATAATTTAAAATTGCTAAGGAATTGCTACTGTATATAAAATAAACTGTGTATAAAATTTTTAAAAACTTTGGCATGTTTTTTCTTTCAATTCAATATTCGATTTCTCTTTTTGTCTATATTGATAAAAATTCAATTTATAAAATTACATTGGGTCACTCATTTCTTGATATCTTGAGATCCAAATTTTCTCAATATTGAAAGAAATATGTAATTACAATAATACTCAACTTACAGGTAAACTCCTTAATTGAAGCCCAAAGACTTGATAGCGTTGGCTTAGTTGTTGTTGATGAACTTCATATGTTGGGTGAAGGTGGACGGAGAGGAGCAACTATTGAAATGACGCTTGCAAAAATTATGCATGTTTCTTGTAAGAATAACTTATCCTGCATCTAGATTTTGTTTTAAATTTTTATTTTTTTTGTTTTAATAGAATACCGGTTATTAGCTTTGTATTAGGAAGTACTTATATATATTCTGTTTGCCTTTGTATTTAATTGACTCAAGCCTTGCATGCACTACCACGAATCTATATGGTTTCGAGGGCTCTTGGTATCTCAGTAATATCCCATAACTTCGCTCAGAGATGAGTTTCTATTTATTTCTGAGTGAGAGTGCCTCGGCTCTGATAACATTCTTTAAAAAATTGTGATAAATGTGGCAGAATTCAGTATTTGTTGGTCTTTTATCAAGGCAATGTATAACAGATTACCAATTTGACAGTATGAATCTTTGAGAAAGCTCTCTAAATCTTGTTTTAAAACTTTTTACGTAAAATGGTCTCATTTGCCAATCAGAGTAGTTTCAATTGCAAATTTTCATTTTAAGCAGAGTCTCACAGAATGACCAAAAAAGGGATAAATTTCATTTCTGAAAATCTTAAACATAGAAAACTAATCTAATCGCTGTTTATCTACTACTTTCCACATTTTAAAATTCAAATTGAGCACGTTTTAACTTCTATAATGTTCTCTTGTGAACATGACCCAATATATTCCATATTCAAAAATATAATTTCAGAATGTATTCGTAATAATAGATTATTTAGTTCTGACCATTCTTCAATTTATCCTCCAGGTACTACACAAATTATTGGGATGTCTGCAACTCTCAGCAATATTGGAGATCTGGCAACTTTTTTACATTCTGAAGTTTATACAAATGATTTTCGTCCTGTAACTCTTGATGAACATGTTAAATATGAAGATTCTATTTATAAAGTTGATCCGAAGAATTTAAATCCTGATGAACAATTAACGTTTGATAGACCTATCGGATATACAGTGAGTGCTATTTCGTCAGTTTTGGCCAACCTTATACTCGAATATATTCACTGCCTTGGTTTTTTGTTTATGCAAATCTGCAGTTGGGATTCATATTCAAATAGTTTAGTAGTATTCTAGTATATTTCCTTGCACTCAATTCTGATTTCGATATATTTTTGAATTAGATAATGATTTCACAACAAATCTATTTTACAAAAATTCTGATTCTCTAAATATGTTTTGCATAAAAATAACAATTTTTCAGTTTTCTCGAGTTAGCAGTCATAGTTTAATTTCACCATTTCTGTCAAATAATGCACAAGATTTCCGAATAATATGATATTTGTCGCTGTTGTTGTCATTTTTAAACCATAATATTGATATAACATGTTTTATTTTTTTTCTAAATTTTAATGTTCAATTTAAATCATGAACAATTTCATGTTTGTTGATATGATTAGGTGTAAATAAGCAGCTCCTTGCAACATGCCATAAATTTAATACCGTTACTTTTATTTTAGAATAAAGAAATGTCGTTAAGAGATACTGATCATCTCGCAACATTAGTTTTAGAAGTTATACCTGATCATTCATGTTTAATATTTTGTGCTACGAAGAAGAATTGTGAAAATGTGGCAACCATGATTTGCAAGTTATTACCAGAGTAAGTTTATCTGTTGTGCATCTGCATAGATACCGCAGCTGGGCCGCTGAATTATATCATTTGCCAGAATATTAAAGAGGATCTTTGCTGGAAATAATAAAACTACTCAGACCAAATATGCTTGAGTATCAAAGTTTTATTTCGTCGATAAAATTGTCAAAAAGATCTCTTTGTCAAATTTGTCAACCAAGATAAAAATGTATGTCTGCCAGTTCAAACATAATACAGCAACATAAATTATAGATCTCTCAAAGAAAGAAAAGTGAGAGAAAAGAAGGGAATATTAGAGACATTATATCAAGATTCCGGTAATGAAGGAATATGTCCTGTTTTGTTGAAAACCATTCCTTATGGTGTTGCATATCATCACAGGTGAGCCTGGTGTTTTTACATTTAGTAATATTCTTACATTATTATACCAAATACATTCCACTATAATGTATTTGAATTGAAAAAAAAATGAATTTATTCTATGGAAGTTTACCATATATATAAGATTAACAAACAGAGGTTTGGGGCCAGAAAGTTTCAGAAACCCTGCTTCAGACTAGCATTGGTGGCTATGACTTCATAATATTCGACATCTATATTGATATTTTCTGTGTAGGCTGTAGCATAGAAAAAATATCGAGTACGAGAGATGGCCATGTACATCATGATCCTAAATCCACGGATGTTCGTCGAACAATCAGGATGGGCAGAGATCGTTTTTTTTCTGCTGTGATAATATGCTGCTGTGAAATTATTTCTAAATAGGATATAGCATATAGGATTCAATTACCTTGAATCAGGGGTCACCAACGCGTTGCCCGCGGGCACGAAGTCCCCCGCGAAGACCATATGAGTTGCCCGCCGGTCTGTTCCAAACTAAGCTTAATAACGGCTCTTATAAGTAAGCTACATCAATTAAATTTTGTCCTGCTATTTTAGTATAAATCACACTTATATGGGAACTAGAAATGACACTATATTAATATTTGTAATCATCAACCTTATTTTTATTTGACCTCAGTAATGTGACGGGTCAATTTACACTCTTCCAATTATGACATCACACCGATATCACTTTCCACGAACCCGGACTTTTTCTTGTCCGTTGGTTTGTGAAGCAGCAATAATACAATTATTGATTCCAAAGAAAAATGGCAGAAAAGCGATGAAAAATCCATCATTTTTACAATGAAATCATTTTTACCATCATGAAAAAAGCCTGCGTGTGTCTCATTTGTGGGGCGATCGTAGCGACGGCAAAGCGGAAGGATATTTCACATCTTGTCACGTAATCTTCCGCGCTAACTATCCACTGGTCAGCGCAGTACGCGCGGAAAAAAGCCTGCGATTCAAATCATACAGCAATCCTATTTTATGAGACCAATGTTTGGTTCAACCTATCTTTGTGAATTAACATTTTTAACATAAACTCAGGGTAGGAGGGGATTTACATATTTATCCCTGGGAGAAGATAGCCGATAAGACGGCTTGACCATATGACGACCACGGCCTCTCGCCCGGTTACCATTCTATGTCTGGTCTGGTCTTGTTTGCGGCAGCATGGACTTGATGGCGAATGAAGCCGTAACCGGCCAGCGGTTACGTGAACCACCCTACGGCGGCGAGGAGTCCAACAATCCTTTAGTACATAACTATCCCTGCATGGGATTCTAACCTGTGAACCAAATGCTTAACACGATGGGCCACAGCGCCGCGACTCACTCCATCAGGAACAAACACTGAACACGCCTCACTGATGAAAATTTGCAAGACTCGCTCAGAGTTACAGTGTCAAGTTACACATTTTATTTTAGACTTGTGCAGAGTGTTTGTAAATAATCCAGATACATTGTGGTTTCCTAGGATATTATAGTAGGGATCACTTGAAAATCAATTTAAAAACACTCAGCTTTGAAATGCAGGTGTAATTGATAGATTTTTATTTGATACGTTGGGATAATCGTTTGATTTCCTGAAGAATCCTAAAATTTATTAGTGTCTCTACTTCACTAAATACCAGTAGTTGTCAATAATTGAAGCTTAATCGAGCAACTCAATTTTCAGAAGTGTACATTGAACTGGTAGCCCTCGGCTTGATCTGTACCCAGAAAGTAGCCCTCGGCCTCGAAAAGGTTGGTGACCCCTGCCTTAAATACTAAAATTTTTTTATTAAACTTACCCTAAATAAGTTTCATTTATTTTTTTTTAGTGGATTAACATCGGATGAAAGAAGACTAATAGAAGGAGCATATACAGATGGTGTATTATGTGTTATCACTTGCACATCTACTCTCGCTGCAGGTGTTAATTTACCAGCAAGGAGGTAAAAATAAATTATATTCTATAAAGACTATAATCTTATTTCAGAATTCTGCATCTTATTGATTGAAATTGTTGATGAATTGAATTTAATAGTTGGATCTACTTTGCAAAAATATTTAATATCACTATGCCAGAAAAAAATTTCCCAGAAAATAATCGTATATTTTCGCACATACGCCGAGTTTAAAACACAAAAAAAAAGTTGCCAAACTAAGGGGGCGGCTCATACTCGCGTAACTCAGATTGCATAAAAAAATCGACTCATTCGCGCATGACTTTGATCACGCAACGAGATTGACATTTAGCTAACTTGCCGGTAATTCCAAAAGCTTCAAACCGCACTAAGTTCTCACGATAAAGAACGCACACACACAATCGCTTGTGCCGGTGTGATTGTCTCATCATACAGCTGATGGCTCGTACAGTCTGTGATTGGTTGTTAAACACGTGACGCTTGTACAGTCTGATTGGCGTCGATTTACAGCCAGCGTTTCGTGGTGAAACATTATCATTTAGTGCACTATCGCGGTACAACGCATGTAACGGCGCCCTCATTTTGATCACCTTTACGATATGTTATCCTTTTCAGTTGCGCTGATAAAGACTCTTATCTCCGTTATAATTGAAATATTTACCGTTACATATGCATGACATCGCTTACGCTGTTGAGGTGATGACACAATATTTAAAATTAAATGATAAATAAAATTATTCAAATCGCATTACGGAGCAACATCGAAATAATGGAGCTTGTAAATATGTCACAAAACGACATTCATTCTACGACGTTTGAAAATCCTTTTAATAGCAACTTCCGAATCAGCGATTTATAAGAATGTGTTAATACAACATTCGATTTAAAAGAAATTGTTTTATGCTGATCCCTTCTGTTTTATCCCTTCATTAATACAAATCACTGCGCAGTGAAAAGCAATATAGACGTTATTAACATAAATTTACAAGTAAGAATCAGGTAGAATAATACTCACAGTCACAGCATTAATTCTTAACAATAAAACTGTAATTTCAATTATTTTGAACAACCATTTAACTGAAAAGTTGAAATAACATATGAATATGGTGTGATAAATATTGCTGTAGTCCATGGGTTAGGCAACAGCTGTGTTTTCCGTTTTTTCCTGAATCAGCAAAACGGAAGGGTCATAAATCCATTACCTTATTACATGGTAGCGTTTTCTTTCTGAAGTGCCGATATCGGGCAGGAAGTGCTTCCCACGTTTTTGTTTTTAAAGCATTAACACAAATAACAGTTGGTATACAAAGTCAATTAAATAATCGGCAGACACTTTGGCATACATTATAAAATATATCAGCCCATATATGAAGCTTACACAAATCATGTTTGAGAAGACTTGCGCAAAATAACCAAATTTATTGCCGTTGCCGCTCAGGATATCTCGACTACGTTAATATAAAATAAGGATTGTAAAATATTTTCAATCAAAAATGTTCTCATGTCATACATTCGGTACTTCAAGTCGGCGCTGATTTAATTCCTTTTATGTTGACAGTAATCCGCAAAGTGCTGTCTTCCATTACGATTTGTAGAAACGGCGTATATGCGAATTTTTATAAATTCACTATTTTGAAGCTGGTATTAGGGAGTCGGCTTATTCGCGAGATAGGCGTAATTTCGGGAAAATACGGTAGGTAATTTCCATGTTTTGAATTTTATGAAAACAAATTTATGAATTGTTCTCAGTATTATTCTAATTTGTTCAATAATTCTGTAATAATCTCTCGTTTCATCTTCTAATATTCGAATGATATAAATTGTGAAGTATGAATAATATTTTAACATGAGTCATAGTTTTTCTAATCAGCTCATATGCTCAAGATAATTTGAAAACATCGTATCCCCAGAATTTTTTTCGTTTCAAACAATTAAAAACAGACAATAGAGTATTAGCATAATTATTGATTACGAGCTTGTTGTCAGTCAGTGTATTGTGTATAGATTTTTCGTTTTAATTGAACGCTTTTGTATAAATTTATTTGAGTGCCTGCTTATGCAGAGTCTTGTTCAGAGAGAAAGACATATAATACCTCATTACAATTTTGGTTGTTTCCATACTGATTCTTTGCTCTTTTTTAGGGTTATTATTCGTTCTCCATATGTTGGAAGAAGTTTTTTATCTCGGGCACAATATAAACAAATGGTTGGTCGAGCGGGAAGAGCTGGTATCGATACAAAAGGAGAAAGCTATCTTATTTTAACCAAAACACAGGTCAGCATGATTCAAAATAAAGTTTTTGTGTATAAACATTTTGACAAATTCACTGAAATTCACTTTTGACAAGCTAATACTTGGACTTTGTCAAAATATACAAAGCTCAAATTTGACAATTTATCCAACAGTCAGGGAAAATTCCCCCATTGAAAACAATTGTGTATATTCATTTTTGACAAAAATATACAATATACCAGTACTCAAATCCGTCACCTAAGTATAGTTTAATTTAACTTCTACAAATACAATCACAACTAAATCGTGCTTTTTTTTTTATCTAGGACAAGCAAAGAGTTATGGAACTGGTAACAGGACCTGTCGAAACATGCATAAGTAGTTTAATGTACGATGGTGGAAAAGGTTTCAAGACATTAATATTGAATTTAATTGGTTTAAAGGTGAATCTTTTTTATTTAAGTTCAGTAAGCTTTTTTCTTGTCTAATTATGGAGTTTCAATTTTTTGTTCGGCAGTGGGGCATCTGTGCTAAGTGTTATGAATACACTTGCCATCGCATCCCTGATTACCATGTATGGGTTCGCAAATTTGAATCATTTACGAAAACTTATACTTACTCGTACTTTTTTAAATTTCAGTTTCAATTAATTTCGTATGATACTAGTCCAGTGGTTTCCAAACTTTTTCAAAAAAATTTCATGACGAACCCCTTTCAATTTTATGCACCAAAACAAAACATTAAAAGATTACAACAAAAAACCAATGCTCCGTATAGTGAAACGAACAAAAGAATATAAAGCGCAACTCTCATGACATGTATGACATCCAGTCTGTTTCGATATTTGGTAAATATCAAATAGGGCAGCGTCAGCTACAGCTCTGCAGTCAATAAACCTGTGGTGGCATGAATTGAACTCTCACTGTGTTGTGACAGGCCCATAGCTCTGAGGCAGCAAAAGGCGACACAAGTGTATTTGCTAATTTAAGAACTTTTGTATTATCACACTATTAGCCTGTTACAGATTTGTTTCGCAGACCCTCCGAAAGTGCTTCACTGACCCCAAAAGGTCCGCAGACTCTAGTTAGGGAACCACTCTACTAATTTAAGGGGAAATTTGTTTCTCTAATAAGGCCTGTGACCTCATTTGATGTAAATTATCATAAAATGAATATTTTCCTTCATATTTTACAGATAATGACAAAATTATCTGATGTTAAAGATTTCTTTTCTCGAACTTTAATATCTGTGCAATTGAAATCACTTCCTGATAGATTTTCATATTTATCAACAACCGAAGATACCTCAGATAATGCAACCTTGGTTGAAAATGTCACCAAAAATGCTCTTCAAGAATTGCTAAATCTAAAACTTATTAAACTCGTTAAATTGAAAGAAGGTGTGAGATTGTTATATTTTTCTACGCAAGATATTTAAATGTGTTTTGCTCAGAACAATGTCCTGCACAAGCAGCCACCACTTGTTGCTTTTCTCTCAGACAGATGTATCATCAATCTATTTCAAATTTTCAGTAATTAAAGATGGTTGAAGCTGCTTGAATGTTCCTAGTCCTGATATTGCACACAAACCTTTGTGTTTTTATGAAATTTGAAAACACTTCGTTCCATGGCGATTATTCACAAATCTCTTTTGCATACTCTGTGCTCAGCTAATGCTTTACTGCAGGGGTGTGCAACCTGCGACCCACAAGGAAAAATTGTGCGACCCTCGGAGAAGTGCCAATTTTGATAGTGTGTAGTTTAATCTGGTACATGCGAGTATTTCCAATTAGAGCTCGACCGATATATCGGCCAACCGATATATCGGGCCGATATTGCGTGTTTGCCGATATATCATATCGGCCCAACCGGCCGATATATCATATCGGCCCAACCGGCCGATATATCTGGCCGATATATATCAGCGTTAGTCGCTTTTCCACGTTCTAAATAATGATTATTTTTGCCCGGGAAATATCTGCGGTCGAGCGTTTTCTTTTTTTCGCTTTTCTCCCTATCATAACAACCATTTGAATCCACTTCTTTTCCGAACGGGACATCGAAATTGGTTTTCATATTACCGACAGTACTACACGCCGGCGACAGATGTTAAAGACAAATACCAGGGAGTGAATTCAAATTAAATTTATTCTGATTTTTATCTTTTGTGTTGGCTGTGATTTTCCTTTATCATCTTCGCAAATTAACCGTCCCAATTTTATGCGATCAATTTTATCATTACCGACACTGGTATACGGATATTTATGAAACGATAGTTGGCTTTCTTAATATTGAATAAAAATTTCGGGTTTCTAAGTTATTAATCAACGACAAGCGCATTCTCTCGTTTGATTATACCTGCGCTTGCCTCGCGACGAAGACTTGGTATTGCTACGTTTTTTACATTATCCGACTTTGCTACCTAGTTAGCATTTTATAATTATTATTGATGCTGAATTATTGACGATATTCCGATTACCAAGCTTCATTTTATATCAAATTATTTCGCGGCCTAAATGTTATAACATTATTTGCGATAAATTTAGATCAAATATTAATTATTTAGCCGGCGATAAATTCTTACCCGTAACTCGTTGTAAATTAATGCTAATAAATTCTATTTTGTTTTTTAATGCGCCGTGATTTGTATTAATAAAAGTGATTGAGTCGGGAAAAGAAAGTAGCCTTCTCTCCTTTTGAGGGCCCATAGCGGCGGTAAAATTCGTTTCATGTCTGTTTCACGGAGAGAAAGAAAAATACGCCTTCCGGAATTACAATCAACTATCACACATTCTTATTTATCATTATCAGCGCCGAATAAAAACGATACCAAATCGTGAAGACAAAAAAGCCTGTCGGTGTTAATTGCGTTACGGTGGTAACGTTCATAATAATATCGTTTTGACCGTGAAACCAAACGCTCAAACGGGGTGGCAACGCGTCATGCCTTCCCCCACCTGCGTAACAAAAGAAAGAAAAACGGAGCGAATACCGTAACTGTAACTTCTTCTACTTGTTAAACCTTCATTTTTACAATCGACGGAATTGGCTGCTTTGAAGGAGTACGTTTCAAACGCGAAAGCGCTCGACCAATAATTACGACTTTACGTAATTTGTAACTCGAAATAATTACGTAATTCCGTAAATTACGTGCAAGCCTACTCCCCACCTACTACTGGATGGATCAAAATGGACTTCCAGAACCTTTTTACTGACTGCCTTTTTTCTTTTGTGCTTGGTTTTTTCAAACATTGCCTTCTGTGTGTGTTCTTATTATTTGCTGTGAAACTTTTATCAAAGATGCAAGCACTGTGTAGGACTGCTTTATTTTTCAACTTAAACTTTTGATTGACTGAAACTGAATTTTTCTTACTAGTATTTACTGCGGGTTCAGGTTGTAGATATCGGTATGTCGATATCGGTTATCGGTCACTAGTTGGCCGATATATCGTTATCGGTATCGGTGCCAAAAAGTGATATCGGTCGAGCTCTATTTCCAATCTCTTTGTATTGCGAAGCCTATACCCGAGTCCAATTTATTTTCTATGCCTATGACGTTACAATGCCTTAACAGCTAGCTTGTCTTATAGATGAAAATTCTCAAGATTCAAAGGACATTTCAGATTATGGTTTAGAGGCAACAAAACTTGGAATTGCAACGAATCGTGGTTCTATTGATTTAACAATCAGTAATATTGTATATGATGACATGAAACTTGGACTGCAAAATCTTGTGCTTTTGAACTATCTTCATTTACTTTATCTGGTAAGAACTATATGCAAGTTCCATACAGCCCAATTTTTGTTCTTGTTATTTTGTTACAATAATTTATTTAACTGTATAAAATAAACTGGGTGATTTATCGCCAATGACTCTGTACATAAGATTTTTTAGGGTGACAATTCCAACTCTATTGGATTTTTATTACCTATTGAACAAGACTCTATAGAGCAATCATTAATATATAGAGATATGTAAGGAGATACTTTTATTTGGAATGACCAAGATCTATCTTATTTCGCATTGCTTACTCAATTTATTACACCCTAGCTGAGGTGGGGGAATGGGATGAAATCGATATTTTAACCTGCGATGCATCATATTTAAGTCAATGTTTCAACCACCAGACCAGCGGTCGAACCCACTTTGATGCTGCATTTTTATGATCCCTGTTTTTGAAGATGAAGATATCTAATATATGAAATAAGTTATAACAGATTTAGGGACTGGATTTGAAAACCTATTGTACTAACAAGTTGTATTTTGTGTTAAATAAAATTTGAATGTGAACAAATTTGTTTGTTTTCGTAGGTCACCCCACATGATGCATGTGCTAATATCAAGCCAAATTGGATGTTTTATTTTGAAGAATATGGTAAACTTACACCAGATGAACAAACTGCTGCAACTGTAATTGGTGTTCCTGAGAATTTTATTGCAATGAAAGCAGTTGGCCATAGGGTCAGAAATAAGGTAAATATTAATGTCTATTTTTATCTCATAGTTGACTATTTTCATATCAAATTGGGATGTCACCGTCAGTTTGATGAAACCTGACAAATTAACTGTGGCCTAGGATGGGTTGTAAATTGATTAGGTTATTTATATTATAAATGTCACATCACTCTCATTCTCCCTGATGGACCTTTTCTGCAAACTGACTTCGAACAAAGGCTATTACTTATATATTTTAAGGGTTCATTTTAACCACACAAATGACCAAAAATGTAACCAAGTGATTTGTGTGACCTTGGGCTAGTACAGGCTCTAGCATAAGATAAAAAGACTTTCACTTTCTTGTTCTTCAATGGTTTTTTACAAAATTATTTTATTGTTCAATGCTGAATATACCGGTACTTGGAATTTTTTGTCTATGAGAATCTATGCAGTTGACAATTTTGCTTGTCACTATTTTTTTTTAGAAATTCAAAGACGAAGTTGTTTCAAGGTTTTATGTAACGTTAATGTTGTATCACTTATTCCGTGGTAAATCTGTATGGGAAGTTTCTGTCAGATTTGAACAACCAAGAGGATTTCTACAAAGTTTACTGTCAAGTTCTGCTGCTTTCGCTTCTTGTGTTTTGCATTTTACAAAGGTAGTAGGTTAGAGGAGATAACATATATTTTTGGTTAATGGAAATATATATTCCGACTGTACTCAATATTTTTAGAATAATTGTGTGTTAACATATTTTGAAAGTGATCTATGTAGTATGAAAATTGTATATTATGGATATAATTTTGTTGTAGTCAGATTTGTGATTTAATCTTAATATCATTCCAACACACAGGAACTGGAAGAGTTCTGGCCATATCATGCACTACTTGAAAAATTGATTCAATGTTTGCAATATTGTACAACTGCTGAATTAATACCTCTCATGGAAATACCAGGAGTAAAAATTGCAAGAGCTAAACAGGTTTGCAAAAACAGTCATGTTGTCATTAATATTGTATTAACACATACATTATAAAGTGGTTTATTTAAAGGTATAAAGCTTACCTGATAAAGTAAGAAACTGCAATGCTGGCCAATATTGAAAATTTATTGGATTGATTGATTTATAAATACTATACATTTTCATATATTTTTTGCCAATTTCAGCTTTTCAATTCTGGCTTCAAATCGTTGGCACAAATAGCAAAGTCAGAAGCCAACAATTTGGTGAAAAACATTGAACATCTCTCAAAACGACAAGCACTTCAGATAATTGCATCAGCCAAGGTTAGATTAGTAATTGTTGGCAGATTTACAGCTTGCAATCATTGATTCTTTATTCAAGTAGTCTCAGATATCTGTAACTATTGAAATTCTGTGCTTTGTATCAAGTTATACAAGACTGATAAAAGTAGTTTCTTCAGAAACCTAACAGAATAAGCACGACATAAACACAGTTTAGAGTGTTTACTTGAGAGCTTTTTTTGAATAAATGATTATCTTTTATGTCAAGTGTCTATGATACTGACTACTGGAATCACATAAAACCCGTGTATTATTTGCATTTCAGGATTACAAGCTCTTTTCAAAATACTAAAGCACTTGACAGTATACCCAAAAGATAGGATTTTTCCTCTGCATTCCATAAAGTTTTGCGTTTTTACCAGACAATTGCAGATACAAGTAATACTAATAACTGATAATTATTCAGGTTCTTCTAAAAGAAAAGATTGAAGAATTGCAAGCGGAGGCAGAGGAATTACAAACAATACCGGATATATGATTTTTCAATAAAATTAATTTTGTGGTGTTTGATAGAATCAGTATTGAATATGAAAATTTCAGTATTCTTAGTTTTTGACACCATTGTCCGATTTTGCTTTCATACACATTTTTTTTTGCACAAACATGTAACAGTTTTTATGAAATTTGGCAAAAAAATCAAGGAATAATAAGATGTCGCTTTGAAATCAAGGACAATTCGACCAAGCCATTACAACCTTATAAAGGCACGTCTTATTTAAAATATTTAAATTTTACGCTGCTGTCTTATTAGTTCTAGGACCCAACTGTTGTCTTCAGAAGCGTGCTTGCTCTGCAAATTAATAGGATTCACTGTCAACTGTTTAAATTCAGTCTGACAGTCTGTTTGATGCTGTCAGGCAAAGTTTTTACTCTGTTATCACTGATGGCCTCTATGTCACAAGTATCCAAAAGACCGTTGGGATTCGAAGCCATGCAGGGTGCCACTGTTTTATTCTGTCCCACTTGTTCGCCAATCTTTTAAGCAAGCTGAGTGCGCTAAAGTTGCCCGTGGATTCCAGCATTGCTTCCTTGTTTCAGATAAATAGGAACTCCATCAAAATCACCCAACTTGCCAAAAAGAGCTGTACACTCGTTATACCGTAAAAACTTATCACAAACAGATATTTTTTTGATAAAATTTTATCAGAAACTGAAAAATTACTTCAGTTAATAAACTTACAATATCGGTAGGAAGGAAGACTAATTAAAAAGTCTTAATTTGGACCTCCAGAAGTATGTGCCCCAAGATGGCGCACACCCTGAACATGGTATAAGTCCTTTTTTCGGGAAAACACGGTAGTAGCATAGTCTGACCGTAAATATATACTACTACGGTCTGACGAAAGGTTGGAAGAAGTTGCATTGCGAGAAAGAGGCTAAATTTTTGCTTTTCTATAAACTCTTATCAAATTATTGAAATAGCTTAAAAAAAGATTACAGCGAAAAAAACTGATGTTTCAGAGATCTTTGACTTCCTCGTTCATATCCGTAGCATCCACTTATCAGAAATAAGTTGACGTAGTGATGGTGACGTAACAATAGGAGTGAATTGCACAACCAGTTTTTCGCCCAGCGTTCTCGTGAATGTCAACTCCTTTCCCCATTTTCATTCGTAAATTTTTAAACAAAAATTGTTACTATAATTTCGTAATCACCATAACGTGACTGCCTTCGATTTTGGGGAGTTTCAGTAATAGCCGATGTATGTAATCGGGGAAGCCAGCGAAAAATAGAATACACTAAATTAATTGCCAGCACTCAAGTGTTTGATGTTTCCTACAACCCTACTTGAGTCAAATAACAAAAACAATCGCAAGGTATACGCTAGAAACGGCTGTATTGGACAAATTTTTATGAGGTAAGAGAAAACCCGATCGAGTGAATATCATTCCGTGTGACGTCATAATGTTAATTGCTATTGGCGACCAGCTGACAATCAGCTGATCCAATTTACAAATCCCAGCATATTTGAAGAAAAATTCCTACGTTGCGGACCTCGTCTACAACTTGCGATACTTTTTCAATATGGAGAAGAATTTTGAAGGTTTGAATATCATAACAAAAGAGCAGGTACTATTAGCTTCTAGTACAATTTATTTCTCCTTAAATAACTGATTACCATGTTCGTATTTTTGTTTGTATTTAGCGCTGCAATCAGTCAGTGTCCTTCCAGTACGCGGAGCGATATAAATCAACTGATATTTTTGTATTTAGCATTGCCCGGTTTTATGGACTTTATACATTTTTCTCACCCTAACAAATTTGTCTTGTTCTGTCCATGTTGAATGAATAGTATAATTTGATGCTCTGTGTTGAACCACAATCCCTAGCGTATGATCTTGAACTATTTAACAACTTAAAAAAATTCATGAATCTGGTACCTGGTGAGTTTACATACGCAAGTCGCAAGCCTTTCTCCAAATGGGGATTTTATGAATAATGAAAGGTTCCAGCTGTAATGTAACTTCATACAAACATGTAGCCTACAAAAAGTATTATTGAAAGTTTCTATTTGACCAAGGCATTTGGGAAACAAACTCAAAAGCCGACGGAATTGATGAAGACCAATCAATTAGAATACGGAAATAAGATATCGGCGTCCGATCTCATCGAAAAGCCAACTACACGTCGTTCAAGAAGTGTTGATACTGGTCGCAGAATGGCATCTCTTCTAGAACCCCATCGATCAAGAAGTGTTTGTAGCATGGGCAATAGATTGGGTAAATGAGTAAATAATTTATTTTTATTTAATTAATACGAAATTAATAATATTTTACCTAGTAATTAGATTATTAATCAGACAGTTAATGATGGAACTTATATAAAATTCCAGAAATAATTAATTAGGCTATGAACATTGCCGATTTATGTACAGTTTTTCGAACACCTCAATGCATCACAAGTTTGTCATCATTTATTATGTGAAATGTCCTTTTAATTGGGAGAAAACAATCTCACGATAATCGGAATATAATTATTCAATTGATAACTTGTCATTATTGAATCCACTGGATGGAATTCTATCATTTTTATAGAGATTGAACTTTGCAATAGCGGCGATGGCAACTTCCTGTGTCTACCAAATATAGCAAAGACGAACAATGAGGGAAGAATCAGGTTATATACTGTCTGTTTTAAAATAATTCATATACGGAATAAAAATATAGGAAGATTCCACTTGACCTGTGTTTAATTTTGGTTTGATAATACAAATATATATCAAACGCCAGTTTTTTTCCACAATTCGGATGGTAATTTTGGAAAATCAATCACAGGACAGTATACTTCTCCCAAGTTTAAGCACCATCGACTGAAAATCGTGTACCTACTTGACTAGGTGTGTAACTATTTTTTATTTCTGTTTTACAGTACGGATAGCGGTTCCGCGCCAAGCAATCCGGTTGTGACTTCCTTTTCTACTTTTGCGGCCAAGAGCAGTGCGCCTATTTATTCTCCGCCACCAACTCGAAAACCATCAAACCCGAAATCCGCAAAAGGAAAATGGAAACGCCGTCATCATAGAGTTCACCCCACTGCTGATATCTCAGTTTCCGCACCTCCCACAGATGGGCCGACGCGAGGTGACAAAAAATCGTCAAAAATCAATCGGTTTTTCAAATTTTCACTGGCAAAATGGGGTATGATGGCGCTGAAACCTCTCACGGTGATGTCCTCGCCGTTGATGACTTTTATGTAAGCATTTTATGACTTACATTAGTTAGGGTATTAATATTTTTATTTTGTGAACTATTTGTTTGTTGTATTGGGTATTTGGGTCCATATTTAGTGTGATAAAAGATAGTTTATATATAGTTCATAAAGTTTTAGTGACTAAATACCCCTGAGATGAATAATTAAATCCGATCCTAAGTACAATTACCAAAAAAATATTTCAATTTTAAAATAGTTATTTTACGTCTTCAGATTTACCGAGAATAATATTTTATATTGTTATTCACATAACAACCATTTTGCGCTGAAACCTTCGATTCTGAAAACCTTATGCCCCTTGATTAATCAAACTGCATTAAACGAGTTTTAACATTTTTGGAAGAGTTGCAAAATTATAGAAATCAACATAATTATCAGTCTTCTGATAGTATATTAATTCGACTGTTTTACAGTGATAGAATATTTTTGCACGGCACTCAGCCTTGAGATCTTTTGATCTGACTAGTAAAAATATTCTTGATATCACTTTCTAAATTTAACTTTTGAAGTGTTTGGAAATTTGTTTTTTTTTGTATCGGCATTTGAGACACATCACGTCATAAAATCGTTTTAAACGTTCATCAATTTGATTTGATTGCGACATGGCATTTTCCATTCAGAAATTCATCGACTTTATATTTTTTGCCAAGCATGTTTTCAACTTGTTTGGCCGAGGATAATAATCCAAAGATAAATTTTTGATTGAATTCAAGCCTTGGCTTCCGATTTATTGGTTGCGACTGGTCAAAATCATTTTCGTATTGAAGTAACAGTGAATCGTAATTTTGGGGTGAATTTGTTGCTCTAGACATTTTTAATTCTAGTTTTAAATCTACCTCTAAAATTTTAGATGATTTTAATTGTAAAATTGTTTTTTTTTAGTGGAAATTAAAGTTTTTATGCAATTTAATATTGATTTTGTTATGTGGAGGAGGAAGAATTTAGATAAGTCACCGGTAGCTTGAATTCAAACCAATCAGTGTTTTAGTAGATTATATAGTGCAGTCGACTTTATTGTATTCATGAATTTTATTGAATGTAAATAAGTATTATAAATAATTTAACCCGATACAAACAAATAAATAGTTCACGTTTGAAAATCGTCTGTTCTGATCTGCTATTTACTTAAGGACTCACTGGGTAGGGGAATGATTTTGACTGTTTGGACATGACTAACTTTCGATTTAGGCTAATTGTGAGCATTTAGTTGGCAGAAATATTTATGCGACGTCTAACATAAATCTAGGCTCATCAATAACTGAATTCGGTGAAACTGAAGAGCTTTGGCGGATTTATATTGTATTGAGTGTGTGTGATTTTATTTACTAATATTCTTTACAAGCCGCACAGTACATTAGAAAAAACTTTAACCGCAGAAAAAATATTTCAATACTTTATTCTTATCTAGCAAATATTCTTTTAATTGTTATTTGAGGTGGTTAGTAACAATATCACTGACTTATAAAGTTTTATAAAAGATTCCGAAAAACAAAAGTATTCTCATCCAAATTGTTATCAGTATATAATGGAATTTTCATTCGTTAGCCACAAACTCAGAAAATTTACTATATCACAATGTAATCTTTATCCTATTTCCATCGGTCACCGCATAACAAATAAAATTCTATCCATCGCATTTTCGTCAAAAATTGAAGTAATATTAGAATTTTCTATATTTTTCAAAAACAGACAATGAAATTCCAATTATATATATTACGAAAAGCCTTCCTTAATAATTCTCCCTTGTTTTGCGACACAAAAATTAGACATCGCAATTTATCGTCAAAGTTTGGCGAAATGTCTTGTTTCGTGAACAACTAATTTGGGTGTCGTCTGTAACTCTTTTATTGACTTCACTCCTGAAATAAATAAAAAAATATATAAAATTTTTTTTGTCTTAAAAACTTATTTGAAGCAAGTCGCTTTATTGTCTTATGTCTATACGCAAATAAAAGTGCAAACTGAATGTATACAGTCCATTTATTTGGCTGTGAATTGCGATACTTTCAAACCAGTACTGCGATGACAATTGAATCAAATTCGTGTTAAGATTAAATCGTCAAAAAATACTTTTCACGTATAAATATGATTTATTTTTGAAAGTGTCGAAAGAAGGTAAAAGCATTATAAAAAATTTAATTCGTTATTAATCATAATATAAAAAATATTATGAATTTACCTATGAACTGCATAGTTTTAACAAGTTCTTCTCTCAGTATTTCTAAAACATTCTTCACCCCTTCTTGGCCCTGAAATGTTTGCATAATTTCGGACAAAATTTGCAATAAATCGAAAACTATGCTACACAATTAAAATTCCACTCTTGGAAAATGGACTCTTTTGAATTGGATAGAATAGTCATGTTTATTCCAGCTATAGCATCCTTGCAGTATACGCATACGGATCCACTAGCATATAAGGCATAAAGAAAAGATAGGAAGTTAGTCTCGAGCAACCCAACTCAAATTTATAATTTATATCGAAAACTAGTTTTGATTAATTAACCGACAAAGATATTGAGAATGGATCAAGATCTTGAGAAGAAAACTCTAATTTAATGGGTCTGATAAAAATTCAAATTTTTTTTTTATAATATGCTATATATATATATATATATTTATAATTGTCTCTTGTTCTGGTGTAACATACATCTCATAAAATGCTATTAGTTATACATCAGTAATATTCTGCTTTTTTAATATAAAAATTAATACCTTGCATGCTAATCCCCAAAGTATAGGTCTCCCGACAAAGACAGCTTTGGCTCCGAGCGCTATTGCTTTGGCTACATCAGTTCCTTTACGTATTCCACCATCTAGATAAACATCGCATCTGCCGTTCACGGCTTTCACAACTTCTGGTAGAGCGTCGATCTGCAAAACAACCATCCATAATTTGTATTTGAACAAGAGACCAGTGATCAAATACACGAACACGAAAGTCGCGCACCGGTACCGATAAGGCTTTTGTTGAACTCCGACTTCGCTAAAACGATCGCGGACAAGCGTGGCACAATAACAGGCGTGCTACTATACGTACTGGAGAGATTTGTCATAAATTAAAGTTCAGAGGACATGTGGGGAAAATAATATTCTAAAGCCAATGGTCTAGAAGTCGCGGTTAACAGATATTTCTCCCAAAAAGAATTGATTACCAACAGTATTTTTTGAAACATTTTGTATTGTTTAATTACGCAAATTTTATGAAATCATGTGGCTTAAATGCAAACGCAATTAAAAATTATCAGTGCAAAATATGAACTCCCAATTGCATAGCGATGAAGTATGTTAGACTGAATGGGTATATATATATCATTTTGGACCGCCAGAAGTATGTGCACCAAGATGGCGCACGACCTGAACATAGTAGTTGTACCAAGTTAGCAAGTTAGGGTTCAGGTCGTGCGCCATCTTGAAGCACATACTTCGAGAGCGCCCTCTTTTTTCTCTACAAATTTTTCGATGTGTATATTTTTTATTATCCGTAGGTTTTATTTTCTGCACGAGTGATAAGGTGGTTTGTTAGGATATATTTAAAGATCTTAAAGATGACAATTGCTTACTGTTGCAAAAGAACCATCATATAATCTTCCACCATGGTTTGACACAATAATTCCGTCAACTTGATGATCGATCGCTTCCAAAGCCATTTCCTCTGTAAAGCAATCGATTTTATTACACTACGCTGTTAAAATAATTGCAATTTTTAAGCCATTCCACCTGTAACTTCTGGACATTAAAAAATCACCATTTTTTCATTGGTTATATACATGTGTATCTCAGGATTTCATAGTGTAATCGATATGATGGAGTGAAAACATCATTTTATTATCTCGGGGCAGACACAGCGAGATTTATAACTTGTACATAGTTAATATGGAATATGCATATGATATGACACCGCAGTATCTTGACTGTAAGGTTATAGCGATATAACGATGCTGCGAAGCATGATTTGGGGATGGATGGTTGCGTTGGATCATTATACTGTTATGAACCGATTGATAATAGTGTGTGATAAATACGCGGCAAAACGGTCATATTCCTCCATCGTTTGCAATCTATTATAGAGTATACGACAGTTCATATTTACTTTACAATTATTTATTACCTAAAATAATTCGATTGCACCAACTTTACAATACAGTACATGGAGATGGCAAAATATCGACTGTAGTCAATCGCGCTTAACTACAATCATTCCAATTGATTGGCCTATTATTTTGACATTGTCTTGGTTTATTGATAGTGAAATACACAATTGCAGTCGTGTTTTAATTTGAACCAACAAACAGCATACCAGTTAATATGCCTTTGACGACTATAGGTAACTGGGTTATACTCTTCAACCAGTCTATTTCCTCCCAATCAGATGTGCCGTCTAAATAATCGTTGAACACCTCATTGGCTGGTTTGTTGGGTTCCCAGAGTTTGATTGAATCTCCTATATTTTTACTCCTGTAATTAAAAATAGTACAATATCATTTGAAAGCTGAATTTATGTTTTGAAGGTGCTTTATAAAACTGTTTTACTGCCAACTATATATCGTCTACGATTACATTCAGATTCACGAATAACTAGGCATTTAAAAATTTCAATTCAATTCAATTTGGTATATTTTATTTTCATTTCAAATGAAATATGAAGGTTATAAAAATTAATGTCATTTATCTCCGCAATTATTTATTTTAAAAATCTAAAAATTAACCTACGCAAGCGTAGTGCTAAAGTTGTATCCATTCCCATTTGAGTATCTGTAATGTCGTTTTACTAGAACGTTTTCATCAATAGTGACGATAAATCCCGTGAATCCATGTCTCTCAGCTCGTCTCACGTAATGCTTTGTCATTTCTCGATTCTAAATCAAACTCAGAAAAATAAATATTTTGAAGAATTTTACTCCAATTCCAATACTAGCAAAACGGAATAAAACTGCAACTTCACAGCCCTCATTATTACTTATCTGGCAGATTCCAGTTGTTGCCTTGCTTCAAATGAGAAACTGTACAACTTCTCCATACAAGTCAGCTTTTTCATGAGAACACGTGTTGGTAGTGAATTGCTTTCTACAGACCTGTGGATCTTGGAAAGAAGCTTTTAAAGTAAAATCATACTTACTCTAACAACCTGGATGTGACACCATCTGATGCAATTTGGCACTTCTATTGCTATTCCTTCCATTGTTTTATTGCTCCATAAACTCAATGTCATACCTACACCCAGAGAATCAGCAGCTGAAAAAATTTCAAAACACTCTGTATGTATGCGGTATGTACAACAAGAGAGTTACAAAAATACCTTTACACGAAGGTAATGTTCAGAATAAAACGACAAGAATATTTGCCAAAAAAGTAAAAGCATAGATGGTAACATAAAGTAATAGCTGGATGGGAAACACTGCATCTCCAACAAATAAAAATTCAAAAGCGATTGGTCCAGTAGGCGGAGAGAACAACGTCAACGAGTTAGGTTTCATGTCCAACAAAACAGTTCAACAAATAGCGACACATAGTTCCACTTCGTGTAATAAAATTGAAAAATGAAAGAAACGGTACTATCGGAGTTTATTTAAAAGCTTTAAAATATTTTTACAGCATGTTTTTATGATACTCCCGAAGTATGTGAACCAAAATGGCGGCCACCGGAACGTAGTGTGTGTACCAGGTTAGGGTTAGGCCATAATTTTATTCCAATTTTCCTTATTTTAGTTCTATTACGAGTTTGGGGACTAGGACTAGCCAAGTGACTCCCGTATAGTATTTGTACTTGTAATTATGGCCCAAGCCTAACCTGGTACACATACTACGTTCCGGTGTCCATCTTGGTTCACATACTTCGGGAGTACCAAAAAAACATGCTGTAAAATATTTTAAAATTTTTAACAACTATACCTTTAGCTGTGGATATTTCACCATCTGGTGTACATAAGCCATGGTATGCTGATGGTGCGATGCAAATTGGGAAAGATATTTTCGAACCCAGAATCGTCGTTGAAATATCAACATTTGCTACATTTCGTAATATTCGAGGCCGGAATCGCCACCTGTGTAATATTATATATTGAAATATTTTTTTTATTATTAATTAAATGTATTCTGACATGCACAATCATATTATCGGACATTTCGTTGTATAGATGTATCAACAATGAGGTGATGAAATGTGTGTTCGAAATACTCCAACTTAAGGAATCCGTCTAGATTGGGAATCCTAATAATATTTTAAATGGCAGTGATTCATAAAACGACATTCGCTAGATGTATAAAGTAATTGATCTTCGTTACCCGCAAACATTAGTACAGTTTCTATATTGATATAGCCCATTTTACAGCAATTTGAATGGGTACTTTTGTTGTTGTCTGTTATGCATGCTGTCCTGCAAATATATTACTTTACCTTTTATAAGCTTGGCAATTTTCTGTCAACGTTTCTTCACCTACTGAACCAGCGGCATAATAACCCCAATCGTGTTGGGACAACTTTGCCCTGGATTCTTTTTCGTAATCGGCCACACAATATAACAATTTATCCATTTAAACTGAGAGTAAAGGACGTTTATTATCGTGGCACTGTGCAAAAAAAATGGGTTGTATAAATGTTTATGTTTTGAGACAAGACGGTTAGAACAAAGCACGAAAATATGCGATATATATGAGAATTTCACGGGAAAACGCTTTAGCAGTTAACCGGCCAACAGTTAACCAAATCAACTGCGATGAGGAGCTATTAGCTCGATCAGTTCCGTACGATATTATAGGCGTGTATCAACAGAGTGTATTCAAAACAACTGGAAATGTTAATCTATCAATTCAAAGCGTTCATCACTGCTTTCCGAAAATGTCGATATGCTAAATTATATTCCTGCGACAGAATGCGCACTCGTTGAATGACATTGAATAGACGCTCCTGCAATAAAATCGTGAACAATATATTCTGAGCAGAAACTGTTTGAACTTATTATTGTCAATTTTTCATAATCAACAATACTACTACCACAATTATTTCTGACATTCTTTGGTGCTTACCGATACAGTCGGTGATATTATTTTGAATTAAACGCCACGGAAGATGAATTTGCGATGAAGTAATCATCTTTGGAGAAATTTAACCTTTCCCAGTCTTCGTATATACATATATATATTTATATGCGTTTGCAACGGCAATTTAAATCAGTCGGTTTCACAAAAAAAGTAGCATTTGAATGTTTTTTTAACTGAAAGGCATACTGAATAAAATAACTCACAATTTCCGAAGCGTTCCCTTTTGCCGATTCCCTTTGCTATATAGCGGACTATCATAACACGTTATCAAATCTAGAAGTCCGGTATCAAATGTATACGCCCTGGCAAAAATGCAACGCTTTGGCGTTGTGACAGGTTACATTCAACTGCAAAATCATTCATAGGAAATACGTACAAATCAATTTGTGCGGTATTAGCTCGGCAGAGTGAAATATCTTGAATACTTCCGTCTATGGCTTTGTAAGAATCAACGGATTGCTTACTTTGGAAGTATTATATATTTCTTTGGGGTGGGGATTTTTCTACTAATACATACAAAATTCGCGTCTCTTCTGCTCATCCATACACAGCACTTGGAGTTGCGTGTTACCCTGACCTGACCTGCTAAATTCAAAAAATAATCTTCTCTCATTGATCGCTTATATACATATATATAATACGGGCGTCACGGGTAAATCCACCTGTATGGAGTGTGGAAAAGTGCCACGCATTCAAGAATAAACTCTCGATCTCGCCAGTGATTCCATCAGCACCCATTTAGTTGTGACGATAAAAGTAGATTCGTAGAATAATATGTGACGCCATCACGATAATAAACCATCCAATCATCCACACTAGAATTAATTCGTCATATTTGGGAGAGTGCAAATAGTATCGATATGAAACGCAGAATAATAATTTCTATATAATACAGGTATATACATAATCGAAAGTTTTGCTCGCTCTCCATAATTGTCCTTTTATAGTTTGTGTGTACTCTCAGAGTTTTCAAAATTCACTGCCCGACAGGCTATACCCTGCAGTCTGCACGCCAGACTGAACTTTACTGCCGCCATCTTTATCACTGTTGCATATATTTAAACAGGGGTGTGGGATCTGTGGGTAGTTCCATTTCCCATAAAACCCTTCATTTTTATTCATTTTGATTCTGCTGCCGTCGAAGTAGGGTAGATGTTTGTAGTTCAATTGCTGTCGATTTATTTATCGTCGTGGGCTTCAGAGCTAAGCTACGAAGAGACCGTTTGGTAAATATTCGGTAGAAACAGATTTAAGTATTAGGCATATAGACAAAATTATGGACGATGTTGAGGGAAGCTTGCACATTGATATTGCAGTTGATGGTGAGTAGGAAATTTATGAACACAAAATTATGACTGAACCTTTCCATAAACAAAGAGGAGGTGAAAATGTCTCTGTACCGTTTTTTTCTGTGAGGTACCGGTACGATACCGTATTTAACGGGGCATACCGGTATAGCCAGATTGTGAATCAACAGAATGTTTATGGAAGAAAAATAAAATATAACAGTGGCTATTATGTACCTATAACATGCAACTAGTACGATACTGTATTAATTGCTCTCAGATTTTAGATTCTCTAATTTCAGATATCATATTTGTTTGTATTTCAAAGCTTTCAACTTAAATTCTGCACTGTACGTTTTAAACCTGCTTCATAGTTTTTCTTTGCTTTTCTGATTCTAGGCTATAATCTGTATTTATTTATTTGTTTCATCAATTATTTTATTGTCTGTTATGCTGATTATGAAGTCCAAATAAAGTTATACTTTCAGAATAAACTACGGTAGGCAGTATAAAAATATTTTTTTGAAACAAAGTAAACTAACTAAAATGACTTTATGCTATGAAATATTCTCTTTATTTTTTTCTTCAAATTTTCAGATACAACATTAGAAACAGTAGAGTCTGGAGATGCATCAAATGATGGCAGTAGCAAGCTGGAGATTTCTTGCAGTAATGAAGCATCAACTTCAAACTCAAATTCACCTGTATCTGCATTTGTTGATGGCCAAGCTGTGCAACTTGAAGATGGGAGCACTGCTTATATTTATAGAGAACTTAAAGGTAAGTTTAGACCCCTGATGCCAATATTCGACTTTCTCACAAAACTATCGAACTAAACTTGCAAAATTTATTCTCATTGGTAGTATTTATTCTACATTAAACATCGATTGAATCAGGGCTGTTGTATCTGAATAAATATATAAACGACTTCTACTTCCTACTATGGGTTGACAGAATTTTGACTCTGGCTCTCAAATTTCAATCCAAATTCTTGTAGAGGAAACGATGGCCTATACGAGAGTATGAATGGAAAAAGGTATATTTCGAAAGCAAGACTCCTACTTTAGTGAAAACATGTTAAACTCTGACTTCAAAGCTCTGGTTTGAGTCCAATTTTGGAATTAATGATACATAACTTGTCAGAATAATTCCATAACCAGGAAATGCTGCCAGTTTCATTGAATACCAGTATCAAATATGATTGTATTTTATCTTCACTTCAATATGTTGCATTATGTTACATTTGGCTCATTCTCTTACAAAAAGCATTCCAATCTCTATTTAATATTAATACCAATTAATACCAATATTTTTGCAATGTGGAGAACATGTGTCGTAATCTCAGATGTGACTAAGTAACGATATGTTTCAGATACTATGAATGAGCAATATGTGCAAACAATTGACTTAGATGATGGTACAACAGCATATATTCATCAACCTACTTCATGCGCTGTGACACAAACTGACGTTGAAACAGATGAGGTTTGTTTAATGATACTCAAGTTATTTTTTCTACATAAAGGTCAAAATTCAGATGGAATATGGTAATAGTAGGACTTATATCATAGTAAACCATATATTTTTCGTTCCCATCTTAGACCTTTACTTGGTAACTGTATGAATCTGAAGCTTTTGATGAATTTGCTATTCATATACCAGATCTGAATTGTGCTTTGAGAAGTACCTGCTATGGTCTGCCATAACGCATATACCCATCACTTGTTCTCTTTATCCCAGGTAGTATAGGAACATTCTAATCTTTTTTATTTGTAAAGGGATTGTATTATTTTATTATGTTTTTTTTCTGATAAAATCGTACCTTGAAGAAATTGGAGTAGGCCTATAGTTTTGCTAATTAAATTTGTAGCATAACTGTTCTGGTAGTTGGTTACAAATCTGACCCAGCTATTTAGTTTTATCTCTTCTGGCTCGGTTGAAACCATGTACATGAATAAGATTTGAAACATTTTGCATTTAGAGTAAGTTATATCAACAATTTAAATGTGATAATGAAGGTTGTGGAAAATATTATACTTCATCACATCATCTCAGGGTATGTTATTTATGTTTATTTTTGCAGTTGTTTTGTCTGTTTTAGTTACAAAAATATATCGATTGGTTGAAATATACTTTATTGTTGTGTATTATGGTAGAAAATGCAATGGCGATTTTTGTTGTCTTTCTGGTATTGTCCTTAATTTTCTATAAAATAAATAGTTTTTTTTCTGTTCTATGGCATGAATTGTATAGAATTTTTGTAGTTACGAAAGAGTCTATGTTTTTATAATATATCATGTATAGAATTTGTAATCATTGTAGCATTATTTAACTAACATTGCTTTATGACAGATACATAAAAGATCACACACAGGAGAAAAACCTTATAAATGTGACTGGGAAAATTGTGGAAAATCATTTTCCACCAGTTATGCACTGAGATCTCATTTACGAGTTCATACTGGTATGTATTGTCTAGCATTGCCCAGCAACAAATGCTCAAATTATTTTTCAATTAAGTCATAGTTAGTTCATACCAGATCAAAGAGGTGCTGGTATTAAAACTATGCAACAAACAAGCAAGGTTTGCCTGAAAGTCTGTAACCTACTAGACACTTTCCACTTTGTCTAAAAGCAAAGTTTTATTAAAATAGATGAAATTGTCACGAAAATACATATTTTTCAATTGCCTGGATTATGTTTAATCAAGTTTTCGAATACCATACCTCTTCCCCACTTTTCAAAGTTTAGACATCTCTACGCTCATTGATGGTCTGTCATTGAAATTAAGTTGCATGTATAAATCAAAAATATTCATTATATGCTATATTGTACAGGGGAAAAACCATACGATTGTACGTTTGATGGTTGCGGTAAAGCATTTAAAACTGCAGGAGATTTACAGAAACATAGACGAACACATACTGGTGAAAAACCATTCAAATGTCCATTCCTAGGTTGTGGAAAGGTAATATTAATAGATATTAAGTATATCATCATTCCAGTAATTATTGGATTTAAAATTTTGGTTTGTTATTACATGGTATTGAAAATTTTTAATTGTGTTGTTTATTCGTAAGTTTGGCGTCAACTATCATAAAATCTGAATCAGTCACTGAATAGCCCTCGTTGTGTTGTGCTTAGCTATTTCTTTTTTTCAGTTTTTTATGGGTGTCACGAAAGTTTATTTTTTTGACATTCTAGACAACTTTAATCATTTTAGTGTAGTAGTATGAAAATGGGAATCTTCTAAAAAAGGTTGTTTTGCTGCTTCATTTATATGTTTTATATGTGAATGTCTTGTATATATATGACACCGATGCAAATTATTTTACCTGTTAAATAGTATAAAAATTGAAAAAAATTAAATAACATATGATTTTTATAGGCTTTCACAACTACAAACATTTGCAAAGTTCATATTCGAACGCACACAGGAGAATGTCCATATAAATGTCCTTTTCCAGATTGTGAAAAAACTTTCAAAAATGCAACAAATTATAAAAATCATGTCCGAATTCACACAGGTATGTACAATTATTTTGCATTCATTGGGTTCAATGAAAGTATTTTCTGATTTTTTGTCTGTAATCGTTATCTTTTTTTAAGTATTTTGTCTCAAATTGTGCTCATATTTGCTCAAATTGAGAATAATAAGACACCAGGTGGGGTTGGGCGTAAATTTTTTATTTTTGTTCTCAGGAGAAAAACCATTCGCATGTGAATGGCCAGGTTGCAATAAAAGATTTACAGAATATTCATCATTTTATAAACATCAGGTAAATAGTAGTTTATATGAAAAATAAAAAAATTAGAACTCTTGTAATTATTTTCAATTAATGCATAGGAATGGTCAAGTGGGAAATAAAAGACAAAAAGAATAAAAAAGTCAGTTGTACCTGATTTTGTATGACAATTTTCTGCTTTGTAAAGCACCATTGAAATATTTCTATTCATGTTATGAAATTCTCCCTTATAACTTGAATTGGTTCCATTCTGAAGCCTAGTTTTCTGGGGAAATTTTAAAAATGTTCTGCTACAAATAATTGACCTAACACATTATTGAATCAAAATTTTTACTTGACAAGCACTATCATTTTGATTAAATCTATTATGTCTTTAATTATGCTATACATCATTTTTTTAGATTGTTCATGTTGATAAATATATTTATACTTGTCATCACTGTGGTAAATTATTTGTTTATTCCTCATCATTACTCGGACATAAAAAATCGGTTCATGATGATAATACTGACGTAATGGATTCTGAAAAAATAGTTTCAGGTGAGGTACCGATTACATGGTTTCACTGTAACTATAAATGCTATATTGATGTTGTGGTGTTCCTAGTTATTGGATAAGAAAAAAGCAGGTTATAGGGTTCAATAGTTATCCTCCAAGGTGGGCGAAAAGAAAATAAGATGTCTATAATATGGGTAACAGCGGCCTCTTTTCCTCAGTTCATAATATGTTAGTTGAGTAGTTATTTGTTTTGGGCGCATCATGCATGGACTTCAAAAGGAATCCTCAAGCATCCAGCGGGTTACTTACAAGAACAGCCTTAGGACAGCAAGGAGTCCAGCAAACCTCTTTCACATACTGATATTTTACTTGGATTAGGCCTGTGAACCCACTCGCCATGCACCAACTTCCATGGCGTCAATACATGATTGTTCTATTTTTTGTATTTAGCCAGTAAACGAAAAAAAATGAATCCGAAAGATGTTCCGGATTCTAAGTTAGCTAGAACTGCAAAGAGAGTTCGAGAAAGTCTGAGAAACAGACAAGAAGCAAATACAAATAATAAACAGGTTCACTTTGTTATTGCTTGTACTCTTTCGTTTATCAAGTTTGAAATATTTTAGGTCATTGAATGTAATTCAGATTGGTTCCAGTTTTAATGGTTTTGTTTATGAAATTGCTTCAAGTGTAATATTTACAAACTGTAGATTGCTGTTCAGTTGTCATGGCATCAAACCTTATTGGCATTATCGCTTGTACGAACCTCCGATAACACACAGTATTGGCATATGTGAACATAAACTAAAAGTTTCTGATCTAAAACTTTGGGTTTGCGTTTCTGTGAGTCCCATTTTCCGTTCATAATTTATAATAACTGGACTCACTTGTTAGGAATTATTTATATTTTTTATATTGCAGACATCGTCTGAAGAAAGTCATGTTGTTTTATTACCTGTAACAAATATTGAAACTGAAGATGTACAGCCAGAAAGTACTACCACTGCACAGGTAAATAATATTTGATATTCATCAGACTTCATGATTTTATAAAAATCGAGAGTGGATGGAATTTTTATTTGATATAACCATTCTTTTAAAAATCATATTCAATTTGTATATTCAGAATTGCTTTTTTAATAAATCCTAAACATAATTATCTGAAATTCAACTAGGAGTTACATTGATCGAATCGATGATTTACCAGAAACTGAAAATATTTATTATTTCTACAGGTTGCTGCAGTTCTTACTGCTGATTCTGGGCAAGAATTAGCAATATTATCTCATGATGGTTCTTCCCAGCAATTTACTTTATCATTAACAGGTATGATATTTTTTTCGATCTGATATCTTTCATATATGATTTATTGAGGTTTTCAAGTCAATACACTGCCATTAGGCTATCATATCCATAACAAATTGTGTTGGAATGATAAGGCTTGACTTAATAATTTTTCCAGGCCAAATCTGGTAAATACCCACCGTCCCTCAAGAGAAGGATAGGATAGGATTTACATATTTATCCCGGGGGAGAGGAAAGCCGATAAGACGGCTTATCCATATGGCGAACCACGGCCTCTCGTCCGGTTACCATTCCAAGTCGGGTATGGGATTAGTTTTTACTGTATTGTTTGTTTTCGAAAGCATGGACTTGGTGGTGGTAACTTTCCATATCACAGTTTGATTTCTTTTTCATTTCAATGGTATCAATTTGTAATACTAAAATGTGATTTGCTACGAGAAGGATCAATTTTTATTTTCAAAATAAAATTGAATTGTGAAAATTTATTTGTACTATAAAATTATTTATGTGAACTGTGTTTGCTTATTGTAGATTTTTTCATTTCTGAATATTTTACTTAGACCATGGTTCAACATTGTTGATGCCTTCTTCAGATAATGGATCAACTATTGAATCTACTGAGAAGACAGAAAACCAGGTATATACACTTCACTATTTTTTTTTAGTTTTCCGGTACAGTATCACAATGTACTAAAATAGAGTACTATAATAGCATTGAAAACGAATAATGAATGGAGAACATTGAAATTGAATTATAAACATTAATGCCAGAGTATGAAACAACTTGAATAAAACCTAAAAAAATTTGAAATTTGGTTTCGTTTTTCAGGTTGTTTATGTTTCTGAATCCGGTACAAGAAATCTAATTACTATGTTGGAAAAAGGTAATTACCGTACATTTTGAACATTCACATATATTTATTTGCTTTTTCATTATGCATCAGGAAAAAAGAATATCTTTCAATGCTTTCACATACATCACGCCCTCTCTTCCAATTCAGCTGAGAAGCATTCATTGTTTCACCTTCGTTCATCAAATTGATCAAGTTTGTGTTATGACACCATTATGACGAAACTGTTAATTTTATGTCATCACTATCTCATCTTGACTTACAGTCCTGGTCTTGGCTGTGATATGACAGCTTTGTTGTAAGAGACAAATATCTCACAAGTTGAGACCGAGTACAAATAAAATATTATGATTTTGTTCTGTAGAAAATTTTCAAATACAAGTTTCAATATAATTTTTGATAGTATAACATTTACGTTCCAGAATCGAATAAAAAAATAGCCTATATGCCTGTAATATTAACTTCATATTTACTGAGTTTAATATGCATGAATATTGATTTTTCTTATTTATTCAACAGATAACACATTGCAACGTATAGAAGCAAGTGAAAATAATCCTGCAACATCTGAATCAACTCCAATCAATGCTGATATTTGGCTTCATCAACCACAAAAAGAGGAAATTTCATCGGTTTGATGTTTTTATTTGTTTTTAGTTTCTTCAAAACTTAATTGTAATCCTTGCTGGTAAAGCAATCATGAGATAGCAAAATTTTTACTCTATTATTTTGCAATGGTGGAATTCGGCAGATAACACATGTGGTATATCTAATTCATAGGAAATATATGAGTCAACAATCCTGTCTGACATTAATATATGAAAGCAGTTGAGTTAGCCATTATCTTGACTTAAGAAATAATGGAAATAAACTTATGGCATACAATTGATTCTTTGTGATTTCATGTTCATATGAAAAAAATAGGTATCGGTAATTTTCTATTGATAGTGCTAGTATGCCATATATAGTAGTATCCTATTCTGACATGCTTTAGCATTTAGTTATGAAAAGTGTAAATTATGAATCATTCGGGTGGAAATTAGGGGTAAAGGGGGGTAAATTTGCTTTCAAAAAAACAGGTGGCTGGAAATTGTTGGATTATTTTTTTATCATTTCATTTTGAAGTTGGATTCAAAATATATTACGATTATACATTTTTAAGGTTGCTATTTGCAATTGCCATAAATTTTACTCTTTTAGCATATTTTTGAGTAAGATATTTTCCATAAAATGTGCTTTCAATAAAAGTGTTGCTTCATTCATTTGCAGGTTATAGACGTAAAAGATGAAAATTCTTCTAAAGAGCCTGAAAGTATGATTCAATATGAAGCATCACAGATTCCAGGGGATGATTCTTCCTCTTCAGATTCTATCGCTTATCTTGAAATAGGTGGCGCAAAATATCAATTAAAAATCGTAACAGCAGAAAATGACAATGTGGATCAAATATCTGACAATCCCTCTCAACCAGGGTTTGCTGAACCGGTAGTACAAAACCTTCAAATATGGCCTGATGCAAATAAAACACAATCCGATGATAATGGCAAAGTCAAGTTTACTGATATAAGTTTTTTAAATTCAAATATGTCTTCGAATGATGGTTAAATCTATGTTGCAATTGCAATGGAAAATTTTGTACTTTCAAGCAGAAATATGGATTGGATAGTTTCAGAATTTCATATTTTTCCCAGGGAAAGGAAAGCTGATAAGAATGTTTAATTATCATATGGTGGGCCACAGGGTTTATCCTGTTGCCTCTCCAGATCCGGTATTGAAATAGTTGCTTGTTCCATGGACTTGAATGGCGGACGAATTCAATATTTGAAAGCAGTTAGTTACATGAACCTCAACTTTACAGTGTTAGCTAATAAATTTTTATTTTGCCATCATGTTTTTCATATCCTTTGTTGTCAATTTTTGTTCCCTATTATTAATAAAAATGGTTAAAGCGATCTCTTGAAATTGACTGACCAGGCGGATCACGTTCAGGTGACAAATAGTATGTATTTTATCTTCAAAAACAAGATGGTGGCTATTAAAAAATCTGAGTTAGGCGAATAGAAAGTACCATATGTTCAGCGATCGTCCTTCAACAATGCTTGGGCGAGACCGACTTCGGCTTGAAGGTGGACGTCGTATTTTGTACTCCCAACGATAGTAACCTTCACGAAAGTGCGCTACGGAAACCGTAAATGTTTTCAAATACATATGAGCAACATACAATTGCTCCGGAAGATTTGACTCCATTTTCATTAACTTCTGACGTTCAGTAATGAATTTGTGAGATCTTCATCGTACGGCTTTGCGGCGGCGCCGTCTTCCGTCTCTTTACTAAGACATGGTCGGGAACCGCAATGGTAGGCTTATTTGAAAACTCAATAATGCACATAAATGTTAGACGGGAAGACTGTCGCGCATTGATTCTTATTGTGTTGAGGGCGGCGGTGTGATGTGATATTATTCCCAGGTAAAATGGGAAATTGACGAAACGTAAAAATAGTTTAAAAATATATGCGATTACCATATTCAAATATTTAACAGAACCAGCCCGTAAATCCATGCTCAACAACACCACCAAAAAAAAAGAGGAAACCCAAGGAGGTATTGTTCAAGCATAGGATTATTTATATTTATCCCGAAAGAGAAAGAAATATACCACCGGATTTCAACCACCATAGTATGCCAATGTTTTTTGTATGGTCCAGCTAGATGTCTGAAGTAGGTTATATGGCCCACCGACTAAAATGTTGCACACTTCTGGTTCAGCACAATTTATCGACTCCAATGGCCCATTGAGAACAGGTAAATTTACTTTATCCGACCAGATCCTACTTTGACCTGACTGGAAACTCGAGAGTGATTGTGATTTTTAAATTAATTGATCGTCTTATCGGTTCTTTTCACTTCGGGGTAAAATGGAATTTTTATGCGCCAACTATCAAACGGATATATGTAAACTATATTTCCAGTAAATTGTGTCCATTTATATAGCTCGCGAGATGTCGCTCAAGAACAATGCCAATCTTGGGCCATAACATGGTAATCAGCTGATTGTGTCCTGCCTTTTATGACGTTGCAATCCCGGTGTCTAGCTCTCAGCTCGGTAAACAAAATCGCACAGTAAGCGTGGGTGTTGCGAGTGCGCGGTCTTGCATTGCTCGCTGCCTTCTAACCTGGCAATGAAGTTGTAAATATGTATGTTCTCGCTCTTTAGAAGTATTTCTCTAATACTAATTTAGAGATCCAACAACTGTGCTCGTATTGATTTTTTGACTTATTTGGTATTGATTGGATTGTAACAACTTCGTCGTCAATCTTATAATGTATCGAAATGACCTTCATTTACGCAAAGGTCGACCTTTATTAGACAGCGTGCATCTGTTTTTAACTGAATGCACAGGTATAATATAAGCTCGTTAGTGATGTTACACCTTTGTATCTGGTGAAATGTTGGTCTGTTGAGATCGTTAAGAATTAGACATGACAAATTTCCTGTGAATCAGAATTGACCGGCACAGAAAGGGTTAATATCAGGTCAGCTGACGAAAAAATAAGCATAAGAAAAAGGCTTGCCGACGATGACCAGTCATATTGATCCACTTCAGATGTTAAATGTAATTTCCCGAGGGGCGATGTGAATGACTGTTGCGTTGTTACTCTAAAGAAGACTGAAAGGTGGTCGTATTGCTTTATGCATCGGCGATATGGTGGTCGTATTGGTTTATGCATCAGCGATATCAGTTATCTGGTTATAGAGATGAATTTTGTGTGGGGGTTGGCACCAATTTTTCTATATATACTTATATCAATAAGTGAAAGCTCCATTAGTTGAAAAATTCGTAAATACGGGTGTGGAGAAGGCATTGAGTTATTTTTGTTGTGGGAATTTTTGTATCTACTTAGTTGCTTGTACATTGGGAAATTATGAAGCACTAGCAGTTTGCTTATTCAGATGAACTAGGAACACTATTTTATACCACTGTTAAATGAAATAAAGTCAATGGTGCAGTAAAGTTTTGTGTTGTTGAATAAACTAAAATACAATTAGTAAAACATATCTGGGTCACATTTTGAGCATGAAGTTATGTCAAATTCATTTTTTTTATTTTATTAAGACACTTAGTATCAAGTGACTTGGTCATTATGAAATCAATCTTGTGAAGAGTACATATTTTTGTGTGCAAATGCATTTGAAGCTTCACACTATGTTGAAATTTATAGCTTCAATTAAAGGATATTTATATATGACAAAGCCAGTAGAGAACAACAGCAATATTAAACGTATTTCACTGGTTGTAAGGGCATCTTAAACTTTTTAATGTTGACTATGTTCTCGCTACTCGCTGAATATGTAAATCCTATCCTATCCTAGGTGAATTGGCACTGACACATTTTCTACTCAATTTCCTATTATGCCAGTGATTATATGACAGATACATTTAGAAATTCGATATAAAGAACAAACTTAAAACATATGTAAAGTGTATCTGAATAAATCAGTTTCAACATACTTGATTTTCTCCTTAATGGGAAGGGGTCATTGTTATTATCCTCTCATATTTCATGTATTTTATAGCCTTATCTACGCTAAAATATTGCTATAAATATTTAAAAGATTTTCAACATAAAATATTTTTGCACAAAGATATAGACAAGTGAAGGGTTGCTGTTAACAAAAGAATTGTAGAACTTGTATGAATGTAGATCTGGTTATTGTAGCTTCCAACATAAGATGGCTACGATGAGTGATTCTGCATTCACACCTTTGTTCCCGAACGGCAAAAATCAGGCCATTTTTGCACCAAATGGTGGAAAAGGTATGGATCTTGCCCACCAACAAAAAATCATGCAGCAACTGCAGTTACAAAAACAACAACAGATGATGGCAAATTTCCATTTGCAAGCTATGACGAATCCTCCTGTGCATGTTAGTGCAAGTATGAATGGCACTTCAACTCCCGGAACTACATCGCCACAATCAGCCCAGATTGGAAATTTTTCACCGGTTAGTGAGTGCAATACAGAAAGTACTGGTCCTGTCAGTTCTGCAACCAGTCCTATCAATTTCAGCAGTTCGATTTCTGGAACATCTAGCTTGAATACAAGCTTATCAAGTGCGGAGATAAGTGCAATGAATGGACATGAATCTGGTGATTCTCTCATTGTTCCAAACAACAAGTTGGTTGGCAATACTGAAGTGAGTGCAGTGAGTCCTGTTCCGATGGTCAACCTTGGTGTGACCGTCACTGCCCCGTCAACTATTGATGGTCAAGTGGATACTGGTGTAGGATTGACCTCAAATGCTGAAAACGATCTCAATATGGCTTTGAATAGTGCGAATGGTATTACTTCATTTGAACAATTGCAACAAATGGGGTTGACATCTAATGCTAATGCTTTGGATATGCTACAAGCAAATGCCGCTGGTTCTGCTCATCTCGGCCTCAATGGGGTTCCAGAAAATACTACTTCTTCGCCAAGCGCTAGTATTCCAAACATGAGTTCAATATGGTCAAATCCAGCTGGCCTTCCTCTTGACGACCAAGGTTTGTTATCCGAACAAGCCATTTACCAAGTTTTACAAGCTCAACAACAACAACAGCAATTGGCTGCCTGGGCTAATCAACAAAATGCAGCTTTGAATGGTCTTGCCGGTGGACAGGGAATTCCAAATTTATCTTCAGCTGGAATATTTAATACTGGTGGATTGCCAACGACTAATGCCGCACAACAACAAGCTCAATTGCAGGCTCTCCAACAACAACTTGCAATGCGTAGAAATCAGAATATGCTCAACCAAGCAATGCATACTGGATTGCATAGATCTACTTCCTTGCAACAAGGTGATTTGCATTTTATATTGCATCGTTACTATTTTTTTTCTGATTAACATAATTTGAAATGAATTGAAATGGAAAAATATTGCATTGTTAAATATCATTGTTCAGCAAATTCTGCTCTGGCGAGTTGTGCATTAGGTGTTGGGTATAATCTTGTCATTGCACCTCTGATAACCCTGCGTAGGTTTGCAGATTCTGTGGGGCATAATTATGTGGTTGCTGGACTCCTCACTGCCATAAGGTGGTTCACATCATCGCTAGTGAGTTATGGCTTTCTCTACTATGAAGGTCATCCATCTGGCACAAATCCCATATCTGACATGGACTGGTAACCTGGCATGAGGCATTTGTACACCGCTTGATTAAACAGTCTTATCAGCTTTCCCTTCCCTTGTGAAAAAATGGTATCTTATCTAATGCAGCGTTGCAGTCTTTGCGGTCAGCGGCCTTTCTACCATTGAAGATGGTTTATTTTGAAATTATCAGAATTGTGTATTTTTGTATTGTTGTGTTTGTTACGAGTAAACCATTTAATTAAGGATCAATGGGAATGCCTAAAGGGCCAGGTTATTCTTCATGGAGCAGTGGACAAGCCAATCTTGCCAACAATATGTATAACAATGCTGCTGTCCGTAACAATTCAACTTTGTTCAATTCTCTCAGCCACAGCAATAGGTTTGTCGTTTGTATTTTATTTTGGCATTGTTTGATGCACTTGTTCAGGTTAATGATAATTTCAGAATTATTACTAATTCTTGCCTGGCATTGTTGCTAGCAAAAATGGAACCAGTAATAACTGAACTCAGTAACGTCTGGACTTAGCTTATCATTATGATTGCTCTTATCAATTAAACTTTGAAATTTTATTTAACAAGATATTGAAGTACCGTATATCATATTTTAATCAAATTTGTAAGTGCAATCGGCGAAACCAAATCAAGTTTTGTCGCTTTAAAGTGATGGTAGTTTTGGTATATTTCAAGCATTCATATTTCATCCCATTACTCTTTCTCCTATTTTGAAACTCCCAAGTACATTTGTGCACAAAATATTATAGTTGTATAAGGTCATTGCAATTTTTATTTACCAAATTTTCATTTAGCCTCAAACACTTTCTGTTTCTCTTTCAGCCCGAGTGGTAGAGTCACCACGTATAATGGTGTTCCCAACAGCAGGAAACCGCCAATGGGAAATCATGTGATCGCTCCTCCAAAGTTCAATCGTAGTTTTTCTACTCCCACCAAATATAATGGCTTCAGCGGCTCTCAAGTGCCACCACTGACATCTATTGATGATAACCCATTTTTTAAACTGACCGGAGAAGAACCATCACCAGCTAACAATTTGTTATCGGTGAGTCTTTTATTTTATTTTATTTTTTAAATATTCCAGTAATGTGTATTTGTTAGTATCATATATGCAGAAATCAAATTAGAGAATATATATATATATATATATATATATATTGCGTTTATATTGTTTGTACTTCTGCTTAATTTTTAATGTTAGACCGCATCTTTCTGAGTGTTTCGAATTAAGTTGAGATAGTCTGGTCTTATTCTTTCCCCATGCTTGTCTGTATATAAAAATTATATATTATAGATTTCTTTTCTGGTTGTGTGACAGAAGTGTTTCTGTCCTAAATAGTCATAAAGTTCACAAGCTATTCGAGACAAACTGTAATAAAAAAAGATCAATAAGCAGAATCAATAGATTTTTAATGAAATAGTCTAGTAGGTTCTCAGAAGCAATTTTTTAAAGTTTTTGGCTATGTCGATGTCTGACAACAAATATACTCTTTGATGAATGATAATACATATTTGAAATACCTTTACGAGAATATACCTTAGTCATGGCGGAAATGGATAGCAATCATTTTCATTTTGATGTGACTAGGCTGAATTGTTATTATATTACACTGCCTCTACAATTACCGGTAATCATTTTGCTGTGACTCTTATAATGCAGTCTTCAAGATCTGGCGGTTGTAATTTTGCCCCAATTATGCGGTTTCTTATTTTCACTAAATCACATTTAAATTCCAAGAATAAAATATGAATTACAATGTTTAGAATACACTATTCTTAACATTTTGAATTTCATACTGTTAGATCTTGTGAATGCTTATTGGCATCAATCCTTAACTGTCTACTGTCTTAAAGTCATTGTCTTTACTTCATTACGAAACTAATTTCTGTCGAATGAGGAAATCATATATTTCATACATCCTAATTATGGGCTATGCATAGACAGTGTCCTTAAGGCATGATTTTATTTGGCCTATGCGGCGCCAGATTCAGCGGAATATCTATATTACATCATGGTCGCCATATTGCAACCGAGTGCCCTAATCAATAATCCTTGTATTGTAACATTGTGCTGTCACTCTGCTTGTTTGCTTACTGTTTTTGAAGCCATATTTCATAGTTGAGATGTTTGTATCTGTCATTGACTTGAATTCGGCATATGATACCACCATTGCTATTATCTGTTCAACAGTTGCTTGTTTCACGTCTTGTCTTGTTAGAAATGATGGATCATGTTGAATTGTCACTATTGCGCAATAAATTAAACAGTTGATTCATTTCTAAATAGGTTGTTCTATGTTTAACTCTCCTTATTGATACAGTGGTATTCTAAATACGATGTCAACAATGATGTCTTAATTTCTTTGATATGGTTGTTTTTATCTGCTTGGGAATAAAATGGTATAAGGATGAACCTTAGTTCTCAAGAATAATACCTAACTTTGCATACAATAAGGTTGTTTGTTTTGGAAATGAATATATACCCAAAAATGTGAATTGTTAGCATATGTTTGTTCATTATTTCTTCATATCAAAAAACAAATAGGCCAATATAAAAGATTGTAGCATTTGTTTCAGCATCATGCACTGTCATTCTATCTGTATGTTAATTCAAAAAGAGCTGATTTTGGTGTAATATATGCCTGTTCTGATAAGACTATTTCACTATTTTTATGTTTACTTCTTTCTTTTCTTGATAAGCTTCCATAGTGAAACTACTTCATCGGTATCTCAATTCTCACGATCATGTGCTTCCATGTGTGAAATGTTCGCTTGCCAAACAATTTGATTACCTAGGTGAATTCTATGTAATAGTTGGAAGTATTTTGTGGTTTCGATTACTTCTAGTTGATCTTGTACAGGCCTTTTCAAACCTAATGGATGTAACTACCTGTGTGTATTGTGTCATCACAATTAGGAGTGGCTTCATTTCGGTGGTTTCTTTTTGGGTGCTAAGTTGTTCAATGGGTAATTATTCCTGTTATTCACATGAATTTCACATACATTCACATTTTTCGAGGTATATATTAACCAAGTTTTAAAACTTAGTCGATCGCTGAATATTCTTGATTTCATGTTAATTTCCTCTTTTAAATTCTGTCCTGTGCTGTGTGTTTTGGTTAATTTTTTTTTCATTAATGTGGCATGACAAAGGGTTATGTATTTTTATTTTATCATATCACATGATCTGTTTAAAAATCATAGATCAGCATTACCTAATCTGTTTTTCTACATTTCTGCTGACTCATAATTTCACATAAGCTAACATAAAAATTTACTGTTCCGCATTCCTATCATTCTGCACAATGCATACATTATGTCATGTGTATCAAACCATTATGATATCATAGTTAATGATTATTTTAATGCATCGCACTTTTGAGCGTCAGGAACAGCAATCACCATTCACAAATGCTTATTTGCTCTTAATACCTTTTTTGACATAGAAAAACACTGATTGCTAGGGAAAAATTTATCTTGTATGTGTAAATTGTAGATGGCTCATTGTTCATTATAAGTTTATGTACCCTCAAGCGAATATTAATATGCCATATAATTGCATTTGCCTTATTGCATAGGTCTCGTAATAAAGCAAAATTGTATGACATACCGGTATTGATCTCTTTACAGTTGAGTGTGAAATAGTCATGTGAATACGATTTATTACAATTTACATGATTATACTACCATGATAAGATTTGCTGATGCTAACCTAATATTGCTTAGCTTACAAGATAGTAATGTTGTTGTGTGTATTAGTCATACACAGTATGTATATTTCAACATCATCCATCAAATTGTCTCATAAAAAGCTTTGTCCTGCATTTGTTTTTCATTATAAAAATCGGTCATTTTGTGATAAATCATTGATGAATGGTCAATTGTCATGTTTATTATATTTTTAAGCATCACATGGTATTAAAATAAAGTGGATTAAATTCGTCCGCCGACCGTCCTATCCAAATTTCTGTCAGACGTTAATTCATTCAGTCCCAACAGGAAGAATTCTTAAAGATGACGTCATCCACCTCTCTAATGTATTGACCATCTCCCTATGGTTAGACAGCTGCTGTTGGCTGTATGTAGGTGTTTTCTCAGACAACGTGTGCCATTATGGTTAACCAATACAGTACAACGTATCCCCATAGGACGCTGCATTGGCCTACGACGACGCAAGCACAGATTTTTTTGTCCATTATGGATTTGAAGCCATTCTCAGGTAGTTTAATGTTTTATAGCAAGGTCCATTTAAAAGATATTGTCGTTTTTACCATAAATCATTCGCAAGTGTTTAATAAATGTGTTGCTTATAAAACGTCGCTCCATAATCGTCCAAATATAACAATATACAATAATTTTTAAGCATCTGCATTTATAAGAGGAAAAACTAGCATGCAATCATGTGTGGAGACCCAGGCGCTTTAAAAAAAAATTTGTCATTTCTACAATTGTAGCTAAATCACGCTTAAATTCATTACGTTTACACTCAATCTTGTTCGTATGTAATTCCTCAAATGTTTTTGTTTTGTCAGCCCAAATTATTTGTATACGTTTAAATTATATCATTTGGGAATGTAGATGAACATGTAAAATTGAAAATGGGTTTACGTTTCGAATTGCTTAAATTTTCGTTCCATTGAATTTGGTCGCGCATCGACTATGTATTATCATGCAACCTTTGACTCGACATTTCTCTGCCTTACATCAATACGCTTTCAACTTCGTCGTTGAAAACATCCGACCTTGTCTGTCGCATCGATTAGTCAGGTAAATGACATCTGGAATTCTGATACGCGATTTATAGATAACACTTCATCTGTTTGCATCGGTCGTTCGTCGCTTTGGATAGTCATTGCTATTGATTCCTTGCGGTTTAGTCGATCCGAAGGCATTTTAGCAGTGGAATAACATACTATTCAAAAGGCTTAATTTTGACATCTCTTTGACTGATACTTATCAAATGATAATATAACACAATTGCATCATTGTTCATCCAAGCAAATAGCATTTCGATTCAGTCAGTTGTCATAAAGCCCTGTTACAATCAATATTTTGTCATGAAGTCGGTTCACAAATCACAATATATCTTGACCTGGTTTGTTTTATTTTAATAATTGTTTTTTGTACCTCATTTGATAGGCGTATTTACATGTACATCTTCAGTTGCACCAATCACATTAATGTTATATTTTCTAATTTTATAATGAACGTTATGACACCATGTATATGTCGCCATCATTTTCTGGAAAGACCGTAAAAGACTTAATTGTCATTCTTAATTTTTGTCTTCGTGATCACGTGAGAAATTGCGATAAAGCATTGAAATATCGCATATGCTACCGTGTGATATTCCCTCGTACATGAAACATACGCTGCCTTATCGATTATTTAATAACCACATGCTACGACCTACGAGGTATGTAATATTCTTTGTGTACTTAATAACGCAATGTTGTACATTATATTGTTGAACAGAATCTCATTATCAATCATTCATACTTGATTCATCGTTGGGATTGCTTGCTTGTAATGGTGAAACTATACCCGATGGTTATAACCCCAAACATGATTTGTATTTAACGAGATTTATATCCCTGCCATGCTTGATCGACAGTGATGTTTTGAGCTTTTCTTAGGGAGAAGAATTAATGTACTTTATGATAATGTCTTTCCATATATAACTCCTCTTGTCCATGTTTGGATACTTTTGACGTCATCTCATCCGGCGGGCTTATGAAGTTGTATTTCTGCACTTTTGTTCTATCTTAAGAAATGAAATTTGCTCAAATTACTTTTATCTATTTCGTAAGTACATAAGATGCGTTTACCTAAGTACAAGTGCTTTCTATTTTAATTCGGCAAATTATCGCCTGTCTATTCAAACAGATGAAAATTATTTTCAAAATACCTACCGATACTTAAACGGTATTACAGACTCGCCAAGAGGCTATTGACCAATGTAAATTATAATTACTATGTATTTGCTGTTCATCTCGAGATTTGTTTTATTTTCAATTTTTAACACAAAATTGTCACAGAAATCGG